GATAGTCAGAAAAGCTCTCTCAAGCCACAATCTTTCAAGCTTACCGATAACACCAAAGTTTAAAACGGTGCTTGATTAACGAAAAATTAAATAAGTCACTACTTAAGTATAAGGACAAAACTGTAGTACAAAGCCAGGACACACCACTCTGCAGAAAGACTGGTGACACCTGAGTTAGGTTCCATCCTTCCTCAATATAAAAATTTTGAATATCCTTCTTTCTAATATGAGCAGAAAATAAGATAGTAAGATGTAAATTGTACTGTCGCAATTTGTAATAATCGTCGCACTTTGTAATACCTGTCGCAATTTGTAATAAACCATGTCGCGCTTTGTAATAAAAAAGCTGTCGCAATTAGTAATAACTGTTACTTTGTAATAAACTAAGCTGTCGCAATTTGCAACAAAGTGCGGCGCACTTTGTAATAATTTTTTGAGAGTGATTCAACTTATTTCGTCAACATTAATATAATGCCAAAATATGAATGGTACTTCGTTAACAAAAATGATGACGTCTGCACTGAAACACGTAACTTACAAAATTACGTTTATAGTTTATATATCCGCTCATTCAAACCATTTAACTTTATTCACGGTCCTAAACATTTTTTTTTTTTAAATTAATGTTGATTAGTTATTTAATGTACAAAATTCTGTATTCTTAAACCTCGCTATTTTACCAGATGGTTTGCATGCAGTGGTTACTTGGGGGGTGTACTCTCTTATATGGCCAATACGGGATGTGGCGTTGGACAGAGCGTTGTCAGAGTACAGAACCTAGACACACTAGACACAAACGAGCCATTATTAAAAGGCATTTAATTTCCACATATCGTAACACCCATCCTTGCATCCGGGACACCGGGAAAGCTTTCCTTTTTAGATCTTATCACAGGTCGACACAACACCGTCCTGGTCTAACGCGCAATCTTAAAAGAAGTAATAGTGGCTTCTATATTTTGGCCAACTTAATCAGACGAGGCCTGTAAAAATTCAAAATGTAATTTACTGCAAATAAACAAAAAAGCGTCACCAGTGGCAAACCGTCGAACCACAACAGAAACATAAACACAAAATCCAATTAGCCACTGGCCAATACCTTCTTAACCATGTACCTGTTTTTTATAAAACTCACTTGGGGTTATACACTTAGCTGGCTGACCATTTGGTCTATTATTCTCTCTTGATTTGGTCCCATATAGGAGCATAAGGAGTATCATTCCATCTTCAAACAATTTTTTTCTATGGAGCCCTCTAAAGCAAATGCCATGGGGATAGTAAAAAATTCTCCTTCCGTGAGTACAACTCGTAAGACCTTGAAATTCTTCTAAGCGTGTTCAGGATTATTTTTTTCCAAAAAACGGAAAGGATAATAAATCAAACCATCCATGGCTACTTGAGTTCCCCTTGGCTATCTAAGGATCAAACCAACGACGCAAGGTATGATACCCTATTTAAGGTCTGAGATCCTCAGCGGTACTTAGCTACCAAGCCGATATATGTATATTAGATTATCCCCACCCCTAAGACTTCACGTGTCACGTGGCAAGCAAACATGAGTAGACCTTTTTACCGATACGGCAGCCATATTGAATTAATTCGATTTAAAGAGTATTATAGGATGCCCAGGCGCCTTTTTCCCGAGAAATAAACAGTGAAATACAATATTTCTAATACTAAACTAGAAAAAGGCGATCATTATTACTTCCAAACACGGCACAAGGATATTTTTTTTCCATTACAATCTTATTCTAAGAAAACTTTAAGAAAAAATGTCCCGAAAATCGCTCAAAAATACAAACGAAATGTGCTCATGCCCCCTTGGCATCCTATAATACTCCTTAAATCGAATTAATTCAATATGGCTGCCGTATCGGTAAAAAGGTCTATTGGGACAACGAATGTCAGGTTATTCGTGACTCTTTTGTTGTAAATGTTGCTTTTGTTATTTAAATATTTTTGAATTCAAATATATGAAATGATTCATATCTTTTTTTTGGTGATATGTCACAGGTTTCATATCTCTCATAAAAGGGATTCTCGTTGGTCATGTGATCAATTAAGGCCGAAAAATTTATAACGGAAGACATGCATGTTTGACCAAAGAAAATAATTTAAGTTTATAAAAAATTGCGATGGAATTATTACAAATTGAGACAGCTTAGTTTATTACAAAGTGCGATGGACAGTTATTACAAATTGCGACAGCTTTTTTATTACAAAGTGCGACACGGCTTATTACAAGTTGCAACAGGTATTACAAAGTGCGATGGATTTATTACAAATTGCGACAGGTATTACAAAATGCGATGGATTTATTACAAATTGCGACAGGTATTACAAAGTGCGATGGATTTGTTACAAATTGCAACAGGTATTACAAAGTGCGATGGATTTATTACAAATTGCGACAGGTATTACAAAGTGCGATGGATTTGTTACAAATTGCAACAGGTATTACAAAGTGCGATGGATTTATTACAAATTGCGACAGGTATTACAAAGTGCGATGATTATTACAAATTGCTAGAGTACACAATACTACTTTGAATTTTAGCTGAGAAAGTTAATTAGGCACTTCCAAGTAATTAATAAATCGTAAGAACCGGTTTTTTATTACGACAAATAAGAAAACCATAGCCCAATTTTCAGTTGTGAAAAAGTAGTCTTAATCTTAAGACTTGATTTAAAAATAGCCCGTAAATATCTTAGTCAGGATCTTTTTTATGCGATATCGAAATACATCATATCCTTGATGTCAAGGTCGTTTAAACAAAACCAAGCCATATTTGGTAAATCAAGTGGACAAAACAAAAAGAACTATAACTTAGATAATTTAGTTTTCTGCATAGGAAACTGTGCCCAACTACCACTCTTTTAAGCCAAAATTTTGTCCTAAGTGAGAAGTAAGTGATAATGTTGGCTTAGGGGAGGGGTAGGTGGGCAGTTTCCTAGAAACCGAAATTGATCCATTTAAGGGGCGACGAATGGTCTTTGCGAGCACTGCGATTTTTTTGCGAGCACGAGCAGAGATAAAAAATTTGCTTTGCGAGCAGCGAGCAGTTTGGAAAGTACAACTCGCGAGCAGCGAGCACTTCTTATATAGGAACAAGATCCTCGTGTTAGAACAGCCTCTTCTGGAAGAATCCTAAAACTTCCAAACCGTTTTTATCGAAAACACGGCCTAATTAAAGCCCAGTGAGTAGAGCGGTAGAGAAACTCAGAGGAACTCAAGGTAACAATATCTTCTCTTTTTGTAACCATAAATAGCTAGATCAGCTAATTTATTATTTATCGTTGTCATTTATCGCGTGCATTTCCACTGAACTTGATAGCCATATTTATAGGAATTAAGCACCATACAGAATTACATTTACTTTAACCCAAAGAGGGATTTACAAAATTTCGAGCAATACTGACAAGAAAGCTAGCATGCGAGCAACTGCAAAAATTTGGGGAGCAGGAGCAAGCGAGCACTCGTTTAAATTTTGCGAGCAAAGGTAAAATTTTGCGAGCAGTTAAAAATTTTCATGGACCATTCATCACCCCTCATTTACAGTACGTTTTTTTAAACAATATTACATTGTAAGTACGTTTCCCAGTAGAAGAAATGTTGTGACAAATGGCGTCTGAATGCGACAGCGCACACGCACACACAAAAAACGATGCTAAATTAGCTAACGCTTCCCTGCCCCCATCCCCTGCAGGGCACTAAAGTTGAATTGACTAAAGAAAGGCGGTCACTTCTTTCGCTCGAAACTGGAAGCACACCAAAAGTGCAAGCAGGTCTGCCAATCTAAGAGGAAAAAATGAAAACTGCGGAAAAAAGTGATTTTGTGAATTTTAGACTGATAGATTGCCTTTCATTGCTAATTGCAACAGAAAAGAAAACAATTCCTATTTTAAAGGATGAGCCTTAGCTTAGGGCGAATGTCTTGCAGAATTGAGGCTACATTAATCCATAACAGTGTCAAATGGTTTTTTTTAAAAAATAAAACTAAAACATTCTGGTCACTTCTCCTTCCTGCAAAACATCCACTAGGCGAAAATTATGCGTAATTTTAAATGTGTTTTGGTGTTATTGTCACTTTCTAATAAATGTTCATTTTGAGTGATCTTAATAATTGCATGTATTGAGTCTACGCTGATATGAATATTATGCCTACAGGCAGATCTATAATGCTAGAACGCAACCATGAAATGTTTAAATTCCAGTTTTTAAGGTTCCTTGTATTACACCTCGATCTATCACTGTTGATCTAAGAGCTTGCTTCACAGCTAGTTATGTATATTCGGCTGGTTATTCAGCTCACTTGAGGTTTTATATATGCTCGAAATGAACGGTGACAACAAGTGGTTTACAAAACAATGTTAAACAGTTTCTCAACGAGCTTTCGGTAAGCGATAAAAAGGCTTACTTCAGTTAAGAACCCAACGGTCCGGCTTGCCAGTTCTAGTCAAAGCACCAGGCTTAAAGTGTAATCTTAAGTAAGGTTTAGCTGGGTTTGGTGTTCTATTGCTAACATCTAGAAAATCATTTTCCATAAGGTATGCTTCCAAATTCTAAGACTTCGGAGTTTCGATCTCTGTCATCCTTGTAACGGATTTGCAAACAAGTATCCTGTGAATCACCTGGTGCACTAAACACTGCTTTGCTTTTTAGTTTCTTTACAGTTAAAAGGAAAAAAACAGAACTACCGAGACCGGATTAACGCAAAAAAAAACAAAAAAACAGTTAAATGTACAAATAGATACAAACAATCTAAACCGTAAGAAGAGATCAAAAATTTCCCAAATTTATTCTGCTTAATATTGGGTTCTCTTTGATAATTCGCAATGAACCGCACTACAGTATGTGCCACCACAAGACTTAACGACAAAGACGATTGGTTATGCTATCCATGAAATGGAATTTTACTCGTTATGGTCAGAGCATTCTACACATTTCATCTCTTATCGATGTCGAAACGTTGAGGCGTGCTGCCTTTCTCTACAACAATCCGGAAGAGAAAAACAAGAAAACTTAGTATGCCAAGCAGGTGTCAAAAGAAATCGAGACGGACAATTCAAAAGAAAAATTGCGAATATTTTGATTGAAACTACTCTTTTTCTCAGCAAAACATTACACTATAAACCGGCATTTTGTTCATCAGTTACTATACATTGCATGTAGTTTTGATTGATTTTAGTCTGCTCGTGGTTGGCCCTTTTCTGATCCGCCAAGGTAGTGAGATCGCGGTGAGTATGAGGCAAGCATCTTTTGGTGATAGCATCACGTCTGCAGGAAAAAAAAGTTGACTTAAAAAAAAGCTGGAAAATAAGGTGTCGCGACTGAGATCGATGAGACCCATTCGGAAATTTGTTAATCCCGAATATTTATCCAAGGCCTGATTTCTGAGTGTGATGCAATAAAAGCAAGTGATTTTGAAAGTTTAGCCCATATAATCATGCTTATTTTAGAATACGGTAAAAAAAACGGATCCTAATATCTGAAGTGATCTACAAATACATCTTTATCTCTCCATTTTTCGGGATAAGAGTGACTATGCAGTAAGGGTAGAATATGTTGGACCACGTTGCACTGTAGCCTTATTTACCCCTACTGGGCGTCTTGTCTAAATAATTATCATAGCTTTCCTGTCCTGATCATGAATAGATTCTCTGTCAAGGAAAACCAAGAGAACAACGAGCCTAAAGAGGAACAATCACCCGCGAGGGGAATTTTTGTTCTTGAAGATTCTTGAATCTTTACTTTTTCGGGGAATCTTTACAATCGCCCCTAAGGCCACATTGAGGAATCTCTACAATTTTTTTGTTTACTCATATGATGTTAACATGCCAGTGGCTTCGTGATATAACCTTCATCACTGTAATTGCCAATAAAAACGGTAAACTACAGGTAATCACGCTACTGCAGTAATTTTGGGTAAAAAGGTAATGAAAAGGCCAGACTGGTACATGCTGCGGCTGCTCTTATTCTTGAGACCTATGTGATTTCAGTATTCTGCTGCCAAACGCTCTCTCAAAATAGTAAAAAAGAGAACTAAAAATAACGCAACTTCCGCTTAAGGTAATTTGTGTTCAAAATTGTCATTAAGGATTTTAGAATTAAATGGCCTAAAATCCTCCCCTCACTCTATTACCTAAATGACCCATTAGTCGTGATTTCGCAAACATGAATTTAAAGTTAGCTCCAAGATAGCGATTAACATATTCATCAGTTTTTGCTTAATTTTGTAGTCTCTATGGCGCCACGATAGACAAAACGTCTTAGAAACACTGGGATACAAATTTTTAACGGCGGAGTAAGACTTTGAATGTTCATCCGAAGTTCAAGCCTCTAGTGAATGGTTTGGCCATCTAGAAGCCTAATATTATGCGCACGGGAAAGGTTGAAAGAAGATTGTTTTTGTTTAAACTGTCATTTTTGCAGGTGTGAGCTAGACTTAAGGTCTGAACATGAACAACAGTAGTACGATAAACAATGGTACGCAGGATTTTCCATCAGAGTGTCATTATCCATCGTCAACACCAGTGCTTCAATGGATAAAGAACGTTGTGTACCTGTTCATTCTCCTTTTAGCCTTATTTGGAAACGCATCAGTCATGTGGATAGTATACAAGCAAAGGCGCATGCACACAGCAACAAACTACCTTATAGTCAATATGGCGGTAAGCTGAACTTTATTCTTTGAGCTGTAAGCGCTTAACATTTTTTAAAGAAAATTTAACTGTTGAGGATGATATCTGTTGTAAAGCCCCGGTAGACGAGGTCCAGCTGAAGAGTTGTTAGATGTGATCTATTGGGTTCGTTCAACTGATGACCCTCCGATTACTCATTGCTGTCATTGATTAATCATTAGCTACGTCAGGTGTACCTTGCCACGATCCACTAACATTTTGACGCCAGGTAAAATATAAGATATTTTTCAGGCTGGATAATGTGGTCTGAATTTTTTCTCTTATTTATGTGCTGCGGTGTTTCTAGATAGCACTTCCCACTCCGTAGCCATGGTTCTTTCTCTTCAGCTGTCCCCTTACTCCTCATCAATGGAGACTGCTACCGCTTATCAATCTGCTTTGACTTTTCATCCCATCTGATGCCTTCCCTGACACCTTATCTTTAATGGTTCACTGTAGAGTAGCCTGTTAGATGCTTCGTTGGTGTCTTACGGACCATTTGTGGCAGCCAAGTTAGCCGTTTACTTTGAAGAAGATAAGTGAATGGGAGCTGAGCACTAGTCTTTTCCTGAACACTTCTTCATTTGTTACTTTTTCACGGCAGATCACAACTAGGAAGAAGACTTTTCTCTTCCTCCACGTAGAGTTTCATGTTTACTCTCCATTTAGTACTAGTTATATTATGATTACTAAAGCCTTGCATGTCCCAATGTTGGTGGAAGGCTGATTTCTTTCTCGTTGTGATAGACGTAGGTAGAATCAGCATTTGCTGTATCCCATTTGAAAAAACAAAGCTCTTAGCCAGGTCTCCATCATTCGCCATTGTACTATCATGACGATAGATTAGCCTGTATACATTTTAAATTTCAGATGTTGCTACCAATGGCCATAAAAAGTTGCCCAGAGCCTCTGTTTCAAAGCGAGGTTAATTGCCAAGCCATTGATATGAAAGTGATTTTTTATTCTCATGTAAATAAAACTCATTTTCACAAGAACGGTTTTGCACTTAGCCTCGTTTTTTGAGAGTTTTTTGAACTCGGAAATAGGCTATCATTTTGTGATGTTCCACATGGCAATACGGACATGAATTTTGTCAATTTCGGTAAGGCCCATTTACCCTTTTTATTTTATTTTGGTTCGTACTCCTTCAACCGCTCGTCAGCGATGAGTGTAATTGTCTTCAGCAAAATCCAGGTCACATATAAACTCTCTGGCCATCTACATTCATTCATTTGGATCCTTCATAAGCAATGGAATGTCGACTATCTTACAAAAAATGCAGTGAGCTCTAAACAGTCTCCAAGGAGATTCCCTGTGAAAACCTTAAGTTGTTCCACCCCTTCAATCAGTAACACTGCACGACTCCGCCCTCAAAACATCTTTAGTTTTGATTTGTTCTGCATTTTGAATCCGTCAATGTTAGTGAAACTTGGTGCAAATCGAGTCAAAATAATAATTAACACAAAAAGTGTAGCCCGTTTACCACTAGTTATCTCGACACTTTTCTTGGTAGCTTGGAGATCTTTTCATGGCCATCTTCAGTATGATACCCACCACTATCAGTATGTTCCGTGGCATCCACTCATGGGTGAATGATGGTCTTTTTGGACAAATTTCCTGCAAACTTCTTCTCCTCTCACAAGGATCATCGATGGCCTGCTCAATTATCACTCTTACGGCCTTGGCCTTTGAGAGGTACTTTGCTGTGGTTTTTCCCTTGTTGAACGTCTTGTCCACAAGAAAAACACGATGGACAGTAGCTCTTGTTTGGATAGCCTCGTTTACATACGCATCACCAATAATTTACGCTGGAAAGGTACGACTTTATGAAGGTGTCCCTTTTTGCATTGAAGAATGGGCCCCTGCGTTTGATCCTAAAAGAGCTCCAGAGATTTACACCATCGTTTCCTTTGTGTTACTGTATGCATTACCACTTTCAGTGATTTCAGTTTTGTACTCAATCATAATCGCCAAAGTTTGGGCAAGGCACATTCCAGGCAACGCAACTCCTGCAAACGTTCGTCTCCTGAATAAATCCAAGAAAGACGTGTTGAAGATGTTGATGACAGTGGTTCTTGCCTTTGCACTGTGTTGGTTTTTGATGTACCTCAACTTATTTTTGAAAGACTTCAGCGACATTTTCGGTCCTTGTGGAATTCCAGTGGGTATGCAGACCACCGGGTTTTTGTTTGGTCATGCAAACAGTGCCATCAACTGCTGCATATATGTTATTTTCAGTCAGGAATTCAGACGCGGATTTAAAGATCTGGCAACCCCTTTCTTTCGGAAAAGATCGACCTTGCCTCTGGAAAATACACGAGGCGCCACACTTGATACGACTAGAAATAGTCAGAAAAGCTCTCTCAAGCCACAGTCTTTCAAAGTTATCGAAAACACTAGAGTTTAGAATGGTGCTTAATTAAAGAAAAATTAAATAAATTACCGCTACTTATGAAAGTGGACAAAACTGTAGTACACAGCCGGGACCCACGACTCTGCAGAACCATGTACTGGGGCCGCCTTCACGTACCAGTTTTCCTTAAATTAAAATGATTGTTTTTCATTTGAATAGCCCCTTCTCTAGCATTGGCAGAAAATAATATTTAAATGACCCTGTATTACTTGAAAATAGTCGACTCTTATGTCGGATTTTCAGGTCTTTTCAAACTTGTGTCCTCGAGGGAGAGAACACTTGTTATGACCAATCCCCTTAATAGGTAATTCAGATACAACAGCTATTCAACTGAGTATAGGAAACACTGGCACCCTTTGTCCGACACGAAGGGCGATTAGAGATTTACCCACCCTCCCCAGCGAGTAAGTCGGGTTCCAGATTACCTATATTCAATTCAGTCTGCTGTGTTGGGTTTGTCCCAGGTCAGATTGATTCCCCATACCTTATTTTAATGTCATTAAGATGAATATTATACTGTTCGAAATAGTTCACACCAATTATGGAATATTTATTATTGCTGGATGTTAACGTAAGGATACACTAAAGGCATGAGAAAGAAAACCATACTTTGTGAGTTTATTTAATCAAAGTTACTGAATAAAACGTAATGGTACAGCCCTAAAGACCTTTAACAATTAAAAAAAAAAAGCTAAAAAGGATATTAGCATTCTATTGCTCAGCACGCAAGAAAAAAGATTTTCAAAAAGCGTCCTAACTACCATTATTAAGTCAAGCAAATTTGCTTAAAAGTATATAAATTATATTATAAGGTGTGAAAAGTGCTTTATTGTAGGAAACTAAAAGGTTCTACATTTCATTCATACAGCTGAATAATAAGAAGCGGGTTACTGAGACTGAGGAAGCACGTCTAGAGCATGGAGCGAAGTAAAACTAGGGGTCGATTATTTAAACGAAGTCTAACTTAGACCGCGGTTTAGGAAATCTTTGGACCTCCAGATCTCTTTCTTAGTGGGCTATGTTAAGAAGATAACTACTTTCTCGTCAACGCTTTATGCTTTCATTAAACTTTTCACGAAAAATCGTGTTGACATAAAAGCGTTCGGCAAACTGAAAATGGCTTAGAACGGAGTTTTGTCAAACACTGGCTAAACTCCGTTAATAACTGGCCGTAGGTCAACAACCGAGTTGAAACCTCGACATCTCAGATAATAAAATTATCTATTCATAAGGCAGCTGGGATACTCACTTCGAGCTAGTGTTTTAGTGCATTCGTACTTAAGAAAGTGTGAAATCAGTACAAAGTTAAGTCACGGATTCCTTTGTTTTATAAATTCTCTCTTTCAGTTTTAGCCTGAGACTATGATAAATGATCGCGCGGCAAGGTTTCTAAGGGATGAACTTGTTACAGAAACTGCGAGGAAACTATTATATAGTTAAAATGTCTGCTTTAGTCTCTACAACGATAAAGCATGTGAGCATTTGTCCGTCATGTTTTTTTTTTTTCGAAGAGCCCGCTAAATAAGGACATCCGGATGATGTGGACACTATGACATGTCCCTTAGTGTCCGCATTAACCGGGTTCCACTGTATATAACTTAATCTTAGGCTACATTTTAAAGAATCATTGGACTCCCAGATCTGTTATTAAGTGGATTATTTAAAGAAATAACTGAAGTGCTCTTCTAGCATACGCTACATGCGATAAACAATTCTTAGATATTATCTTTAAGCGAGTTCGTTCTAGAGAGCTGTCCGTCCTGTAAAGGGGTCTGTTTGGAGACAGTTGACTGTCTTTAAATTTATAATAAGAAATTTATTAATTCAATGGTGTTATCCCTGCAGTTTAAATGTGAAAACTCTTCCACATATGCATTTGCTCCTAGAAAAGTTTCTGCGCACATATCTGTCATCCGCACTTCCATCGTATCGTCTTTTCTTGGCGTTATAATCTTAGTTTATAACTACGTGACAATCACCGGCTCGTCGTCTTTGAGTTCATCTCCTGCCTAAAGAAAGAAAAAAGCAAAACAACTATTCATACGTAGAGCGACTTTTGTTTGATCTTAGACAATGACGGTCGGAAAAAAGCATCGTACCAATGTCGAATCGGCAACCGACTTGATAACCCGTTATGGAAAATTACTTTTTAGCAATCTTTCTTCAGATGGAAATGCGTTGCGTGTTCGCTAACCCAACCAAAAGCCGCGTGCGTTTGTCACGGTCTATTCAATAAACCGATCGAATTTTTATTCTACTTTTCATTTGTTGTTTTTATTTTGTTTGTGCATAATCATCTCCAGATCAACAGGAAATCTCTCTGATGGTAAAGAGTCACGATCAGTGGCAGACCCAGGTGAGCGGCCTGTCCGGGGTAGGGTGGGTCGCACCCCTTTATGTACCGTTTATACAAGTCGACCTTTTTAGTCATTAAATAAAAGTGCTTTGAAATCAAAATTGTTACAGACACAGCCTGTTGGCAATTCCATGACTTCTCTACCATGAACCTTTAACCTGTACTTTATTTCATCACGAGCTTGTTCAGATACTCAACGAAAAGCTATTAAGCAATGCTTGACCAAGGAACTTTTTCCTGAGCTGCGTAACGTGACTCGAGCTGCACGTGTATTACCTCTTATGACCATTCAAATTAAAACTAAAACGCTAAAATTGCAGCTGCTTTTGAATGTAAATACCACACTCGGCATTCACGTTGTAGTCTGCGACAATGCCTTTATAAAGGTAATAGACCTCTTCGATTTAACTGTTAAGTGCAAATGGTAGGTAGAAAACTCGGTATTCACATTGTAGTCTGCGACAATGCCTTTATAAAGGTAATAGACCTCTTCGATTTCACTGTTAAGTTCCAATGGTAGGTAAAAAATAGACGACATCACCATTAACCATACGTCGTTGCTAAATGCTCGGCACTCCAGTTCTTCCCAATTCAATTTTGACAAATGGGATGTGTCAGGGAAAGAAAACTAGCCCCGCCGCCAAAAGTATTTAAAATAAAACCTACCTCTGCTTTCTTATCTTTGACGGTGGACTTGCCGCTAGAGGACTGACTAAAATATTTGCTGTCCATAAATACACTTGGTATGTTAGGGCCAAAAAATATCTTCAAGTTTGAGGTAACAGCATTGAATTTCATCAGCTGGAGATACTCGGGTGTAAGTTTAAGCTGAAAAAGAGGTACATAACATAATGAGTAAGCTCAGTTACAAGACATCAGTTACCGTCACACTATTGAGAAACAAAACATCTAAATGTATAACGCATGGATGATTCTAGTCCTAGCGGGGACTTGATGTTACATGGGTAACATAAGGTATTAATGGCAGAAGAGGAAAGAGACTTATTGCTTGTTCTTTCGAATTTGCAACATTTTCTGGTACAAAGGTCATCTGTGTATCGCATTTCACTAAAAACGTCAATTTGGCGGGACTCACAAATTTGGCAGCTACACCGTTCTCGGGGGGGGGGGAAGCTGCTAATGAAGGTCAGTGTTCGAGTTGTAACCTTTTAATTTGGGCTTCCTGTGGCACAGCCCAATCAAAAAATGGTTTTCGTCGTCTGCGCTACAAAAAGGCAAAATGGCGGACTGACGTACAAGAAAGCGTTGCGAGTCCCGCTTTGCTATTGGACTGGTCATTTGACGTTTGATGGAAGGAGTGAATCATTTCAGATAAAAATAATCTAGCAATAAGATTTGGAACGAAGAAAAAATTCCCGCTGGGTTCGTGGTTTTTAACTACATATTTTTCCTGTTGGCGCAACCAGTTCTTCCTGTAGCTTTTGTCTACAACAAAATCCGTTTAGCTTGCATATCTACCTTCTCCCGGGAACCCAACTGCAGTATTCGAAATTTTGTGTTTTCGTAGAGAAGCTCCCCGCATTAGTCTCGCATTCATGCCAAGAACTGCTTTGCGCCAGGGTCGTCGAAAAAAAAAAACCTTTGCTGTTTATACGTATACCTTGTTTGCCTCTGCAAGTTTTACCGCGGTGTAGTATTCTGCATCAGCCCGAGATTTCATCCTTGCGAGATGAGCGCCATCTGTTAAACGATATGAAAAAATCATTAATAAATCATAAAGACAAGGCAAAGAAAATGTTTAAAGAGTGCCTTAAAATCATTATATTTTTAAATAATTTATCTGATTGATTGGTCCTCAGTGTAGCGTTTTTTAAAGTAATGTCATAAAACGGAAACTGTTTCTAGGTGTGCATTTCATCTTTGATGACGGTGGGCGAGGAATGTACGACTACAATGTGTAATTTTCTCTATATGAAATGATCTAGAGATTGAAGAGATTCAGAAGTAACAAATTGAACCACGTGACCAAGCTTTCCTCTAACTTGTCATCTACAGTTAATTACAGTAGGTTTCATTGCGCATTTTTTTTTGCCTACTCATCTTCTAAGTAGAGAAATTGCCAACATGAATCTCGCGTTTACCGTTTGCCATGAACACGATTCTAAATCTCTTTCAATTTGTTTACGCCAGCATCTCTGTTTGAATTGTCCGACGCTATGACGTCAAACCAAGAATACAACTCACCTTCAATTTCCGACATTTTCCTCAGACTTTCTTTCTCCATAATTTTCTGATCGAATTGAATTTTTGACACCTGAGCTGCCTTCTCTGCCTCTAAAATGAGAGAAAAATACATATGGAAAATTCTAATTTTTGTCTCGGTGAAAGTTATAGCCCGTTCCGCACTCAATTCCTGGAGCTGAGGAAGTGAAAAGGCCAGAAAAAACCTTTCCGCACTTAACGTGTACCTTAGAAAGGAAACAAACGCGACAAAGTTACTGTTACTTAAATTAAATGCTTTAAACAGTTAACGTAAAAAATCTGGTCTCCAATTTGTGTCCAGTATTTGATAATGATAGTCTATTTGAAAATGATTTAGAAGGCCAGAGTTTAAACCCAAATTTACTACAGTTTGTTTAAAAAATTTAGTAGGTAAGGACTCCTACCAATAACCGCCTTCTTTCGCTCTGTCTCCGCTTCCTTCTCAACCACTTTTTGCTTCTGCTGGGCAATCAACAGTTTTGTTTTTTCACCTTCCCTTTGAAGAAAGAAAAATAATTTCCAGCTGGTACATGTACATGTAGTTCATACATTATTTTTTACCAGCATTGAGGTACACGTGGCTTTATCTGTTCATATATCCAAAATAGTACCTGAACAGTAAAACGTTACTCATCCCACATACAGAATTTGATGAACCGTAATTCAAATTCAATCTTGGAAAAAACAAACCACTTTTGCTGTACAAATTGCCACGCATAACGTTTTTGTATATTTTCACCTGTTAAGTCTTGTTACAGGTCAGAGATAAATTTTTTAACCCAGGTTGATTCTCAATTCCCCTTTATCTCCTAACAGGCCCTAATTCACGAATATCTAAGGCTAGGAGACAAAGCAAATTGAGAAATTACAGTCATTACATTCACATGCATTTATTGTACAGTGTAAGAGATTCTTTCAGTGATTTTGTTACAAATAGTTATGGTGAGTTCTGGGACTCATCTTGTGGAAAATCAGGAGTCCCAGTCCAGAACCGCTGAGTCCCAGTTCAAATATCAATGAGTCCCTAGGTCTATTGTAACCACACAGTTAATCTGAGAACAGACTCCAAAACTCTGTATTGATGGATTTCACAGTGATGTCATCAAATTGTAAAGTCAAAATAGCGAGGTTTTACGAATAAACAAAAAGTAAATCTTTGTACAAGTTTCCATTCCCGTGGCATGTTTCACTTCGAAAATACAGCAATTTAAACTTCCGAGTTTTTACAGTGCGTGACACCGACTGATAGGAAGGCTGTCTCGTAGAAAAAAAGTCTCTCCTCTTGATTTTCAGCAGTACAACCATTTCAAGTATTAGAAGGTATGTTTGTGCACACGTATGCTAGTTCTCGTGTGAAAAGAAAGAGCTTTTATAGAAAAAGTGAACTCCAGATGTTTTTATTTCCAGCGGCCATATTGGTGCACCCAAACGGAACTCCAATATGGCGTCTCCAAATGAAAGCTCTACACAGGTGTTTGAAACGTTTCCGCAAATAACTCAGAAACTGTGGGCCACAAAGACCTGAGACGTGGACAAATTGTTCATGTATTAGTCTTTTATAACATGTCATTTTCTTGGCTCCTTCCACTGGACGGTTTCCAATTTATTTTTTTTGTTGCGTGACAGTGAAAACGATATATTATTGCAGTTTACTGAAATAAAAATATACTCCTTCTATATAATTGTAAAGCACAACAAAGACTAAAGAAATAAGCATCATTTAACAACAGCCACAAGAACAACCACAAAAATTACACAAACAGGATATTCTACAAAAAACATCTTTAGATCAATCAATCTTTGCATCCTACGGGATACATGACACAAATTATTTCATGTCTTTGGGGATTTTTATGCACCAATGACACAGGATACAAAGGTAACAACAAAATCACTGTTCTTTTGGACACCTGAAAAGACATCTTTAATTTAAATAACTTTATTTCATCGCATGAAGATGCCATCAGATCACACTTACATTGCTTCATAGTTACGCCTGATACTCTCAGGTATCTTGGGTTTGGTCACTCTCACAGCCTGTGTGCAAGTCATAAACCATATTATTAAAAACTGAATCATTGGATAATGACATCCTAGAGCTTGCATGGGCTTATTCATCATGGTATATTTAGCAATTAATGAATGAGGCTGAGTAGGATATGAAGAATTAAGCAGATCGAGGAGGTTTTTATCCACAGAGGTCGAAGGCCGAGGTGGATAACACCCTCTGAGACCTGCTTCATTCTTCATATCCTACCAAAGCCGAATTCATTAATTGCTTTATTATTCATTCAAAATAATTCCTAGTTTAAAGACATAGGTAAAACATGCTTACCTGCATCAATGTTAAGTTTATCTTCGATAGTGTACATTTAGGTTTGTCCAGCTCCGCAAATATTCTCCAAATAGCAGATGTCGCCCTCCGAGTTGTCTTCTTGCTGTTTTTGCTATGTTTTTAGCCATTATTTTGCCTAGTTCCAGCAGTAGTTCTTACTCTTGAAACGAGTGAAGTGTCCACCATTTTAGTTTCACATCAAAAACAACTCAACCTCATCCCCAGGTCTTCTCAGTTAAAGGTGCATTAACCTGTAGAAGGCTGCATTTTTGATGTCATTTCCTCGTTAAACACAAAATTCTTCCAAATTTTGTCATCAGTAACTGGTTATGGTGAATTATGCATGTTCTTTTAGCCAATCAGAATTGGGAAAATATTTTGAATGAATACAATGGAACCCCGCCTTACGACCACTCCGTTTATAAGACCACCTCGTTATTACGGCCATATTCTTTCAAACCAAACGTAAAAAGCATTGAGTCATTTTATTATTTTGAAGACCCCGTTAATGCGACCACCTCGTTATTACGACCAGGATTTTATGGCCCAACGGTGGTCGCATTAATGGGGTTCCACTGTAATAAAAGCCATCATACCATCCTCTGCAAACATGGTAACTGTGCGCGTCTGCTCAAATTCAAAAACAAGCTGATAATAGGTTGTTTTTACAAATAAAGTCGGGAAGAATTCTCAATATTTTGTGGGCATTTTAATAAAACAATTATTCCACTCGCGCTTGTTGGATTTGAGATGATTATAGCCAACTCACCATCTCATATCCAACGCACACTTGTGGAATAATTGTTAATTACAATTCACAGCACATACATATGTATTTTTGACATCAGAGGAATCTCAAAATGGACAGTAAAATATATTAATAACTGGCATCTCACCTGAACTCTCAGGCCTGGAGCCATTCCAAGCAAATCTAACTGAAGGGCAGTCTTCAGGTTTTCATCAATTTGATCTTTTAAATGAAATACAGCAAAGTTAGCCATGATGCTACAGTTCACTAAACAAAAAGCGCAGTACTACAAAAAAGTGAGAAAGAAAATTTGTGGTGATGTTTCAACCCTGAATCATGTCTTAATCAAGTCAAAAATGAAATTATTTTCTGAATTTATTACTAAAATTATTATCACTACAATAATAATGATTCAATTTTGTCTCCAACATTTTTGAAGTTCTCAAGATTTTTTGACTACAAAACATTAGTTGAAAACATTTATCAATAAAACTTATATGTACAATTCTAGATGCATTAATCCTGAAAATACCCACCAAATAGGTCAATGTAGACTTCTTGAAGGGTGTGTGCACTGCAAAACTATAAAATGGAAGAATACACAAACAAGTCGGTTTTCAAATGGATAAACACACCGGAAGACATCACAAAGAACTATACCAAGTGTTTAAGCATTGATACGTGTATACTTCTTACAATATAAGTGTAGGGTTACTTCCATTAGAGAAGCAGAAATATACTAAAATTACAGAAAAATTAAATGATAAAACTAACTAGATACAACAAAAAATGTAAAATGCAACAAAGGCGCCAAGAAATGTTGTGGTTTGGGAGTTTTGCTCCGCAAGATTGACAATAAAAGCACTTTTCTTTTATCTTCTGGTTCATATTCCTGCATGTATTTTCTACTTCTTTCTTTTTCAAAGAAATGGCAGGGTTTTTTTCACATTCAGTTTGTATTCATATATCAATGTGGTTCAGGGCAGTTAAAGGATTAATCTGATGTTCTTTTGCTCTATAATAATTTATTACTGTAAATAATAAAATGTTACAGGTCAAAATGAATTCAGGTTAAAATTTTTTTAACCTGGGTTGATTCTCTATTTCCCTTGTCTCCTAAGTAAAACCATTATTATTCAGTTAGGGCTAGGAGACAAAGGAAATTGAGAATCAACCCAGGTTAAAAAAAATTAACCTGAACTTCATCCTGACTTGTAACATTTTTGTCATTTATAAGCTGTCCATGAATCTATACTTTTAAGACGATTTATTGAGTCAAAAAGATAAAATGAAATTATTCAATCCACATCATGGTAAAAGTCCACAACAACAATATGGCAAGGCATTTTAAAAAACATACCTGATTAAGTTCATGATGTATCTTGTTAAAAATCAAAGCTTTATCATAGTCAGCTGTGTAATTTTTCACAATGTCAAACACTGCAAAACGGATGGAAAACTGCTAAGAAATCAGGGTTGTCAGAAAGTTTTGAAGTAGATGGCTGAGTTGTCAAAGTAAGCGGCCAGTCCAGGCGTATTTTATTTAAAAAACACTATCTGTAAAGAAATGCCAAGCAGAGTACCCAGCCGATACTAACCAAGTAAGTGGCGATTTTGGCTGGCAGCCGGCTACTTTTGGCAACACTGAGAAATATATACACAGTAATTTTCAAAAGAATTACACATGTAAAAGGACAGTTTCTATAATAATATTATGTTAAACCCAATCATTTCAGAGAGCCCAGAGGTGTCATTAAGGACGGTAATCCACAACACCTGTTACGGCTGAACTCACTTGATGTTACAGGTGATCCAAGTGGAAAGCTAAAGGTGGCACAATAATTTTTTATGAGATGTTACGGGTGAATCTTCCTTTGCTATGGCTGCTTGCAAAACTTGATGACAGCCCTGGAGCCAACTAATTATTATTAGATTTCTACATTGAATGCAAGGTCCTTGTTTGTTTGTTTGTATCTGGTGATCATTTTGCATTGCTTTATGTTAAATATACACTGTATTTTCTGTACAACACATGCTGCTTTCAAAGTTTACAAAGTATCGTATTGCAAGTACAATTAATAGTGGTTTATTTGACTGTAAACCAATAATGAAGACTTCAGTCATCATTATATTTTTGGTTTCATATGTTTATTACTTGTTTGATTTTGAATAATTATTATTTGTGAGGACAAGTGCCAACATTGTCTACTTATGTATTTTGAATCAGACTTGACTAGAAAAAAACTGGGCTAAACACAGCTAACTTTGCCACCCTTCTCAAAAGTTAACCTTTGAATATTATCATATTTTTAAATAATAATTCGAGTTAAAAGTTGCTGCTCAACTGTGAGGAAGAAAGAAACAGTTAAGCATGGACATGTGGTAGTATTTCATCAGATTTACCTTACCTGAAGAAGAATCCAAAATATTAACAACTTCAATGCGATCAAAGTAAATAACAACACCACCACTGGAGAGAAAGGAAAGATTGTGAAGTATTAAGACGGAATCCATCAGGAAATTAAGTAATTCTAATTTTCAGTGAACAAAAACCTTGTACCAGAATAATTTAACGCATATTGCATTCTTTTCTCATTGGAGCCTGAGAAAAATGTCAGTTTCACAAAATGACATCTTACACATGAAATTTTCAGTTTAACTGTGTTTTTACGATTCTTGTGAAATTTGACATTCATTTTCTCGGGCTCCCATGAGAAGTTGTCTTTGGTGTTATTCCAAATAACTAATTAGTAACATATATAGCCCTTGAAAAGTGTAAACAAAGCATGCAATATTGTTTATATGCTGGTACAAGGAAAATGCTCACTTTCCCGGTGTATTCCATCTTAATACAACTTATAAAGTACAGTACCAACAACAGGATTCATGGCCCAGGTCAAACCACCTCATTTCGTGTACTTGACTCTACATGTATTTCTGCTGCAAGTTACACCCATTCTCAGGTTAAACGTTAATTTCCTTTGTCTTCTACAAATAATTAGAGTTAGGATACAAAGAAAATTCTACATCAAAGTAGGTTAGACACTGTTCAACCTGGCAAAAAGATTTTACCCACGTTACCCACCTTGTTCCACACGGAACATTCTTAACTTCATCAGTTTGTAATGTAGTTTGAACTGATCGGTATGATGTGAGAAATGGAATCATGATATGATAACCTGGCCCACTGGTCGAAGAAAGCAAGGCACCACCCTGGAATGACGCAAGATATAAAACATTAAGTCTTTTAAGTGTTGCTGTATTTCGCATGTCATACATGTATCTCTTAAAACATTGTTTTTATGTTCAGATTTGTATCTAGTTGCCCTACAGGAAAATCTATCTCACTTAAAGCTAGCCCGGAACGACTGGTAATAAGTTTTTTGTAACCCTGTACACCAAAAAATCTTATACAGTCAAACCTCTACTAATGGCCACCTCTTTACAACGGCAATTTTTTTTGCCGGACAGTCCATACATTCACTCTTGTTTCAACCTCTCTACAATGGCCACTTTCTTCTGTCCCCAAGGTGGCCGTTGCAGAGAGGTTCAACTGTAGCATAAAGTGAATTAAATTAAAGTAAACATCTTGATCTTCCTTCTTCAATAGTTACTGTGACTTCTCATTCAATGACTGAAACTGTTGCAAGGCATAACAATAACTTTTGTTGTACCACATGCAGTAAGTCATTAAAAACCAGAAAATAATATTGTCGCACATTAGTTTATATGTGCTGTCTTTTACCTTTTAAATACTATTCAAATCTTTGGCTACAAAGTAAAAGTCTTGAAAATATTTGATTTGTACATTCATCACATCCACCCACAGAAAGATAGGATTTCATCAGAAATGGGCAAATTTTTGCAGTGAACAAGTCTTAATTACAGCTCCATTTAAAGGACATAATATTATTGTTTTACTCACAAGGCTCCCGTTGTTCAAACGGTGGATAGCGCTATCCACTGGATAATGCAGTTGGTCTTCATACTAATTATATCTGCTGGAAAGCGATTTATCCGGTGGATAGCACTATCCAATTTTTGAACAACGAGGCAAGTTGTTTAAGTACTTACCCTATAGTAAACTCCTACATGCCCTTCAAGTAAAAGATGAAAGTGTTAGGTTTTTTTTGCAGAAATTGAATATTAGTACACAAATAACAAATGAATACCTTTTTCTGCACACCGGAATATGCAGTGATCCAAACATTTTATTTTTGTGCAACTCTAGATCTGTGTTTATTAATTCTAAAATTAACTTGTTAGAGGCAGCTCTTTCTGACGGTGCACTTTTCATTGTATACAAGTATGATAGACTTTAATTTTTTGAAATGTTCTTTTTTTCTTTTACATTACTTATGTATTCATTCCCTTTTTGTGCGTGGTTACCCAAAATCAATGAAGTTTATAAAAAATAGTAACTTTTAGCAAGCATAATTTTGCATAATTTTGATATGCTATAGTGCTAAATCCAACAGATGCATTTTCATTAGAGGAATCCACTAATAGTAGTGGATTCCTCTAATGAAAATGCATCTGTTGGATTTAGCACTATAGCATATCAAAATTATGCAAATTATCCTACTGTTGGTTAATCCACCTGTTTAAACACTTCATTTTCACCTGTCCATAATGGAGACCCTCTTGGGGGGAGGGGGGAGTCTTTCCCAGGTCTGAATTTCAAATAATAGGCCCTGTATTGTCCCCACCTCCCCCCCGCCCCCGACAGTATTTGACTCATCTTTATCTCATCTGTCACCATTTCATCTAGACTTAGGTCGCTGCTTCAAGGCCTATATCATACCCCCTGAAATGGGCCAATACATTTAATACCCGTACCTCCCGAGGGACCATGGAATTATTCCAGGGTAAGGTAAAAAAAAAAATGAGGATTACTTTATATGGTAAAGTAAAAAAAATATGAAATTCTTTGAGGGTGAAGCTTTAATTTTCACGAAATTCTTCAGGGGTAGGACCCATATTTTATGGAAGTCTTCAAGGGTGGATGCAATTTTATTTGATCTTCAGGCGTTAGAAGAAAACGTAGTTCCTTAACCAGGGGGCCAAGGATATATTAAATGCAATAGCCCAGTTTTTAGTTTAGGTCGGGGCTAGCTAACATCTTGCAAGAAATAATGTTAAACGTGTAAATCACTTGACATTTCTGAAACCTAAGAAAACCTTAAGAAAAAGGCTTAAGTTAGTAACAGAATCTCTTTAAAGAGAAAAACACAGTTTTCAGTCAGACCTTTCGTTTTTTAAGTTTGCGTGAATTGTGGCAACGCTTTACAAGTTTATCGTTGCAGAATTATTTCTTGCAAAATAAAAACAAACAAATCCAATTACATCCAAACAAGTGGAACAATGTTTATTCTTACCTTCATCTATTTTGTGAATGGAGAAATTGAACATCACTGCTGTTAGTGCAAAAAGCACACCTAAAACCGCGGCGGCCGCCATTTTGAAAGGAAGCAAAGTGAAGAATCCAGAATGCAATGCGGGCAAAAAACAGGTGTCTAACATAGCCTTAGTCCCCTCACGACCTTAAAAGAGGCTTAATTTTTCTGTCGATTTTAACAGAATACTCCTCCATTTGTTTTGAGTTTCTATTATATGTCATTATCTGAAAAGATTGATTTACCCCTCTCAGGGGAATAGAAAATTGGCAAAAGACGAAAAGGCAGCCAAGTTGACGACCTGGAGAGTCACGTGACGTCGATTGGAACAATCGTTCAATCATTGAAGAGAATAACATAGTAGAGTGGACTTCAAACATGGCGGGTAGTTCTTCGCAGGTCTCAAAACAACCTTTCCACGAGACTTATGAACTGAAAGAAGAGTTGGGAAAGTACGTATTTTTTGAAGCCGACTGAACCTTTTTTTTCGATGTGTGTTTAACTTTTGTTTGCCGTATATTTCTCTCAGAGGTGCTTTCAGCATCGTTCGCCGGTGTGTGCATAAGGAGACAAAAGTTGAGTATGCCGCGAAAATTATCAACACCAGGAAATTGTCGTCCAGAGGTAAGAATCGAGTTTTCAGCTGTTCTTGATACTGACAAATTATTGCTCCCATATTGGACTCTTAGTTTCAAGTTTAAATCCTGACGTTTGAGAATTATTCTTGTGATTTTCATCTTTAATTGAGAAAAAAAAAGAAAATTCAATTGATTTACTGTGAAAGAGTCGTTTGAAAAGCTGCAGACTTGCACAGGTTGTATGAGAGCGAAAACAGAATTTTTGGTGGAGATCGAACAACCATTTCGGTGACACTTTTGTTTTACAAGGGCAACGGTATTCTTTCCGCAGACACAAGTTCGCCTTTTTATACCCAAGGACAGTAGAAAAATATTACGATTGAAAATTTAAGCCACAGAGGAAATTGTTTATATTATTTGACCGTAGCTGCAAAGAAGGGTTATTTGTAAAAAAATATATTAAGTTTAACGTTTTGATAAACATACAAGCTTACAGTAAAAAAAATATGACAAAATTCAAAACAGATGTCTACGATCTAGCGTTTGACCTGAGTGAATTTAATATTTCAACGCCAAAGCCCTCAAACATATAATTCGCAGTGGGCGAGAAGACAACTTGTTTTCCACCTGTGTAGATCGTAAATTGTGATATTTGCCCGGATTAATTTATCTAACATTTCCCTTCTTGTTCATTTAGATCTACAAAAGCTCGAAAGAGAAGCTAGGATATGCCGACTACTCAAACACTCAAACATAGGTGGGTCGATATAGAATTTACTTTATTGAAAGTAATAAAGCTTAAATATCACGCGAGTAAAACGGAAGGCCCTAAAATTTTGATCCCAATGTTATGGAAATGCTCTCGCTGTGTAATCGTTAATTTTTTCCTGACGAATGTTTGACCGAAAAGTCAAATTATTTTTTAGATTGTACTCCAGTAGAAATAGTGAGCTACGTTTTGTGACCAAAGAAATCAAGCGACGGGTTGTCATATTCTTGTCTGACGCTGTGCGCCTTGAAGCGATGACTAGCTCAACAACTGTACAAACAGAACGAGAACTACATTGACTTGAGCGTGGGCTAAAAACCCCGGCTTACTAATCGATGTAATCATGTGCTTTTCCTCGTTAAGCTAGTTTAGCAAAGTTAGACAAATGACTCATTAATTGGCGTTTGTTCGCGGCCAGATAGCTTGACTTTGATGAAACCTGTTTACTGGGCGGTATTTTCGGTAGTGTTGTTATTCACCTTCAAATTGCCTGCGTAGGCGGACGATGTGGAAGTTCATCTTATTTCTTTTATGTAGTTTGTCACACAAAATCGAAGTACTTGTATCTCATGAACACATAACCGGTGTACGAGAGGCTAACAACTCATCGTTTGCTTTTGTGGTTAATTGTCGTGAGGGAGGGCCATATCAATTTAAACCAGGCAGCCCAGTAGATCTTTTCATGAGATAAAGATTCTGAATTTGGTTTGCGGAGGTGACGGATTTGATAACTTTCAATTTTAAAAATTTTATATCAAGAACGTTTATGTAAATCTTAATCGCCAGTCTCGATGTTTATGTAGCTTATACAAAACATGAATTTGAATATCGGTCCAAAAAGTACAGAGAAACCTGAGATCCTTTTGAGAACCGAAGCGATAATTCAAACCGTGAAGCATTTTTTTCCAATTCTTGTCAGACTCAAGTTGTTCTTAATAATATATTATTTTTGGTGAAATTGTTAGAAAGGGAAAATTTACATGTGTCAGTAATGCAGACTTGACACGTGTCTATTTCGCGGGAAAGTCTTTCACACGCGATTTATGCTTTTGAGTGGTTTCTCAAGATTCCTTTTAACCTAAGCAATTGATCATTGCCTTACGTGAGCTGGAAATTTTAAAACAGTTGGAGGGCGAGTGGCTTGAAGCTCACAAAACTGTTTATACTCCCGCAAAACACGAAAAACACACTTCTTGCTGTGAAATTTGCATTTTTATTTGATTGTTGAAAGCCAACTTCTTTATTGCTAAGGTGGTGTATTTTATTCCTTCTAAATCGACTTATTATGCAGTCAGAAAAAAGTTGAAAAAGGTTGTAGACGATAGTGTATGAAATTGGATGTCATATAACAACATAAAGCAACAACCCCAGGTTACAAGTCTCTCGGATGCTGTTAGGCCTTCTCCAAGGGGTCGAGACAAATTATCACACTCATTAACACCATGATGAGAGAAATTTGCACAAAGCATGTCCAAGACGATTCTGTGTAACGGTCAATAACAACAACTCTTTTTTTATATAAATAAAAAGCCTAAATAATTAATTTCGGTAACAGAAATGCTTCACAGTAGATCATTGACACCTAAACCCTATTACTATCAATAAAACTTGTTTCAAAATAATCAAAAGGTGTGAATCAACTCATCAGTGGTCATTTAAGTTCTTATACATTCTATTTTTATTTTCTTTTGTATACTGTGGTAATTGTTTTAAAGGGTGCCTGTGTAGATATGCAAATCTTTGAAGCACTTTGTTCACCTTTTGTCTTGTTATTTTTCTAACCTGGAAGATGAAAATGACATTGAAATTTACTTTCTTTTGTTTCATTCTTTTTATGAACTTTGATAGCTACATCAGGAATGATAGAGTTTTTTTTTACAAAATTCAAATGCATTATAATGAGCTCATAACACGACATTATTATATTTTCGTATAGCATTTCGTTCTCAAATCAAACTTTAAAATCAGTGTTTTTCTCCTCTTGCAATAATCCATTTATGTTATAGCTAGAACTCAATGCTGAGACTAATATTCTAAAATCCATGAGTTGAAGACACAAATTTGGAGGTACATAACAACAACTTCATGTGACCTTCATTAACTGATAAACTGTATGCTTTATCTGATTATTTCTCAGCTTTCACCTTTATTTGTCTATTTAAGTTAAAAATATACACCAAAGAGACCTGAGATTGAAATTTCTTTTTATATCTAATGTCCTTATGAGTTAAGTGCAGTTAACGTCAATGTGTTAAATGCACTTGTTTTTGGACTAAATAAAAACAGGAAAGTATCTAATAATAACCTGATTTGTGTGCTTATGAAATTATTATTTTATTAATATGTCTTGGTAACCTTTCAACCTTCTTCACTACATGCATGTGCTCATAAAAGTGTTAAGAGAGATTGCAGATGTGTCCATTAACCCTTACACAAAAGACAAATTCTGTACGCATTGAGTGTTTTCTACAATAGAAATGTTCATGTTGCTGGAGACAAGTTGTTTGCAGATATCATTTTACTTCTTTCTAGAGGAAGGTTTGATTTTAACAACGAATGCAGACATTTCCTCTGGAAATAAATTCTTAGTGCAGATTATTGTCTGTGGAATGCTTGAAATGCTGCCCACTGACTGTCACAGTTAGCTTTTGTATCCAAAACAATCAGTAATAATATTTACTCTTGTAAAATTAATTTTTTTTAAGTGACCATGCCCTGTCCTATCGATATTTAAAATGTTGGGATAAAGGTACAGTATTGTAGCTGTGAGACATATATGGGCAAGAGGCAACATCAGAGAGTTCGTTTAGTGACCTTAGTCTGACAATGAGATAGAAATTGACTTGGTACTACTAAGAGACTTCCCCGACGACCAAGTTCTTCATCTTTTTTAAAATAAACTGTCAATAAACAGTTATAGTTTTGCTCTGGCACATCTTCATGTTCTAATAATTATTTACAGTTTTGTTGGAAATTAACTTACCATGACTTGCTGGAGCTAATGAAAATTTAATAAGTGCCCAGCTAAGGGGGTCCTAATAGAATAATTACCGCAGTATCCCATTTTCTTTAACTGAGTGCATTTTATCATGATATAATTTCTTGACATGTTTAGAATTAATATACTATTTAGCCTGTGAAAACAGCTGACATTTCATGACACCACTACTGGTTTCCCACAAAATGACGTCAGAGAAACAAGGACATAAATTCCATACTGTTGACTTGACACTACCCAGATCTGGGTAGTGACAAGTTGTCAGTATAGAATTTCTGCGCTTGTTTCTCTGACATCATTTTGTGTGGAAACCAGTGATGGTGTCATGAAATGTCAGCTGTTTTCTCAGGCTATAGAATACATGGCCCAGAATATTTTTCTGTACAGCCTTGTTGCACTCAGAGTTCATAATTTGAACATAATCATGTCTCAGGTCTACATTCCTGGCACTTTATGGTAAATAAGTTGTCACCTGCATGCTCATGCATACATGTATATTAATATGAAATGTAGATCTTCATTCTATTAGCATCAGTTGGCCAATCCTGTTAATTATAATTATTTAATTTACATGTAAACGTACTATATAATATGAATCATGGTTTTATCTTTGTCTTGCAGTTAGACTGCATGCAAGCATTGCTGAAGAAGGATACCACTACCTTGTGTTTGATTTGTAAGTTTATAAAATGTGCATATTATGCCTGCTTGAAGGGGGTGTGCATGCAGAAAAAGGCTCTGATTTTTAAACTCCTGATGTAGTATGAAATTCTTCCTCTGATTCAAAATCATCGAGATCAGATAAGATTAAATGAGGAGGAGATCTAGCATATTATCAAAATCACTGGAATTAATTAATAATTAACGAATGAGGCTGAGTATCTTATGAAGAATTATGGAGATCAAGGAGGGTGTTATCCTTCAAGGCCGTAGGCCGAGGCGGATAACACCCTCCGAGATCTCCATAATTTGTCATATGATACGAAAGCTGAATTTAATAATTGTTTTATTATTCATTCAAAATGATTCCTAGTTTAAAAACATGGCTAAAACATGCTTACACCCATCGATCCATCCTTCGATAGTGCACGTTTAGGTTTGTCCAGCTCCGCAAATATTCTCCAAATAGCAGATGTCGCCCTTCAAGTTGTCTTCTTGCTGTTTTTGCCATGTTTTTAGCTATTTTTTCGCCCAGTTCTTACTCTTGAAACAAGTGAAATGTCCGCCATTTTTCAAGTTCACAACCAAAACAACTCAACCTCACCCCCAGGTCTTCTTGGTTAACGGTGCCTTAACCTGAGAAAACGCTGCATTTTGACGTCATTTCCTCGTTGAACACAAAATTCTTTCAAATTTGGTCATCAGTAACTGGTTATGGTGAATTAAACGTGTGCTTTTAGCCAATCAGAATCGGGAAAATATTTGAATGAATAATAATGAGCTTTATTCCAGGTAACCCAGTTTTAATTATTACTTACTTACAGCCTGCGAGTATAAGATCTCCATTTTGAGCATAAATCAAAGTTGGTTGTGAGAGAATATGTGAGCAAGCACTAAAGCCACAAGGGGCAGCTTTCCCCACCCCTCACATGCTATTCGTCTTTCGTATTCCTCACTCTCCTGCATGACTTCTTATGACGTATTCTTCAAATGGAGAGCTTGCATGCTCGCAGCTAGGTTATGTACGAAATCATCCTTCTCCAACAGACTCTATGTACCCCAGGCAAAGAAGGAACTGCCTGTAAGCCCAGGACACTAGTCCTGCAGACCGAAATTACATCCTTAATCCAGTAGTGACTCGATCTTTTCAAAATACATGTATTAGCACTGAGCTAAAGTTTGTATTAATTTTTTAGACAAATATTAAAAAGTTGATAACAGACAAACATGTACATCTGGTGCACTTCCTTATAAATTACATGACACACCTTTCATTTTACTGCAGAGTAACAGGAGGTGAATTATTTGAGGATATTGTTGCAAGGGAATACTATAGTGAAGCTGATGCAAGGTAAGCTGAGTTTTTATATGTTTGCAATTAGGCCATTTAACATCTAGTATACAGGGTAGGTCCCAGTGGCTAGTGGAACAAAAAGGGGTTATAACACTCTGCACTTGGTAAATCACAGTGCAGGTTTTGAGCAAGGAAATTGGGACCTAGTTGGCACCCATCTTAACTGTCAGACCAGTAGTTCTAAAACCAAGGTGTTTTTTATCATTTTTTAACTGGGTTTCCACTTTTTGTACAAAAACTGGAGAGTTTTTTAAACATTAAACATTACTAAAAATAGTGATGTAACATTGTGCCAATAGGATCTTATTTTAATACTTTTTAATTACTACTCTGACTTGAACTATTTTTATTTTTTTGTGCTTCTTTATTCTTTAAGTCACTGCATTCAGCAAATACTGGAAAGTGTGCATCACTGTCACCAAAATAATGTTGTTCATAGAGACTTGAAGGTACTAAAAATAATTTGGATATAGTGTTGATAACTTTTTTTAGTCAATAATTAACTATTGGTGAGTTGAATAATCTGCAGTTTGTTTAACTAGTGAATACTACTTCAGCCTCCACCTTATAAACTTCTTAATTGTCGTTGGGACTTTATTTTCACAAGATATCAGACATCTGCATTTTAGCCCCCAAATAATCCATATTGATGACATAAATCTGTTCAGAGGCTCAAATTAGTTGACACAATGCAATAATAATATTGTACTATTTTAGGTATTATTTGGGAACGACAGAGAAAGGACATAACTTTAACCATGATACTGAAAACTTTTTGCTTACCGTGTTCTAGTTTGTTGCCTTCTTACAAACTTACAAAAGGACATAGGAAAGAAAAAATTTTAAAAAAAAATTAATATTACATGATATTTACATGTTATTTTTCCCTTAGCCAGAGAACTTACTTCTAGCAAGTAAAGAAAAAGGTGCCGCTGTTAAGTTAGCAGATTTTGGGTTGGCTATTGAAGTAGATGGTGATAAGCTGGGCTGGTATGGTAAGTGATCAGGTACTTTTCTAGTTTAAAATGTGAAGTAAAATCCATGTAATTATCTGCTTATATTAAATTAGTGTTCAAGTTGGCTCTCAATATACGGTTTTCTTTTCATATTTTTTACCATAAGCGCTTTATACCCAGACCTTCTCGATAAATACATTACTGTTGCTGTGGTAATCATTTACCATAGCAACTGTAAAGCATTTAAATTACCCTTGATTTTACCTTAAAGTCATAACTTAAAAATAACTCCTATCTTTCTCGGGAAGAATTCCTTGGGACCCAGTCAATAATGTCTCCCTGTATTACCATAGTGTCCTTTTTCCACTTAGATTAGAAGTTTATTTTCTCTTTTTCCTCCAAGAAAATAAGCCCATGGCAAATTGGTGAGAAAGCTACTAACAGGTGTTGGCTCTTTGCGATTGTGATGCTCTTCATGCCTCCACTTTCTTTTAGAAGGAGGAACAAGGATGGTAGAGTTTTCCTGTAAGGGGTAATCATAGGTGTGTTTGTTGCTGTCCCATTATTTCTGTTTATTTTTTTTAGGTTTTGCTGGTACACCAGGGTACCTCTCCCCAGAGGTCTTAAAAAAGGAGCCTTATGGTAGACCAGTTGACTTATGGGCCTGTGGTAAATATTAACTATAATACTTCTATTTTGATGTTTGTCTCTTACAAAGAATAGTGCAGTATACACTGTAGACATTTCGTTCAAACTGATAAAAACACTTATTTACGTGTCACTGTTTTTTTTTTTCGTAGGAGTCATCTTGTACATTTTACTTGTTGGTTATCCTCCATTCTGGGATGAGGATCAGCACAAGTTGTATTCTCAGATAAAAGCTGGTGCATACGACGTGAGTATTACATCAAGCATTACAAGGCTATAATTAAGTAATATTAGCCTAGAACGCTTCTGGTAGTCACAGCTTTATCCATAAAACGCAAGGTTTTCTATTAGAGATGGTTATGGCCCGAAATTAAGATACCAAACCTCATATAATCCCCATTTATCTTCTATGCGGACATTTTAGTGTCGCTGAGTTTTCTACATAGGAGATAGGACAGACTGCAGTTTCAAATCCCACACTGAGTCGTGCGATTCAACATCACTGATTTCCTACAGCTGCCTTCTCAGTACCCCTCTTAACTCAGATCTCACTGCCCTGTTTTGGTGAAGTTGTATTATACAGACAAGCTTTTAAAAGAGGGCGTATCACTTGTGTCATTACAATAATAATGTATAGTAAAATTCGTCACTTTGGTTCCCTAGCTCGATGGGTTCACCACATTTCCTTTGGGACTTAGCACCTCATTTACGCACGTGGTGCGTCCCCCTTAGACTAAAGTGAGATGTTTTTTTCTTGTTTTATTTCCAACACCAAACCTTTGTCCATACAGTTTGCTGCAAAATGCAATTTGTAGTACACATAACGGTATAACCATCATAGAACACATATCATTTACTAATTAAGCAAGGCGGAATCGTGGAATTTTGCATACGGAGATTTAAAACTCTTCCTCTCTTTCCTTGCTAGTACCCCTCACCAGAGTGGGACACCGTCACGGATGAGGCGAAGGTAAGCATAATTAACCTTCAAACTTTCAAGGTTACGTTAGAACCAATGCAAAAATGGCTGCTGGATTAATTTTCTTTTGTTTAAATTAAAATTAGGCAGACTAGACTCCTTCTTCAGTACAATGTTCAAAAGAATACATTAACTTAAGCAAGGCTAGTCAGGGTAATTGTAACTTAAACAAAAGATTATTAATCCAGTAGCCATTTTCACAATGGGTCTATACATCGTGTAAAATAATGAAAAACCTATCGCATCATGCAAACGCCCTGTTAGGTAAGTGGCATGCAACTTCACAGGATTTTTTCTATGGTAACATTATAGAATTTTGTCCACTGACTGGAAAGTTAGTACTACCTGATCGCGTGGCGACCCGTCCTGAGGTGCTCTCAAAACCGTTATTAAATTTTAAAGTAAAGCTAGCTGATTATCCCTCAAGCTTATGTACCTATAGCTTTTAGCATCCCGAGCCGTCCCTTGTCGTAACATGGCTGGTTTCACGATAATAGTTTTCATTAATTCGTAGTCTTTCTAGTATCTTTTCCCCAGTTTCATATTATTGAAAAGCGAAAATGAGCTAGCATGGCATTAGTACAAGCCCGTCCGCTTGTCTCTCTCTCTACAGGAGCTTATAAATACATTGCTCTCTGTGGACGCGTCCAAAAGAATCACTGCAGCAGGAGCCCTGAAACATCCATGGATCGTCGTAAGTATATAAAATCATCAGTGCTACTTTTTTTAAAATCAACGTATGTCCGTTTCTTTTTTCTTGTTGCTGGAAATCAGGCGACCCAGAATGTTTTTGAACGTATTTATGGTCTCATTTTGTGTTAAAAAGAGAGTCTCAACCTGACACAAATAGTTGGGATATTGCAAGCTCGACTAGTCATCTACGATTGTCTAAGACTCTGGCTACGGCTGTAGTATAGCTTTGCATGGTCGCCCTTGTGTCTAGACATACACGGAGGTGAAAATGCCAAAGAACTCCATGCCACTTATGTTTGGTCTCGTCTCTGCGATTAGGTCTTCAATGCTACAAGGTACTGAAAAAAAAGTATACATAACAATTGCGTCATTTTTTCAGAACCGTGAACGCGTTGCATCTAAAGTACACAGGCAAGAAACTCTTGACGGACTGAAGAAGTTTAATGCAAGAAGAAAGCTGAAGGTTAGTCCAGGATAAAAGATCTCGCTGTTAGTATCCTGTGGTTACAGGTACTGTAAATTCTATATTCTTGGGCCTTTGCTTATATTCACTCAAACAGGCTTTTGAGAGTTACCAACATATTTCAGTTTGTAATGATGTATAATTCAGATTACATTGTTGGACTTCCGAATGGTGTCTAACGCCAAGTCTGGGTTCAAGGTTGATGTTATGCAAGCCTTAGATTGACGAATTTGGTCTTTGAATTTGGTGTAATAGAAGTAGTTAAGCACGATTTTCTGGTGGGTGAAACTGGTCGCCGGAAAGTGATTTGGAACGAAACGGGTTGTAGCAAGTGATTCAGGCTTCTAAGAAAGTATTACTTGAATGTAACATGTCCTTTGAGAAGAAATAACGCATCTGCCGATATAGCAAAAAGAAAGCGGGAGGGAATCTCGGTTTTGTTATTTCTGTAAAATATGCAGTCCACTATTTCTTCTTGAATATCCGCAGCATTTCCACAGATTGCTGAGCAAACCAATCACAACTCCGAACATAAAACTGTAACCGCTGTTAGGGCGGGAAAAACCACTTGTAGCGGGTGGCAATGGCGGGAAAAGTTGTATAGGCGACACCACTTTTCTTTGGCTTTTGTCTGATTGGTTGAAAATTCAGAAGTTACCTGTGATTGGTTTATACAGCTTGCACATTTATGAATGATAATCTTTAAATATTGATGTAATATCCAGCTTAAAAATATTTCAAAAAGTGCGGTGCGATATTTGTTTTCAACAGGCAGTTAAATAATGGGAAAAACGTTTCAACATGATTGCCGTGTGTTTTTATTTATTTGAAACTATGTTCTTTTGCGTTACTCAGGTTTGTTTCGTGTTTCTTTAGGGTGCAATTCTCACCACAATCCTGGCTACAAGTAATTTTAATCTCTCTGCAGGTATAATTAATATTCTACTCGGTATTCATTGATATCACGATACTGTTGTCGTTTCAGGGTGCCATCTTAACCACCATCGTGGCGCGTAGGTTTTCTGCTAATTCAGGTAACCAAATAATCTCATAACACCCAAACTCATTAAATATAAATCTTAAACGCTTTGAGACAAATCGTTTCTTTTTTGGATAAATAATTCTTAATTAACGAGTATGCGTTTTGATTAAATGTTTTAAACCCGTTGTAATTTTGAAAAAGTTGAATGTGACTTTGTTCTGGCGGTAAACATGCAACTCACGATTAGATAATGAATAAATAATAAATAATGAAATAGAATATAACTTATAATCAATAAAAGTAACTGGGAGAACTTTAATCAGCAGAGACATTTGGCCTGCATCCACTTAAATATCTTATGATTTTGTTAAACTGGATGACTTATTAGGTGTATGAGAGAAATACATGTTAGTCCGATTGTCTAACAACTTGGTACAATTCACTGCTGAGCGAGTAAGAATTAATACCTTTCTTGGCATATAACGAAAACTTCCTTAAAGTGATTTTCACTTTTGTTAAATCCAGCCGAGAAGAAGCGCCGTGGCGCCAGCAGTACAATTTTGTTGTTCAATTGTTAATTTCATTTTGTTCATTCGTCCGAGTTCTCTAACTGATAAATAACTATGTAACTTTGTCAAACAAGTCTCAATAAACCATTAGGTTCTGTAGATTAATGACCGTTCATATAACGCGACCTTTTATTTCCGTGTTGGCGCCTGTCTTAGGGTTTAACAGGGTCCTCACAGTCTTGAAAAGTCCTTGAATTTTAAGGAAAGTCCTTGAATTCCATTTTTCCTCGAAAAGTCCTTAAATTTCTGTGCCAGTCCTAGAAACGTCGTTGAATTTTCTTCAACTTTGAACGTGGTGGCCTGGAAAGTGTTTTTCATGCTTTTTGGGTTGTCGAAAATCATAACTCAGCGAAGTTAATCAATGGTGATTTGTATAAAACGTTTTTGTTTTATGCAATAGTTAACTATCAATTTAAGACAAGAGAACTGAAAAATGTAGAGAAGTTGGTGGAGCAACTATTAGAATGGACTGGAATGTGCATTGTTGTACAATCTGTGAAATTACCTTCCTGGTAGGTGGTCCTTGAAAATCGAATGAGGGGTCCTTGAAAAGTCCTTAAAAAATGGTTGCAATTTTTTGCATAAACCCTGGTTTAAGCGAGTTGTTTTCACCCCAATAACCTGACCACTTTAAAAGACGTGAAAGCATTAGCAGTGAGCCAAAAGGTTTTGTTTATAATTTTAGTCATTTCCAAGTCTCCAATTGAGAAACAAAAGACATTCCCTCGTGGAGGATCACTGGTTACCCTGTGTTAGTATTGATCAGCACTGTTATCCCTTGCAGGCTGTCGTGCATTTCTGTTTGCGACAGTACTGTCCAACCGTAAACATGTTCTGTTTCGTTTGACTTTAATTGAAATAAACTGCTAAACAGTCAACTGTAAATATAATAGCGCTTTCAATTCTTCGGTTAAAGACATTAGGGACCTTAAGCAAAGACGTTTTTGAGCGACGCACGTCAACCGTTTGTGCCCTAAATTTATATGCCTTCGCTAACAAACTTTTTATTGTAGAGTTTCTCACTGATTTAAAGACGAGGCTTTCCTGAGAGTTTCAACCAGAACCGTCCCCAAAAGCAAAAAAAGCCACTTAAACACACGTCCGTCCCTCAAAAACCCAAAGTAAGCTCCCTATTGTTAACCCATTGACAGTTCTGTGACTTTCGTTTGTGCCTTAAAGAGTCTGTAAGCGGCTTTCGCTCGCAAGGATTTAGTAACAAATGATAGCCACTGATAGAAACACCATTTGATGATAACATCTGCTCTGAACTTTGAAGATAATGCTACGTCATCGTTATTAAACTTCTAACACGAAACCGTTATTACAAATTACTGTGACTAAGAGATAAGCACTTCCTCTCCTTTTCACCCTCTGTTGGTCCATAATTGCGTTGTTTTAGCTTCCTCATTGCGGTTTGAGTCAGTGCATGAACCAATCTCGGTACAACAATGTCCTTCCCTTGGATAAGGAAGGTTCTTTGAGAACAGGGATTTTTTTCTCCGTTTGCAAAAAAATCCGTGTTCACACGTTGAGTTTTTTAATCGTTTAGGCCCGTCCACTCGAAAACAATAATGATAATGATAATGTTCAGTAATAATGTTGATGGCAGCATGCGCATTCATTGGCACTCAACACCGTGACGTAATCGTTTTCAAAAACCTCTATTTTCATCCATCCACACGAGTTTTCACCGGATACGTGTGAACGGTGGGAAAAACTGGAGAAAAAAATCTCTCTTTTTCAAACAAAAACGGATACGTGTTCACGGGGCCTAAGATAAGATTATCGTTTTACTTGAAATTTTCTTTAATGGAGGATACTTATTTGTCATTATTTAGTTTATGATAGTGCGGCAAAGTGGAAATTGTGGGTGGAATTGTGGTTAGAATTCAATAATTCGTTGTCGGCAATCACTGCATGCGGAAACAAATTTGGTGGAACTCATTGTTTCAGTTTTCGGCATCTGGTTTTTGCGAAGAGATATTCGGACTTGGAAATTTAAGTCTTGCGCAAAGTTAAAACCAGTCGTAATTAATCGTTGTCGTAGTGGCAGTCGTCTCAGAACTATCAGACTTATTTTGATTCGTTCTAAAGCATGTCTAAAGATAGGAAACCTCTACTCTTTCTAATGGTCGTTTTCTTTGTTTACAGTTCGGCCTTTTGTAAGCAAGAAAAAGGTAAGCGAGCTGGGTATTCTGCTGCACAGCCGTTTTTAGTGTCGTCACGCAACGCTCCTCGGGAACGCTGTGTTGCGTGACGACACTTAAGGTCTGGGATATTCAAACGCATTATATTTCGTGGGGTACCTACATCATGGTAGCCATTTGGTGCTAGGCAATACACGTATAGTTAGTTGTATCATTAGACAGGTCAAGCATCACGTTTACATCAAATGGCAAACGCGAATTTGTACCACGTGACCAAGTTTCCCCATTACGTGTCGTTTACTGTTCATTATTTCTACACATAAATTAGTAGTTTCAAGCAATTGTTTATCCATAAAAATTGTTTTGAGCTGTTTTTATCTGCTCATTTTCTATTTTGTGAAATTCTCAACTTGAATCTGACGTTTGCCATTTGCCGTATACGTGAAGCTTAAACTCTCTATTTTGTCTTCTGACGTTACTGAGGAAAGTAGTAAAATCAGACTATTCCACTGTTGAAATACCCTATATCTGATTGGCTGTTAATCTGTCGCAACAGACATTTGAAGGGTTTATTGTTTTTGTTTGTTCGTTTTTTGTTTGTTAGTTTGTTTTTCTCAGCAGTGTTTTAAATATTTTTAAATCTGATCTTCTATTCAGGGATCAGACGAAGAACTAATGGCGCATTCTGAAGATGAACATGAAGTTGATACTGTAGCTGTTAAAGGTCAGCGTTACTTCTAAAGAACAAAAGTAAACAGTAAACTCTCTTAAACTCAAACGGCCTTTTCATTCCATTGCGGTCGTGTTACATTGCTATTAGTCAATACAGACGAGTTTTCAATCAATCACTGCTGTCTATTCTACCGTATATTCATCGTTAATCGCCATGTATTTCAATCCAGTTTCTTTGCAAAGCAGGAACGGGCTTTATAATAACGACCCACTAATGACGCTACATGTGTGACGGCCTAGGTGAACTGAGAGAGAAAAGGAGATGGCGATAAACGCAAAAGCTCTCTCTTTAAGTCAGTTCCCCCTTCGTACCTCCCCCACCCCCCTCCTTCTCTAATCAAGTGAGCATGCGCTGTCAACTGAAGTAGACGTACTTCAACGGCAAGGCGAAGACAAATTGATAATAGTTTCAATGGTTTTAATTGTAGTTTCATTTCCTTTAGCTCGAGAACAACAAATTATCCAGCTAACTCAAAAGCTGATCACAAGTATTACCACTGGAGACTTCGAAACTTACTGGTATTTATATATATTCGGAATCGCCTGTCATTCGAATAGTAAGCTAAGGACAGTTAGAGATTTTTAATCTTAATTAAACGTTAATACAACCACCTGTAGATTTACACCAATTTGCGATGAAGCTTTGTCTTTGACCAAACTCGCGAAAGACCTCGGACCGTTTCAGAATCAGATTAGTGACTTTTCAGCTGAGGAAAAGTTTTATTTAAGTTAAGTGGGAAACCGCTTTCGTTTGTTCATTTATATTATGTAGCACAAAAACAATCGGTTCCTCGTTCAAGTGAACCACTTTCTTTCCCCCGAGAAAACTGTTTTGAAAGGCCTTTCATGTGATCAAGCGAGGTATTTATCTTCTATTGGTACAAACCTTGGTTATTTTTGCTACTTTCAGTAAACTAGTGGACTCACATTTAACAGCGTTTGAGCCAGAAGCTCGAGGTAATTTAGTTGAAGGTCTGGAGTTTCACAAGTTCTACTTTGACAACGGTAAGCAAGCACTCTAAATATTGCGCAATAAAGCATTCTTCTGTTGCTCCAGCCATTTGTCGTGAAAAAGGATAGATGTTGCAGTAAAAAAACGAGGAATCCAAATGGTGGCAGAATGGTCGTATCATCAAACCTCTATGTGACTGATTGTTTAAATTATGGTATATGTTTGAGCGCATGATCGAGAAAGAAGGAGAATCAGTCTAAGTCGAATTAATCAGTAGTAAATTCAGTGCTGACAGAGGGTCGCTGGATATTATATCGCGAATGGTTTTTGAGAGTTCTTTCAAGCTCCTGGGTGTTTTCCAATTAAATTTGATTGATTTTTTTAATTTACGGCGTTTGTGAATGTAGACTCGTGAATTAAAGTTGAGAATAATTAGAGCATACGGTAAGATCATTCCTCACGTTTGTCAGGTCTTAGTTTTCAGCAACCAGTCCTAACAACAGTGCTGCAAATTTCGTACTCGCGGACTTGGAAGCTGTTATTTGCCTGGTCTGTCAGTTGAAATTGTTGACTCTTAAGTCCCGTCCACACGGAGTCCAGATATTTTTACACGAATCGACCGTCCAGTGAATCCACTCCACGAAACGGCATCTTTTTTAAACCGCTCTTCAGAGAACTGAACTGTCCGGGTTAAAAAATATGCGGTTAAAAATGTCCCGATTCGTGTGGACTGGGCCTGATAAAATGCACTTTACTAATTGGTTTTTGTTGATTTTCTTTTGTTGTTTTGGTTTCTCTTTATATATATATATAGTTCACAGCAAAAGAGTGACCCCAATAAACACTACAATTTTGTCGCCGCACGTTCACATGCTAGGAGACGATGCTGCCTGCATCTGCTATGTCCGGCTTCAACAGTTTCTCAACAGGTAACGTAAATTTGCAAATAACCGAGGTTAGCCTATGTAAAATGCTGACCTGGTGTTATCTTATGGGATTTTTATTTGTAAAGACCCCGGTTCGGTGTGTGTGTGTGTGTGTTTTTTTTTTTGTATTGTTTTGTTTTGTTTTGTTTTTTGTTTTGTCTCTTTCTTTTTAGTAGGAATTTTACTTGGTTTCCTTAATATTGTCTATTCTACAGTTCCGGTGTACCATTAACACGCCAATCCGAAGAAACACGGGTGTGGCATAAGAAAGGAGGACACTGGGTAAACGTTCATTTTCATCGATCCAACATGACAAACAGCCCAGACAGCTAGAAAGATTTGTGCACCACACGACAGTTAATCAATCGTCTCATTTGAAGGGAACAGTTTTCCTTGAAGAGGATCCGCCGCAATGGAACGAGACGGATTTACAAGTAAACCGTCCGAAAGCATACAGTTAATGGGTGCTGAAGAGAAGGAACTCAATAGCGGAAGGACGATTTTTTTATGTCACCTTCCCAACGGACAAAAACGTAATAGCTTAATTTCAAAATAAGACAATACAAAACCTCCAAAAATGTATGCGCATCATAACTTAAAGAGGTGCACGATTAGCAATTTAAATTATGTCCTTAAGACCTTAGGTTTTTAGAGTCACTCGGACGTCAGATTTATTTTGTGCCTTTGTACTGTGGACATGAAACTGCTGCGGAATAATTTTTAGGATATTTCCGTCTGTAGTCAACTCTTTTTAAAACAACACACTGTACAGGTCCGTTAACACATGCGATTTTTCGAGTGATTTTGCGACTTTGATGCAGCCGTTACCGTAAGGTGCATGTCGTGAAAAACCTTGAGAGTCAAGGGAGGGGTTTTCGAAACTCCTGTGCAGTAAATTGCCGATCAATCGCTTTCACGAAATTCGTTACAGTAGGAGAAAATTGCACGAAAATCGCCTTTGTGAATGAGCCCTAAAACAAGCACCATAGGCTGAGCAAACAGCCAACATTTCGTGAGGCCACCATTGGTTTCCCCTCGAAGTGACGTCTGTGAAACGCGCGCAGAAATTCTTTACTGACGACGCGACACTACCCTGATCTGAGTTGTGCGTCTGTGGCTGAAAATTTGCTTCAACCAATCAGAAGCACTACCCAAATCTGGGTAGTGAAACTTCGTCATTATGGAATGTCTGCTCTCGTCTCTCAGACGTCATTTCGCGGGGAAACCAATGGTAGCGTCGCGAAATATCGGCTGTTTTCTCATGCCACAAGCACCATGGTTGTCCATGTTGGAGTTTCTTGTTTTCTTCGAGGTTCAGGTGTTTCTTTATGCCGTTTTGAAAATGCCTCAAAAATGAAAATGGTACCTTGCAGAAGTACTGTAGTGCGAAAGAGATTTTACATGAAATGGCGGCGCCATTTCGTCCTCAGGCACAATAGTTGTTACCGTGTCAGTGTCTTTATGACTGAATTTTAATTGAAAGACATTTTTTACACTGTTTTACGTTTTACAGCGCAGTAGATTCTTGTTTTCTTTAAATTCACGAGTTGGGCCTCTTCTTAAATGAATGGTCTTTTGTAATACACTTACAAGTCACACGTGGGATTGCCAATTTTAAGGAAAGGGTAAAGGGAAACGTCCGAGAATTTTACTAGAATGTTAGGGATTTTATTTGGTGACGACAAACGCTTTTGAAAAAATTACAAAAATCGTTTTTCAACCTGCAAAAATATTCTGTAGGTGATCAATTTTGATGTTACAAATGTTGTAAACAAATCAAGATAGCGAGAAAAAAAAAACGTTTTTAATTCCTTGCAAAAGAAGCTTGAAATGTGAAATGCAAGGTCAGGAAAAATCGTGTTGAGACAAGGGAACGTAAGGACATCTAGCTTTCCAGTCTGTGAAGGCAATTTTGAATTACTTCGGGGTCTTGCGAAGTATTTTAATTCTGAGAATTTCTGCCAAACGAAGGGTAACGCTAAGGGTTTAAGTACTGGTATCATAGTTATTTTGATTTCTACGCAGCTAGAATATATATTTTGCTGAGATGTATAAATTCTCTTCGCTTTATCATAGCAAGCCTAAGTGCCATGGTTTTTGTCTGATCCTCGCCGATGAGGATATTTAATAATTTATTTGGATTGCACATTATTACTCTAGGTTCTTGTAGGTATATTTTAAATTTGAAATATACAGTGTCATAGTAGAATAATTTAGGGAAAATGCTTGAACATTATAGCAATGTAATATGCAAATACTTTTAATTAATTACTATTGGAATTTTTCAGATAGGAAAATACAAATATGTTTCAATTTTCAGTGCAGCAAGTGAATAATCAATGACTTATCTGTAAGAATGTATTAGAAATAGCAGGCTTTTAGAACTGTTTATTTTAAACTTAACTTAAAAAAGATGTAATAGTAGAAAGTGTTTAACTATAGCCAAAGGTTACAGTCCTTCCGAGAATAAGGAATCGAAGTGCCCGGTAATATAGGTATTTTGAGGACAGCGTCAATTAAAGCTTTGGAAATGTACGTAATTTTGTCAGTGGACATTGCCATTCATTGAAAATATTTCTGTGTGCCTTAATAGCTTAAATTCCTCCGACTTGTTCTTTATAATCAGCTACCGTTTACCAAACTTGGAAGATATTTGCCGATATCAATACGCTTGACGTCAATCATAGTTATATTAATTCGTTAGAAAAAAAGGGACGCACAGACGTGTCAGGCAAAGAAGCGGAGCGGCGTTTGGTAGTTCAGATTTAGTGAGGGTAGTGCACCCGCGCGCAAGCGTTGAGCGGCGAAGCCGCGAGAAACGAGGGCGGCAGCCCGAGAAAGAGTTTTGCCTCTCCCGTCTCGCGCCTTCAGTCACGCGCGTGGTCATTTCCGTGTCTCGGGCGTTTTGCTCGACCGACACAGAAAAAAGGGAGACTGCTCGTAGTCTAGGTAGTTAAGGGCTGGAAAAAATGGCGGAAGATCCCGGGTATCCAACTCCTGTCCTCCCTCACTGATGTGTTCCGCTCTTCTTACTGGTCTGTGTGCGCATGTGCCAAACCTCGTTCCCATTTTCTAAGGGAAAAAGTCTTGGGAGAGAGGTTGCTTTGTGCAGGAGAAAGGGGCCTTTAATTACCTGTGGTACATGCGAATAAATCTCATGCTGATGGTTCATACTGAGCTGGTATTCTTGGTTTGGGAAAAGCCCTTGTTCTTGTTATCCAACATGGCGGCCGTGACGTCAGCTGCAGTTGGGTGACTTAGACTTACAAACCAAAGGTTCGTCAAAATGATGTAAGTGTGGAGAGCAAACTGCTTTTCAAGTTTCCTGAATTTTATAAAATCGCTCTTCTTGAAGTAATCGTCAACTTACGAGTAATTCGTGATTGAGTCAAGCCCACACATGAGCAATTCGCAAAGATGTAATTAACATCTGCGGATCTTTTGAAGTTTTAACAACTCCGCCTTAATTTTTAGCAAGCAAGTACATGACAAGCTTGGCCAGTGACATTTACAAGAATCTAGGAATATGCTAGATAATTAAAAATAGAAAGTGGCCAAGAAAGCACTGTTCTAGCGCGAGTGTGGACAAGATGTATAAGAGAACGTAAAACGAGCACAATCTATCTTGCGCACTATACAATAGTGACAGGGAAAGTATTAGGACGTGCCTTCAAATAGACCAATTGAAATGATATGTTATAATTCAGGCTCCGTTGGCTTGGAGGAATAAAACAAAAGGACCTTTCTTGCTTTATTGTGTAAATCATGTTGTTATGCTAACTAGTATTTTTTTAAGCAAAATTTCCATTGGAGAAGGAAGGAGGTTTGCATCAAAACAAGGTCGCCCCCAGCCTCACGTTCACTCAAAGGCTAGAACACCAAGCCTACAACTGTAAAATGGGCTATTCTTGAACCTCAGAGGGTGTATTGACCACTACAGAAAATACCATAACATACCAGAGAGAATGAACATATACTCTCTTGAACATACCATAATGCTCTTTGTTTGTCACGCCGAAATTTTTTGCATAAGCATTGTTTTCAGGGCCATTTTATTTCCTAAGAATTGCAAAATTTGAAAGTGACAAACAAAGAGCATTATGGTATGTTATGGTATTTTCTGTAGCGGTCGATACATGCTGGCTTTTTCCATCTTCTGACTTGGGGGGGGATTAAACAAGAGATTGCCGAATCACTGAGCCACTGGCGACGATATTTGCAAACTAGCGCAGCAGCCCAGCGACATTCCGCGCTAACAGCATGCATTGCTGGTGGAGAAACAGAGAGCACACCAGATTCGTAATAAGACATTCCTGTCAACTATTGCGAGGTAGGCGAAGTTTCACCAAAGGATGACAAACACTGTTTTCACGTTACCATCAAATTCCGTTACGAATGGGCACTTCTCTCTATTCTTGTTTTTGTTGTTGGGTGATGTAGCTAGTTGTTTCTGTTTTAAATAGATTCCTTCGACTTCTCAGGATGATCATGATGTTTCATGATCACTATACCTCACAGCACTACTGACCAGCTTGCCCAACCCAACCCTACCCTACCCACCCCTCCCTACCCACCCCACACCTTGCCCCCCCTTTCCTTTTCCACTTCTCAACGTTCGCGGTGCTTTAAGGTCCCTAATGTCACATGTCCCACCGTCGGAGCTCACGACGTAAATATTCCCGCCAAATGCCCGAGGGAGATAGGAACACTTGGCATTAACTGACCCATAAATGTCTTTATTACTGTTTTGAGTCATATGAGGATTTGTCTTTCGCCCCGTTTCAAGGCAGCTGCAGATAGGAAGCCTAGTCTCTTTCTAACAGCTAATTTAATCTACCTGTATACTTTATTTTGTTTGCAGTTCGGCCGTTCGTTAGCAAAGAAAAGGTAAAGAATCTAATTTCATCTGTCGTTTATTGAGGTACTGAAACTAATTATGTGTTGTTATTTTATGCTATGGTTTGTTTTGGGCTGGCAACCCGGTAATCGCAACAGCGCAGCGCGAGGCTAATTTGTGCAGGACCGTAGCAATCCTGCTCCCCACACAGCCCACGATGATAGACCACGGCACTGTGTCTAATCTTTGCCGGTCTCGGGTTTCGGGTCGCGGGTCGCGGGTCGTGGTTGATAACCCAATAATCACAGAGCTCAGTCTGCAATTTCTCTACAGTTGTCTCTATCTCGCTATTCAACCGTTCTTCCGGTGACGACCTGAGAGCTAAACAAGTATTTAAGGGTTTTCGAAAGGCCATACCGATAATTGTTGTTAACAATAGACATAACCAGGAGCAATAATCGGGGTAAGAGACCGAAAGCGTAGGGTCCACGCGGTTCCATCGAAATAGCCAGATGTGCTATTTTTAGAACAAACTGCTCCACCCTCAACGTCACAAACTCGACTCCGTTTTGGTTTTTTTCCTCTGTGCGGCGCCCTCACAAAATATGTAGTTTGTGCTAAATAGCAAATTTGGCTATTCCGATGGAACCAACGGCCATCACTGGAAAAGGCATCCAGTTGCGGCCTCCTACCCCGATTATGGCTCCTGACATAACTCCGTGATTTATGAAGGCCTAATCCAACTTTCATCATACTCCATGTCTGATATGGAAAAATTCCTTTCAGTCTGCTCGACTAAATAAATCTGTGATTAGCCTGCACCACGCTCCTGGATACTGTTATAGGGAGGTCGTGAAAACAAGCGGCCAAGCGAAAATAAGACGCCAGCTGCACATTACTATTTATGGAGCCCTGATATCTTGTTGTATCACGAAAGGTGGTGGACTGAATACAGCAGAAAAAAACAGTAGAGAGATTTAGAGTCACGTAAAATAGCAAAAGTCAGTTCAAGTTGTGAATTTCTCAAAATAGAAAACGAGCACATACGAACAGCTTAAATTAATTCTTATGGATAAAAATGTCTTGAATCCACTGATTTCTCGCCCCATGAAAGAGAATCCGGATTCCGCGATCCAGGGAAATTTTTGCTTGGGGAATCCGGAATCCTGGGCTTCGGAATCCAAAACAGCTCAAGAGGAATTTCAAATTCCACTAACGATTGAAAACTAGAATCCAAGTTCCATGCATTAACAAAGACTAGAATCCATTACCTGGAATCCGGAATCCACTGTGGGGATCCAGAACTGAAAGACTGTCTTGCATTTCCCCAACTTGAGGCACGATTTCCGTGAAGATATTATAATTACCAGTAAACTACAAGAAAAGCGGAGAAACTTTGGTCACGTGGTACAAATTCACGTTAGCTATTTGCCGTAAACTTGACTCTGAAACTCCTGTAGTTTCAACATAGTTAGTAGAGGAGACTGGTAAGGAAAGCCAGCAAACATCAAAGTTGAAGATTACCGTGCTGTAGTTTATGTTGGAAGCTCCCTGACCTTGCACAATACTTTGTTTTTTGTTCACAGATTGTGACTGAATAAATTAATACAATGTTTCTATTGGTCAGTAAGTTCAAAATGATAGGAATGCTATTAAACGTTGTGCACGGTCAGGTCCACAAAAGCTAACAAAAACATATAACAAAAGAGTCTAATGGGTTTGATAACCATTCCACTTAGCTGATAACTATGGTATCAAGCATCTTAATAATGAATTCCTACAGTATTTCACTTAAGTCTCTCAAAGCTCCGAACATTCATGTTAACAGGTGATATTTAAAAATTTCCTAACTTTTTAGGGATCGGATGAAGAATTAATGGCTCCTGCTAAAAATAGGCATAAAGTTGACACAGAAGCTTTTAAAGGTTAGCATTTAAATTACAAAGTGCAGGGAAACAGTAGCGATGTAGTTAGCGGTGATCTCGGATTTAAAAAAAAACGGGAAAAAATTGAAAGGTAAAAAAAGTGCAAGACTGGCCAAAGAGAACTGTCCTTTCATTTGTCATGGTCCTTTGTGTTATGGTTTTGAAATCCTAATCACCTTGCACAACAGAATAATCAAGCGCAAGCGGCGAGGACAAAAATTAAAGTACGGGAGGGAAAGGCGAAACCTCATTGATAACAATAATTTTTGTTTCCTAATTTCTGTAGATCAAGAACAACAAATCATCCAACTGACTGAGAAGGTGATAAAAAGTGTCACCAGCGGAGATTTTCAAACTTACCGGTATTTTTGACTGTCATTATTATTTAATAGCAGGGGCAGCTTTGCTACCTGCGCCAATGCGCACGTGCAAAACTGAACCAAATTCACGGATCTACCTCACCAAACTGATAGAATTCAGAAATTTACTGAATTTAGCCAAACTCGTCCCAGGGCTTCTCCCTTAGAAAATGGGAAGGGCGGGAAAAGGCCCTGCATCGGCTGGTCACGTGTCCCCTCCTACACACTAATTTCCTGGGTGTAATAAGTGAGCAGCGGCTAATTCCTTAAGAAAGATCATTATTTTGCAAACCTCTATGGAGCGGTAAAAATGACAAACACACTAACAGTAACCCAATATTTACCAATATTTATTTACTGGGAAAGTTCTCTTCGCAATTCTCGTTTTTCTGACTTTCTTGAGGACAGATATACAATCGACTACCAATATGCAATCGCAACCTCGTGGCTTGACAGGGGTAACTTAAGAACTCACAAAAAAAGCGGAAGAGTTAACGGTTAACCGCGGACGAAATAGCGGAAAACTATTCTGCACTAGCACGCAGAACTTTCAATAACTGTTGAATATTTCAGTTCTTTGTAAGTAAAAGGGTGATGAAAAATTCAATTTTCTTATCGTGCACAGTCTGAGAGAAATAAGGTTAATAATAATGATAATAACCAGGGGAGTACTTCCAGAAAACTTGGGTGGGGGTGTGCGGCACGCCTCCTGAAACCATTGCCCTATTTCAGACCAAAATCGGTGATTTTCCCTACCCTATTTCAGACCTGACCCTTAAATCAATACCCTATTTCAGACCTGCGTTATAATCAGTCCCCTAGGTCGGACCAATGTTAAAGGTAATGTTTATACGCTGGATTAAGTAGGATACAAAACTGTACTGTTGCGGCACGTAAATGGTTGGCGTAAACATTAAAAGGGAAATCGTCAGATCAAGCAGCTTCTGAAAAAAAAAATTCAGGACTAGAGGGCACAAACCATACTTTATTTCAGACCGAAATGGTCAAAATCGATACCCTTTTACAGACCAAAACGGCTAAAAAACTATATACTTTTCGGCACCCATACCTATACCCTTCCCCCCCCCCCGGCATAAATGTCAGCGGAAACATTATTTTTCCCTAGAAAAACTGTTTTAAATACTTCCAACTGAATTACCTTCAATTATAAACTCTTTGACAGTATTTGAGCTGGGCATTCAATTTCCAACTCGACATATTTAATAATTACTTGCAGTAAACTAGTGGATCCACAAGTAACTGCGTTTGAGCCTGTATCACGAGGCCAGTTGGTTGAAGGACTGCAGTTTCACAAGTTCTATTTTGACACTGGTAAGTGATCTTACTGCACGACGGCACGACTTACAGTAGGGCATTCTTTGTTCTGTTGCGCCATTATTTATCCTCAAGTAAAACTCGTCTGGCGGTCTCTTAAAATCACAGTAAGTGTTCTGCGCAAGTCGTACATTCTATCTCACTCTGACTATTGTAGCCCCCCGCTTCATAATAGGGATTAGTCATACTTTATCAGATACCGTAAAATTCCGAAACTTTAAGCCCAGGCGCTTATATTTTTCAAAGGCCGTTTTTGAGGGGCTTATATTCGGAGGGGCTTATCTACGGAGGGAAATTTGCGTTTCAAAATTGATCGGGGCTAGCTTATAGCTGGAAGGAAATTTACCGTTTTTGCTTTGTTTTACTTTGTATTTGACGGCAATTTCCAAGTACAAGCCCCCCAGGGGGGTTATATTTGGAGGGGCGATTTAACGGAGGGTTTTTTGCGTTACGAGTTTGGGGGGCTTATATTTGGAGGGGCTTATACAAGGAGGGGCTTACTTTCGGAGTTTTACGGTCAATTAGAAAATACCAATTACTACGCACGCAGTCTACCTGAGTCTATTAGTTATGAGCAGATCTTGTCGGTCTTAACTTATTTTTACAGTGCTTGGTAAAAAAGCGACCCCTATAAACAGAACAATTCTGTCACCACGTGTCCACATGCTGGGAGACGATGCTGCCTGTATTTGTTATGTTCGACTTCAGCAGTTCATCAACAGGTAACAGGGCACAAAGAATGGCTAGTGACCTGTATGCAGTTTGTAATAAATTTGGTGACCTGGGGCCCCCCTGCAATTTTAGCAACTTTCAAGCGCAATTAAACGAAAGGAGAGCCTGATCACATGTAGGGAAAGAACTTGTTCGCTTTCTTGTTTCAGCAGGTTTTCGTTGTTTCTTAGAATACCGGCAACTGTTCCTAAACTTTTCAATATTTCTTGTAAAAAAAGGGTTGGATCCTAGAGTACCAAGCGGTGTTCGACCCTGTTGCAAAAAGCAAGCATCTCATTCCCTGTGTTTCAAAGGTTTTTCTTTGGGGCTTTTTTTGTGGGTTGCCCGGCAAGACTTAACAATCCCCTTTGGCCAAGTTATCTATGATTCCCTGCCAGAAAATCCTCCGCAACAAAGCATTGGATTCACACCGTTCATTTTAAGTTGCTTTATTCAACTGAGGTCTGTTGAATACTTGTGAGTGAGACTTCAAAACCGGCATTTTTAGATAATTTTATTTTAATGGTAAAAACTCAAAACGAAACTTACTTACAAATCTTAATGGCAGTGATGAGAATTTTACTTTTCACTCCCATGATCTTTGTTTTCCTTTTGTCCACTTAATTTTCAGTGCTGGTGTACCATTAACACGTCAAACTGAAGAAACACGGGTGTGGCAGAAAAAATCAGGACAATGGGTCAACGTCCATTTACATCTTTCCAACATGACGAACAGCCCAAGCAACTAAAAAGGTTAAATCACTAAACCAACAGTTTCACGGGTAATTTTTTCTTTGAAGAGTGCGTGCAGCGGAGAATAACATTTTGAGATTAAATGGTATTTTAAAGTACAAATTCTGTTGCGCCGCGGGAACGTGCATTTGTAAGGTGTTTGGAATAGCGGGCTTTCAGAGCTGTTTATTAAACTAATTAAACTTATCAAACTTAATAGTTCCAACGTGTCATTCTAGCCCTGAGGAAAGCTAACTTTGTTAGCCGAATATTAGCCCCAAATAAAATAGCCCTCTGCCGTATTGCCTGACTTGCATTCAGTATTGTTTTGTACCACAAAGTTACTATTCCCCCAACTTGAAAACCCAAAAACAAAGGTATTTTAAATACAGCGTTAGACTTCGTCCAGTGCGATAAAGGAATCCTGCACGTAATTCTCTATTAACATACGCTATAAGAAAGGAATATTCACACGACTCATACACCCCCGCCATATGGCCAGTACCAGGGGCTAAATCAATACGAGTCTGTTCTTAAATGGGAGTTTAACCGCAGGGCGGATACTGCGATACTGCTGCAGATCGCTAACTAACGGAGCTATCGAGCCAAAAGACCAATTTCGATATATGAAAATTCATACTTAGCTGCGAGGCTTGGGGGAATAAAACAAAAGAAGTCGTCTTGTCGGGTTCGTCAATAAATAATACATTTCTTTAAAAGAATTTGTTTTATTCCCACAAGCTTCGGAGCCAAGTATGAATTTTCATATATCGAAATTTGTCTACTGGGAGCTACTCCAGCATCAATGGGTTTGTTTCATACCCGTTAAGGCTGACTACCATGAAATAATACATATACTTTAACTGCGTAAAGATCCCATCAAAAACAGGAACGTCACATGGACTCAATGTCATTTCGCGTTCAAAACCTGCCACCCTACTGCACAAGCCATCGCAGCTGAGACATGGAGAACAAAGAGGACTGTTGAGAGATTTCATGTGCACTATATCGCACTATAAAAAATGCTTTCCTGATTCGCATATGCCATGGACAAGCTGTCTCAGCTCGTTAGCGTATCTATTAGAAAAAACTCATTAATAAATTTTTTTTTCACGAATTACGACTAGCCTCATGCCAGAGACGCTTTCAAAGTTTAGTTAAAACTTCACGTATAGTAGCTAAGAGAACACTAAGACCAATCGACTGTTAGCCTACGTAGCTGGCGATATTGGTGATTTGGCGCCAGCAAAGTTTTACTGCATGGTGGAGGTTATAAGGTGTTGAGGGTAGTTCAAAAAAACTTGAACAGAGACTTCAAGCGCTCGCTTATTTTTCGGAGGGGTAAACCCCAAAAAGAACACGACCCCAGAACACTCATTGTAACTAACATGGCTTTAAACGGGCTCTATTTACCAAGGAACAAATGCAATAGATCCGAGAGGAAGGCTGGAGTCAAAGGAAGTAAGAGACAAACCTGCTTTGAATTACATTCGATTCTTTCTGCATTTCTCTGATAAAATCACAATCGAGAAATTTTTCCATGATATTATTACAACCGTTATGTGACGACCACGAGTGACGCGATTTACATGCAAGTGAGAGCAAGCTGCTTGTCAAGATTCATTTCAGAGAAACGTTTCTATTTGAGATAAAAAAAATATTACCAGTAATTAGTGGCTCAGCCAACCCTTGATAAAAATGAGCAATTCTCGAAAATGTAATTACATTAATTTGTTCTCCAAGCACCTGAGCTCCACTGAGTCAGAGCTTGAAATCTCGGCCTTCTCTTTTCCTTTCTTAAGCATGCAAGAAAGCAAGGACAATTAGCTTGGTCGGTCACATCTGCAAGGAGCTAGGAATTTGCCAACCAAGTAGAGGGAAATTGCCAAGAACACACTGTTCTAGCGCGAGTGTGACCAAGGGGTATAAGAGAGAAAATAGTAAAATCCATTACAAATACTCTCTGGGAAACTTGGCACAACATTGGGCGTGACACCAAAACCTTCAACAGACCAATTGTGATGATAATTAAAATTCATTCTTGCCTCGTTGGCTTGGGGGAATACAACAAAAAGAATACATTATTAATTTTATTTCTGAACGTCAGTGCCGTAATATACTCTGGGCGTTCTATCGGTTGACTCATTCGAAAGTCTTAAGCGCAAGATTGTTGATTAAACAGGTGACCTGCTTTGCCACAGGCAACGGAATTTGCAAGCCGCCACCAGAGCAGCCCAGAGACATTCCGTGCTATTATGCATTGCTTGTGGAGAAACGTAAAACACAACAGATTTGTGCAGCTATTTGAAGGTGAGCAAAAAATAAGGGTGACAAAGGCTCTGTACACGTTCCTCGTTATCAAAGAAATCCGTTAAGAACGGGCGCGTAATTTGTTTCCCGTAAACACTTCTATAAGTTTAACGTTCAGGCTTAAGTTGCTTAATTCAAATGAAGTGTCTAATCTTGTAATTTATGTTACTCGGCAAAGCAAGCACAACAGTTGTGTAGGAGCTGCTCGTAAGGTGTCTCCTGATTAGTCGCAGAAAACAAAGACATGTCATTCTTTCAATTGTTTTAGTATTGTTTGAGGTCAGGGTTAGCTACATGACCCAAGCACAGATCGCTTACTCTTACATGAGTTGTGATCTATTTGTTATATATTAGAAAAGAATATATCATCTAGTCTCCAAATCAACTGTCTGCGAAGCTGGGTATGTGAAAGCGGAATGGGGCCAATGAACAGCTAATTTAAATGCGAGGGGGGTTATGTAAAATATCAAGCATGAGACGCAGTGTTTCATCACCAGATGAAACACCGAGAAAAGGGTTGAAAATACGACGCGCAGAGGAGTATTTTTTACGAATTTCGAGGTGTTTCATCTGGTGATGGAACACTGTTTCGAATGCTTGATATTACTTCTCAAACAAAACGATTTTAGAAGGAACAATTAAGGATGCAAAAATGAGCAGTTTTCATCTGATTTCCAAAAACTCATTAAGCATTTAAACTTCCATTGTATTTTCGTTATGAATACGTAATCAATGAGAAGAATAGATCGCTGGTGTCGATTATTGATTGCCGTGTTGAAATTTTTAATAGGCCATTTCCGAGTTACCTTAAATCTCAGTTTTAAAGCGAGGATAAGTGCAAAGCCATTGATGTAAAAATGATTTCTTCAGCTCCATGCAAACTAAACCTCATTTACAAGAAAAGTTTGGCACTTAGCCTCCATCGTTTTGAGAGTGAGAGTTTTTTGGAACTCGAAAATGGCCTACTGCTTTTGAACTTGCAAACAATGAAAAATTCCAAGGAGTTAATGTGACAGATATATACGTGCATTCTGCAAATGAATCCAGTCCTAATATTGTATCCCCTCGCTTCCGGACGTTGACCCTTCTCGGATCCGAACTTTCAGTTGCAAGTGTTGGCTTGTCCGCAAGTCCGTCGAGAAAACCAAAGTAGAGCCGGAAATGGTAACTGTACTCGCGAGTTTTACCTGGCCTAAAAGTATGGAAACAATCAGATCTCTAAAGAAAACTATTGTGAGCTATTTTAAGAATCATCGAGAGCTCTGAGCTCAGGGCTTTCGGTTCCAGAAACGTATCCAAGATTCGTTAAATCCATCAGCGACAGCAACAGCCGGTCCACCACGCATGGTGTAGAATTTTTTTATAGTATAGTCCTCAAAACAGGAGGTTTTGCGCATTTGCGAAGAAGGCCACGTATAAGGAGTGCGTTCTAAAAAACGCAAGAATAACTTTAGGGGTTCAAATTAAATTCTTTGGAATTCTATTAACTATAGATTCGACTATGCCCAAAGATAAATATGTTCATAGCTAGTGTCCATGGAGATTTTATACCTTTATCCATAGCCTGTTCCAACTGGTTTTCAGATGGTGGAGTGCGGCGCGCCATCCCCGCGATCTGAAGGCCTGCTGGAACCTAGGCTAGTTGCTCCAAGACCGCTGTAGATATCGGAAGCTTTCCGCTCTTTTAAAAGTCACTCTCTCTTTTTATATTTATTTTGTTTGCAGTTCGGCCGTTCGTTAGCAAGGCAGAGGTAAGGTCGCCATTTACTGGGATATGGAACATCTAGTGATCCATACAAAACAAATTCTATTTTGTTTTGTTTAATTTTATCTAGCTTAGTCAATGTTGGCTGTTTTGTAACTGTATGCATGGTAACTGTAACAACGTGCGACTCTGCGGCACTGTCTCCCTCCCCACACAGTGCACGAAAGAAAGACCACCCAACCGGAATCAGCCTTAATTGCCTTCTTTTTTCTTGCAAATTCCACACGTAGTACTTAACAAACAAAACTACATTTGACATAATTTATTTAGACTGTTTACCACGTGCACGTACACAAGAGTATGTCATATTTAAAGAGAGAATTAAGTAAGAGGCGGAGCATGAGGGTAACTAAAAATACTTTCTACTAACAACATTTTTGATGACGTTTCAGGACTTTGGTAGATCAGATCTCTTTTCTTTTAATCTGCCCATCTAACTCTATAATCTCCTTTTGTTGTAATACGTAAGGCAAAGGACGGAAAACACAAGAATCTTATATCAGTTTTAAACATTAACGTCAGTTACGACAATTTTCAAAGTATTTGAACAGTCTTTCCAAGACTTTTTAGTTTTTTCAGGGATCGCATGAAGAACTAATGGTTCCCAAAAATGAACATGGAGCTAAAGCTGTAGCTGTTAAAGGTCAGCACAAAGTTGTATAAAACTAAACATTAAACGTTTTGAGCACCACTCCTTGCGATAAACAGTTGTGCAGAATTTTGAGTAATCTATGCAGCCAGGGTTTCATTGTAAGTGTATGTTAATTGGGTTATATTCTTCTGTCTACTTTCAATTTCTACCTTACTTTTGCTAATCGTGGCTTAGTTAATTACATCAATCAAGATCTCTACACATTTCGTTGCAAAGTGGATACCGGCATTATGGAGAGCGACCTCTAATCAGTTGGCAGAGATAACAAAATGCGGAGACCATTTCTCTGCCCCGCCTTTTCCGGCCACATTTTTTTCTACAAGGTGAGGGGAAATGGTTACTGCCGCAATAGTTATCTTGGTCGATTACAATTACAAGAAAACAAAGAGGAAGCGCTTTCTCTCATCGGTGTACTGTCGGTTTAGCAAATCCCAATCAGCATGTACAACAGAGTAATCAAGTACAAGTCATGAGCACTTGAATTTAAATTAATACAAGAACAGAAAGCAAGGCTCATCCTTGATAACAATAATTGTGTTTATACTTTTCCTTTAAGCTCGAGAAGAACAAATCATTGATCTAAACCAAAAGCTGATAACAAGTGCTACAGCCGGAGACTTCGAAACCTACTGGTATTTTTTTAGTAATATTTATAGAATTACTTGCTGTTTTAACGTTAAGCGATGGCGAGAGAGGATCTAGTGACAGAATTAACTGGTCACTTTAACATTAGTACAGGACGTACATTTTTCTCTTTCTCTGACAAAGTCAACGAAAACCAACCTCGGAACGTATCACAATCAGATTTGCGACTTGTAAAATAGATCTCTTTTTTTAACTTCTAGCTAGTCAGTAAATAGTAAAATAGTAAGGAAGATAACATTTCTTGCACTAAAGGAAATTTAAAGGCGTACAATTAAACAGTGAGTGAGTGAGTGAGCCATTTGATTTCTGTCGTTGCAAACCTCCGGCTCATTTTTATTGTTTTCAGTAACCTAGTGGATCCACAAGTTACATCGTTTGAACCAGTATCTCGAGGCAATTTGGTTGAAGGGCTGCAGTTTCACAAGTTCTATTTTGATAACGGTAAGCGACCTGAAAATAGCGCAAATTCTATAGCGCCATAAGTCGTTACTAAGGTGAACACTACTGTAAAGGACGTGGCATCGTTGACGCCCTTGTATTATCAAGAGAAGCTCAATCGTGTGTCTGACCACCTTAAATCACGGTAAATGTTAGGGTATCATCCACTGTAAAAATTCATGACTCGAAAAAACTTGTAATTTTCAGGGCCGAGTTGTTCAAAGCTGGGTTAAAATAACCCAGCGTTAGTGCGAAATTTGAATTCAGATTTGAAAGGTTAAAAAGCAAACTCATTTTAATATAATTCTTTGTGTCTACAACATGATATTTGGATGATCTTAAAAGAATAGAAAAAATTATCCCAGAAAATGCTTTCCAATAAAAGAAAAAGAATCCTGTATTAAAAGTTAACCTCAGGTTAGCGCTAATCGCCCTTTGAACAACTTGGCCCAGATGATTAGATAGAGCTCGATGAGAACTTATAATCCAGAACACAGAAGAAGCAGATTTAGCCTTGAACAGTAGCTACTTTATTCTTCGCTGGCAGGGAGCATAACCTGGTCTAAAATGGAACACTGCTGAGGAGACTCAGTTTCGCCCCGTGTAAGGTAATCCGACGGATTCAGGAATCCTGGAATTTTTTGTTTGATCGAGGAATATGGAATTCTGGGATTTGGAATCCGTACTAACAAGATAGAATTCTCTCTTGGGTACTATCGATTGGAATCCGGAATGTAAGTTCAACTCCCCCAGTACTGACAAGGAATCCGGATTGATCCAGTACCTGGAATTTTGTAGTATGTCTGATTGCGGGTTTAAAGGTGATGTTACACGGAACTGTTCGCAACGACGATTTTTAGCGCAACACAGCATTACAACATTGTTCCAGCACTGAAACGCTGTGTTGCGCTGAAAATCTTCGTTGCGAATCGTCCCGAGTAGCATCTCCTTAAAGGATATAATAGTCATAAGGGAAGGAGAATTACGAAACATATTGGGGTTGGGGGCGAAGTACATAAAAAGTATTTGTGCCAGGAAAAACTAAATGAAAAAAAAAAAATTCCAGCACGTCCTATTTCACGGTTCAGGTAAAATCACTCTAAGAGTTAATTTAGGATAATCAATTAGAGCAAAGTTAGCGATAACACTCCTAAGCAGATGTTACAGTAAATTTGCATCGCGCAAACTTTTTACCGTTTGTCATAATTAGTTTATGTTTATTTTTACAGTTCTAAGTAAAAGAGCAACCCCAATAAACTGGACAATTCTGTCACCACGTGTTCACATGCTGGGAGACGATGCTGCGTGCATTTGCTATGTCCGACTTCAGCAGTTCATCAACAGGTAACATAACCCTTTTATTCTCCATCCCTTTACCCTATTTTTGTGCTTCCGACACAACACCACAGCTTTTTTTAAGAAACTAGCTTCTTTATTCAGCCTTTTTCCGGAAGTTCTATGTTATTTGGACTCACAGAGTACAAGGAATCGTATCTTTTTCATTGCTTATAAAGGCCAAAAATGCGCGTGTCGCTACGAAGCAAACAAAACTGCCCAAGTTCTGTTTGCTTCGTTCATAGAAGCAACTGTCCCTAAACTCTTAAAATGGCCTTTTGTGATAAAGAGTGGGATCGATTAAGGCGCAGTTCGGAAAATGCTCCCGCTTAAACAGAACTGGAGAGAGCCTATGAAAATTGCTTTCCTGGCGCCAGATGTTTAAAAGCTGGATATTTACCATCCCGCAAAAAATTATGGTTTATTTTTGTTGTTGTTTTGTTTCACACTTTTCTCCATCCTCATGGTCGGGAATATTACTGTCATCATCTTTACTTTAACAGTGACGGTGTTCCATTAACACGACAGTCCGAAGAAACACGGGTGTGGCAGAAACAATCAGGAAAATGGGTAGTGGTCCATTTCCATAAATCCAACGAGACGAACAGCCCAAGCAGCTAAAAAGACTGATTCGGGTCCCGTCCATTCTAATGTGTTTTCGATTAAAACGCATACCTTTCGATGCGTTTAGGCCCTCCGTCCACACTAATACGCTGAGCGTTTTCATCGAAAACTCATCGATGAGAAAACGCTCTTGAAAGTGGATCAAAACGAAAACGCATACATACATCGTATTAGTGTGGACGGTCAAAAACGGCCGAGTGAAAAACAATGACGTCATATGTACAGGCACGTGTTTGAAGCATGCGCATAGAGTCCTATTTACGTCACAACGTGCAATTGTATTGTTTTCGAACGGTTTAGTGTGGACAGTCGAAAACGCATCAAAACGGTAGTGTGGTCACGAATCCATCGATGCGTTTTTTTATGACAACGAAAACGCGTTCTTTTGAAAACGCATTAGTGTGGACAGGGCCTTTGGCCCTAGTCAATATACACCAACAGTTTGACAATCGTCTTGCTTGACGGGAACAATTGCTATACACGAGGAGAGTAACGGAGAAGGATTTGCAAGCAGGGAAATGAATAACATCATAGCAATGTCACGTGCAAATACTTTACTTTTGGAATTTTAGTTTTACATATGAAATTACACATCTGTTGTAACTTCATCATTACGAATAAATGACTCATGCGTGTATTTGTAAGAATGTGTTAGCAATAGTAGTTTCTTTAGAAGTTTTCATTTTTAATTTACCATGGACGTAATTTGGAAGAAGGAAAATTCTTACAGAAAGCTCACAAAAAATTCCGAGATCTGGGTGAGAATCGGACTCACGACCCTCCAAGTTCTAATTCGGATTCTCTAACACTGAGCTACGAGAGGCTCTATGGCGAGTAGGGTGGAAATTGAATTATTGCCTAGCTAGTCCCTGTACGGGAACCTTAAGCAACGACGACGGCAACGGCAGCGAAAACGTCACCCAAAAAAAGAACTCGCGCTGTATTAAACTTCAGCGCTTATTCCAACCCTTCTAATTTGTCGTAGGATGGTAAAGGACTCTATCTAGCTTCACAAAAGAAAAAGAAAATCGTTGCCTTGTGTTCCCGTCCTCCACAAAACATGAAATTAGGAAGTTTACGTAGTAGACGTGCATTGATGGCAAAGAAATGTACAAAAAAGCGTGATGCACGTGCAGGGTTGTTGTTTTGCCACTCTAACCCTATCGCTTTTTTGCCGTCTTCGCTGCCATCGCCGTCGTAGTTGCTTAAGCTCCCTAGTGACGTACCCGAGACGAACTCGCTCAGACTACGTGTAGTGCTAGAGCGCTTACCATTTGTACGGAAATTTCGGTGAAAAGTTTCCGTCAAATGGTACCTGTATTGTTTTTGGCACCGAAAATAGGAACGGAATTGAGTTGTACCATTTACAAAATAAGGGCAAATTTTTCGCTTTCTCTCGACATAAGCCTGGCACTAGAAATCCACACAAATGGTACAGAACATTTCGGTCGTTTCGGTAAAAAGATAATACCTAAAAATAAATTTCCACGAGGATGAAACGTCCCATTTGAATTCTCCCCAGAATTTCCGGGTTTTCCATAAAAATGGTAAGCCCTCCTAGTCATGTTTCATATTCGTAATATATCTGTGCAGGATACACAAGAACTGCAAATAATTTAAATTAAAGATCTTCAAAAGGAAGCAACATAATTATCGCAGTTATGTACACAACTTAAGGAGTAACTGTTGAAGATCTTTATTCCACACATTACATATTTGAATTGCATTATTATTTCAAATAATCGTAAACGGCTGCACAGTCTTTCCACTACCCGTGCGGTGGTTTGCCACTTCAGGGCGGAAAAACGTAATGAGCATGCGTGAACGTTTTTGCCCAGATCCCCTGGCCGGGTTTGAAAAAATGGCGGGATTTCAAATATTTTATTGCCTAAAAATAAAATGTTTCCACTCATAACCTGGAAAGAACAGAAAATTTGTCTTCAAAAGTTGCAAGCTGTGGTTATAACCTTGTCGTTACTCAATTTTCTCGAAGAATAAATCATAGTAAAACCGACTTTAACGACATTAATTTCCTTGCGTTGTACTGGAAATGTGCATGCGTGGGTCCGATGTTTTTTAAGATGCATTCACAAAATGTGTTCATATAAGGAAGTTCCTGGATATATAAGGTCCGGAGCTCCACTGTGGACACAAAAACAACATATCTTTGGACAGTGATTTGCCCAAAAAAATTAACGCTTGCCCACAATGTGTTTGAAGTCACTGAACTTTGTCGCACTCGAGCTGATATTTTAAAACCCTCGCTCGATCGGACACTCGTAGTTTCGCAGATCACTAGAGTATAAACAAAATCCTCAATGTAGAAGTTATTGCGTTGATATGTGGACAGAAAAAAGGTCGATCTTTATCTAGTAAAATCTTCCCAAAAATCGGTTTCGAAGCAACTATCGTTTTTTAAACTTGCTCGTTTCGCCCAGATATATAAATTTTGCTTTGTGTTGTCAAGTTGAACATGCATAACATCTGTCAAAATCCTACGCGTATAAGTAGGATTTCCTTTAAACAAAGTTGAAGTCACATTATTTCAAAAACGTCTTGCCGACAATGAAGAAATGAATTTTCTGCACGAAAACAACCTGCCGAAAGATCTTAAAAGCAAAAGATCATTTGCAACTTGGCAGCCAAGTCATGATTCAGCATTTAGCTATTTTAAGCTTACCTGGTCCATGCGAGGGTCTTCGTTTAAGCAAATTAAACTCAGCTGATCATTAGAAAATACATAAAATTGCCCATAAGGGTATTTGTTTTGCTCGCCTCAGACAAATCCAGCTCCAGCAATTGTCTACGGGAAAAGAGTCAATTGTTTTGAAGTTTAACACTGCCGGCAGTTGTCGTTCTTTACTTCACAACGAGTGAAAAGGAAAATTTGCTTACAGAAAGTTATTTCTTATAAAGAACAGAAATTTTCACGGTGCACTGAAAAACAAAACTATGTAATTAAAAGTGAAGAAAACTCTGACTAATATTACTTGAGCAACAGAAAAATGATCGAAGTAGTCTTTTCTTCTCGAGTAAGTTTACTGGCCTTCTATTTCCAAGAAAGTTTTACGGCGCACAAAATGGTTCTTTGACTGAAGAGAAGGATAAAGCTGGTGAAAAAGTATTCACTAATAAAAAAAAAGCGGGTTTTAATTCAGCCCGGCGAAAAAAGGCGAAATTTACTCACAAATAAATCGAATGAACAATCAGAAAAATACTCGCCTCTTTGGAAATGTTCAAAACTCTTTATTCCACCTCAGACTAACGGGATGATCCATTTTTCCTTTAACATTGGTTGTTCCGAGTCCAAAGTAATTTTCAAGTGACGAAAAACAAAAACCACACAAAAGTAAAAGTCGAGAAGCAAACGTTCACACCTTGTGCATTTCATTCAGAACTCTCTCAGTGACAAACAAACAAACACAGTCAACACAACTAACACATAGAAGAAAAAGCCCGCCTTAAGCCTGCGATAAGGGATGCGCAGAAGCTTGCGCAGAACGTTTTTCCGCCCTGAAGTTTGCCACTATCTTTCAGACTCGTACCCAGTCGCTACTTACGTGTTTTGGGCATGAGAGAAGAATGGGGTTAGGTTGAGGTGCGCGGGGACTTACGGGAAGGGACAAAGAAAAAATAGCCACGTAAATAGCGACTGGATACGAGTCTGACTATCTTTCACAGTGTATGCGTAAGGTCTCCCCAAGTTTTAAAGTTCATTATCACAACTCAATGAAGCAGTCAAAACTGAGCACTGCCTTGTGCTCCGCCTCTTCTACTGTCCGCATGAGCTGAGATCTTTTCTTGAAAATAAGATACACCATTCACATCTGTTACCGAAGCTTTATTATCCGTGACATTATGTCCCTTTTCACGCAAACTCTGCACAATACTGGCTTTAAGTTTTGAGTCTTTAAACCTATTACCTGCAAAATAGTAATACAGTGTTAGCTCCGTGAAACCCGAAAGTCAATACACGCACTAGCCTTTCCTCAGTGGTCTTTATACAGCAGTAGCGGAGAGAAAAAGTGAAAAGCACAGGTGATTTTATCTTGGTAATGTTTTTCCCCTATCATTTGATTTCACAATACATTGAGCAAGATTTTCAGTCTCTAATTCAGTTCGAATAGGACGTAATAAGAAGAACACTAGTGCTAGTAGAGAAGAAGAGGGAACCGTCAGGCCAGTATTGTGCTCCACTTCTCATAAGTTTGGGTGCCAGGGAATGCGACTGATGCTGGCCTATGGTGCTTCTAGCAATTCTACCGAACGCCAATAAATTACATGATGATCAATGTTTCAATTTGAAGGGCAGATGTTTCGTATACATCCCTGTACTTGTTACCCGAGAATAAAAATTGTTTTTTATATATATTATCCGCCCACGTTGTATAGTCACTAAGCTGTGACTAAATCATATCTGGCGATTAACAAAGCCTCAAATATACCAAAATAGCTTGCAAATTGCAATACAACCTCTCTCGTTGCTCCCGGCCGTTGACACGTTTTTCGAAACGACCTCAGTGGAGGTCGTATTCACAGGCTAACACGTTTGTATGAGCAGGGAGTGGGGGGGACATACCACTGAGAAGCCAAGGATAAGACTTTTAGTAAAAAAGAATCAAGAAAAATAAAGGAAAAGACTAACTAAGAAGTCATTTATTTATCTTACGGAAAATTAAATTAGAAAAAATCAAACTAGTTCTCTACGAAACGTGCGTAGAGTAGAAGCGTGACAATGAAAGTACCAGCAGCATACCTTCAATTTCTGTCAGACCAGTGTCTACTCCGTAATACACTCTAGCTCTTTCAATGGATTCACTCAATGAGTCTTCAAACGCAAGCTTATTGATTAAAACTTGCGCTACAGCCGACGGAATCTGCAAACCTCCGGAGCAGCCTACGGACATTCGGTGCCAACATCGCTTCTGAAGAAATAAAACACAGAGCAGAATGGGAATTAGAAATTCTGAGCATCTCTTGCTATGTGGGCGGCGCTGTGCTCACTTTCAGGAAAAGCGTTTCCCGCGAATCCCTCAACAACATAAACGTACACAGCAGGCGTTTGAAGCTCAGAGGGGTACCCTTCAGAATTCTTGGTGGGATGTGCCGCCCAGTTCTGCCAACCTAAATCCTGACTCTTCTTCAGACCTACGTGCCATTTTACAAACGCGTTTTCAAACCTGACCTATAAAATTTCAATCCAAAAACTTAACCGTTTTCAGATATGTCTTCTGAAAGTTCTTCTCAATTTACCCATTACCATGTCCAAGAGAAGTCAACATACTGTTTACCCACTTTTTATTATGTAGTACTGTTTGATACTGAACGTCGTGTAAGGCAATAGTCTTGTACGCCCTCATGGATCCCTTGAAAACCATACCCAATTTCAGTCCAACCATGGTTATACAATAAAGTAATCACCGCTACTGTACCTCTTCATGAAGAACTGCAGTTGGTACCACAGAAGACAGAGGCCGTCTGCCAGGAACCACAAAATTAGCCTAAACAGACGACAAACAACCACTCAAAAACGTACACTGAGCAATATAAAAACATTAAAATTATAACTTCTAGACGCTTGCTCACTACATGTTAATAGTCATAACCATAATCAGGTTTAACATGACACGCTTCCTGCCAACAGCTAGAAAGAAGCCGTGGTGAAAAAAAAAAACAAGCAAACAAACAAAAACAAAGAAAACGATGCATTTCAAAGCTTGACTTGACAATGATGACGATGTACGTCATTTTCCACAGGAGTTCGCATAAAAACGTATGCTTCCAGTCACTGGAGAATGATCGTTAAGGGCTATTTTTGTAAACGTCCCCAGTTTCGCTGACGTTCCCGCATAAGAAGCACTTGGTTCGTCACGCAATCCTCCTCAAACGGGGAAGACTGCATAACATACAGGACGCTGACAAGTTTTCAAGAACTAACTCGAGCCAGTGGCGGGTTTCTTACCGTGGGTGGTCCAGCGCCTTGTACATTCTGTACACCAGGTATGGAAAAATCTGCCATTTCATTGTTTAGGATGATTCCAGAGTCCGTCATAATCCCAGAACCAAAGTAGCCATTGATTGTACTAGACAAAAATACGCGACAGAAATATTTATCAGCACGTTTTTCCCGGAGTTTTTCCCTTTCCTGTAGACACCTGGTTTTGGTTTAATTTAACAAAATAGGCTTTTTCTTCGTAACAAGTTCTTGTTATCAACAACGCTTGAAAAGTTTCACATCTGTCGAGTTTATCTTTAAGAGCAGAATTAAAGTAACAGAAAAATTGTTGAAAGACTATTAGACATCGCACATGTAAATGCGCGCATTCATGATATTCAAATTGTTATCAAACATTCCGACGGGTACACATTAGCAATCAAACCAGGTAAAGCGCACCCCAATCAAAAGATTCGATTGATGAATTGACTATATGAAAATTTAAGCCTATTACATGTACGTAGTAGCGGGTATGTAGAAATGAATCTCAAATCGGAACCTACTAAGTTAAACGGATTCAATTTTCAAATAATCAGTGAGGGGGGCGGGGTAGACTTTACTTGGTTTGGGGTACATACATACATGACAGGAAAGACATTGTCAAGACAAGTTTACTGACTAAGAAAACGACTCCATGTTAAGCTTTGTAAACTATGGGGACTCCTATATAAAAGTGACGGGATTCTCGTCGGAAATTTAAAAGGGAGACCAATATGGGTTTGGCTCAAGCTGAAACTGACCACTTTTAAATGAGACCAAAATCTACAATTTACACCCCTAAGAGAGACGATGAGCATCCCGTCACTTCTATACGGGATCCCCCCCCCCCCCCTCCCCCTACCACCACCACCGGGGTTTGCACCCGGAGCTCACGATTGAAACTCCGACGCTTAAACTCTACTTCATCCTCACCTGGTGAGACTTACGATGTCCCCATCAGGGCCTATAACTGACACATGCGCTGTACCATGTGGTAAGGATTGATCAACATCAAGTCCATAATGAGATTCTCCATATGTTCTATTAGCAGAAATTTTTGATCGGAGCAACTTTGCGTACTCTTTGCTGAAAAAGAAGAGTTAAAACTTACAGTTAAAAGACCAAAACACGGGCAATGAACACAAGTGCTTGTAAGATGGCACTTATTGTAAATGGTGTGAACCATGTCATAAGTGGGTGGTAATGATAGTCCGGGTAAAGTGAAGTCCTGAATATAGCCCACGTGGCAGGCGTTAAAAAGGTGAAGGGGACGGGGAAAGCCTGCCACGCAGGCTATCCTGAGTAGGACCGTTGTTGAGAATGACGAGCAGTAGTTCACTTTGAACCTGAAGATGACTTCCGTATAGGTTTGTCCAAACGTCAGTCACAACAGTCCTACTCTCACCCACCGACCCACCTACCTACCTACCTAGCTACTTAGGATTTCATTTTATACACTTTACAGCAAGTTTAAATCGAGACGAGTGCATAAAACGCCAAAACCTTCAAGTCAGTGGACTTTTCATTCTTTTTTGCTTTGTAGGTATAAGGCTCCGCTCAATTCACACCATTCCGCATTTATGAAGACATTTACATGTAGCGTCATCTGCGATAATAAAACCGACAGTCATCTCTTCTATAAATTTGGGTAAAAATTTGAACAGCTCTCGAGTCATGCATTTTAAACAGTTGACTGGACTAAGAAAGTCTACTCATTAACAAAGGCTTACTTGGAAACAGAGTAAGCATGTTATCTCCTAAAATACGACTGACATATTTTTGGTTTGTACACAGCTACTGGGGCAAAATAGCCAAGAAAGACTCTTGCTCGTAGACCTCAAGTAAATCTAATTTATGATCCTAGATTTAATCAATTGCCTAAAATTAATTTTAAATCACAAAAACTAGTTAAACCGCAATTACTTACAGCCTTCAAAGCTCTCTCTTGAATCGGGTATGTCTTGCGAGTGCAATGTGCATGCCCTGTGCTCTGAGACCTATTTCATGTTTAGTGCTATAATTAACTGCGCTTTTCAATAACACGCGAACTTTGAAATTAAAAAGCCGGCTTGCATTTGCATTTTTTGCCGCTGTCAATCACAATTACGGTCACAACTAACGAGTCTTGAAACACAGAAACACAAAACAGATCGAAAGTCCACTCTATTTTCCATGCAGGCTGAGGGGTCGCTGGTGGATACCCCCCAGGGTTCCTCATGAGAGTGCCTATCAACGACGACACGCGGGGGGTGGGGCAAGCCTTCTGAATCCGATCCTGTCTGACAAAGTTGGAAGGTCACCGTACAGTTCGGCGTTGGTGACTCGGTCTCGTGGGCCTCAATTTTGGCCCAATCTCGAAACTTGGGAAAAGTTTTTGATGGATCTCCAAGTCCCGTATTCGGGTGATTTTTGTGTCTCGGAGTCTCGCATTTTTTTCAGTCTTTTTTGGCCGAGGGATTTCGGAGTCTCGGATTTGTCGTTTTTTCTTTCCGTTTGGTCTTCAGGAGTCGAATTATTGAGAGTTCATGAGAGTTCCTGGATACAGCTTATCGAACTGAGCTAGTAAATTAAGAAAGTAAAACAAGGCAGTATATTGGTGGGCTTCCGTCTCGGGTTCGGAATTTTAAAACTACGGTCCTGCAGTCTCGAATTTACCATTCAATACTCCTACCAATCACAAACCTCTAACCATGACCTTTTAATTTCGTTGAAGTAAACGTAATTTTCCTACGATGATTGACGCCGGGGAAGAATGCAAACCTTACTTGAAAAAGCGTAGTACTTAGCCATTCTTGTGGTCGTAACCTTTACCTTAATATTCTCTTGGTAATGTTAGCAGCGTTCTTGCTGTCCTCAAGCAATGATCTTTCGGCAAACGCAAACTTTATGGCCTCTACAATATAGTGATAGGTAAGGCTCTTGTCTTGATCTTCTCGAGTAAAGTTAAATCCTTCCAGTATATTCAGCATCGATACCAAGACGGGTCCACCGGATGGAAGAGGAGTAGTAATCACCTGGTAACCTAAAAACAACAAAAACGATGCCATGATAATAAAAAACACCATGTCTTTTAATTAAACCAGCTTTGTAAGAGAAGTTAGCAGGGTTGTCACTAAGGGCCGGGGGCCGGGGATTTCCCCCGGCTACTCAGAGCATGGTCCCCGGCTGCTTTCGTCGTTAAATTAAACCAAAAGGGCACACCTTTGAAACACACAAAGACTATTCATCAAACTAAATGCGAGTTTCATCTGCAGCAGGTTTAAGTAATTCTGAAATACTCGCGTGCAAAAACTAAGAAACGTCGGAAAAAGACATCTGCCTTAGATTTGGTACTAGTACACACGCGCTAAAACTCTCCGCGAAATGTCAGTAGGGAGTTTTAGCAACGACGACGGCGACGGCAACGAGAACGTCAAAAAAGCAATTGGTTTATTGAGCAAAACAACTAGTTTGCACGTGCATCACGCTTTTTTGTACACTTCTTTGCCGTTACTGCACGACTATGACGTGAAAATGCCTAGTTTCACGTTAATGGAGGACGTAAAACAAGCGACGACAAACTTTTCTTTCTCTTTCTAAACTTGAGTGCGCCCAAAGAAATCAACTCCAGGGAAATTGGTCTACATTAGCTATTTTCAGCGAATTGAAATAAACGCGACAAAGTTGGAAAAAACGCCAATTCATTTTTAAAAGTGACGTTTTCGCTGCCGTCACCTTTGTCGATGCTAAAAGTCCCTAGTTTCAACCGTTGTGTAGGGTTTATGTTGAACATGTCGAAGAAGTGGCAAAGGATTCTGCACCCTTTGTTCACGATGAAAGACCTGAGCAGATCTCTGTTGACATCACAAGTTGAGGCATCATCCGAGGGTTAAATCTCCCTGATGCTGATGTTGATGATAATTAGGATTATGATGAAGGCTTTGAAGATAAAGACTATGACTGATTGCCATGTTTAATATGTGGACATTTAAGTGACTATGTCTACATTTAGCTTTAGGTATCGAGTATATAAAATAACGCACGGTCAACGGGAAATATTCGATCATTGTCCGCAGGCCATGATCACATGCTCTTAGTTCTACTTCCAAGAAGTTGCATTACTTTTACATTCTTCTCCTTGAGTCTTGTTTTGACATCTCAGCGTCGTTTATAAAGTATTAGCCCTGTCGTTTAAACGCTTTTCCGTAGGTCAGTTTCTTCGTATGATAAGTGATGTTTCGTTCATAAATTCGAGACCACTAATGTCACCAGTTGTGCAGTTTAGTTTTCCCATATTTTATCCCGCGATTTTTCGTACGTTACGCTTGTTTTAGCCCTATCATACTTTTTTTTTTCAACAAGCCATAGTAACCTTATGTTTATGATGCTTTTTCGTACATTCATCGTCCGCTTTTCTTCTTTCCGCTTCTGCGTGGGTTAATTCATTTGCAATATTAGTTTCACTTTTGTTTTCCGTAAGTTGTTTCGTTCTTACGTTTAACTAAAATAATGAGGATTTACAATTGATTTTACAGCGCACGTTAATTCATTTGCACCGTATAAGAATCGTTTGTCCTTTCAACATTTTTAGCATTTGTAAAGTATCGTTGTGATTTAACACTTCACTGGCCAGCATGCGCCTTGTCTGCGTGAAGATAAGACTGCGCAGATAACGTGACCGGTGCCAACCTGTCCTTTTTTTTTAGGCCCGGTGCTTACATGTATATTCCCATTTGGCGGCCACTAAAAAAACCCTCCAACGAGCCTTTACGTAAAGTAATTTAACTATTATTTTAGTGTCTCAGAATGTTGTAGTTTTCTTTAATAAAGACGTGATCATCAAAAAACCGCTAATGATAGCTGTACTCTTGATGAAGATTGCTTTTTTGGGGCGGTAATGCCTTTTCGAAAACGGTAAAAGCTGCACTTCAAAACCTTCTTGGGAGGGGGGGGAGGGGCTCCATGACTGCTTGTGACTTCCCCGGCTACTAACAACAAATACCCGGCAACTTGAAATCTTAGTGACAACCCTGAGTTAGGCACTGGTTATATCCGAGCTAGCCTGGCACCAGGCTCCTTAGTTGGGGAAAAGGGAGAAGGGCTATAGTTAGGTAATAGGGATTGAAGGGGAAAGGGTGGCCCCGGCCATTCCCCCACTTCCCCTCTTCCCATCTGCCCGCGATAAATATCCTTCTTTCCCCAAACGGAGAGCCTGTTCACAAGCTGTTGTCGATCGTTTCGATAAAAGTTTTTATTCAGTCCAGATGTAAATAGTTTCAAATAGTTGTGTAAAGAACAAAGAACATTCACGGCAAATGTTTTTCTTGTTAACGCCTAAACTTAACCTGAAGTGGTCAAATTTTTTGTGCAATTTAACTTCTTGGGTTCGAATCGAAACGACTTGTATTGAAACGACTAGTTTCCACACAAGTAATATCCAAGCATGCCACCACATTTGGCCTTACAAGATGGCAGTTGTTCAAAAACACTGAGCAACCCAAATAATACTGTAAAAAAAGATGCATCTCCTCTTTTTCCCAGCAAAAGAATTAGAAAAGACATTGCCCATTTTTACCCCAAACTGAACCAGTTCAAACCTGACACGATTTATTTGTCTTGGGCACACACTTTGGTTTATCTGGGTGAATAGATACATGTAGTTTCTCAAAACACCAGTTAAACGTACTCAGTTAACCAAATGCATTCAACACTTACCTAAGAAAGAAGCATTAATGGCGTCCTTTAAAATTGGTTTGTATTCTTTTAGATCTTCTTTTGTGAGTATTCCATTTGCAGATTTGACCTAAGCAAGTTGAAAATGCAAATTAACGAATGCTAACATTTTCACTGTTCATGAGTTCGAACTCTGAAAGTAAGCCGTAGACTTTATACATTTTTTTTTTCTCTTTACAATGTTTAAACTCTTTTTATAATAAATATGATTTTGAGAATGGAAAGAGGCCTTCATGTATGCAAATATCATTTGTCAAAGAATCCAAGAAAAATAGGCCGAAAAACGAAAATTTATAATATGTTGATATTCAGACTATTGTCAGCCAGCACTTACACCACAAAAGAAGAGACGTGTCAAAAAATCTCTCTCTGTAAGGAAAATCAGATGTTAATCATCCCTTCAAAGCTATCATAACAAGGCAAAACTTGAAAAGCAACTGGGATGAGACAAAAGACTGACTGGAGTCTCTGAATTAATTAGACTGTTCACAGACCCCTATTTTGTTTTCACAAGAAGGTCAGGGTCGAGCACTTACCGGTATGGGCAGCCATCTTGGGTTCATATGCACCGAGGGGGCTGGTGTCAATTTGACACTCATCCCCCAACTAGAAGCGGAACATTTGAAACCAAGATGGTCAACCATTCTGCAAAGTGCAACATCTTGACGATCTTATGGAAAGAAGAAACAGACAAAAATCTCCATCAGCCCACGAATAATCTGGAAAGCAGTCATTTCCATATTATTTTAGCCAAGCTGGAGAGGTGTACATGTAGGAGATGCTTGAGAGCATGGGGTGTAAAAGAGCAAAAAGATAAGGAGTGCAGGAAAGGACAGAAAAAGAAAAATGCGGTTCATTTTCTTCCCCACCCCTCACCCTGCTTTTCATTTGCTCTGCTCCTTTACACCCCTATTTTTTTGCCCTGCTTCTCTAGCTCAACTAAAAAGAACAGAGAAGATGGCTATGGAGGCCAACCCACAGACCAACAAGCTGACTGGTCTATTCACAGCTATTGACAAATCATTAAGAGCTTTTTCCTCTTATGAATCCCTTCCTTGTCTCTTCGTACCAATCCTTCTTTTACCTGTTTGTTTTATGTGAGCTTTTTTTTAACCAAGAGGAATTAATTCAAGGGAAATTGCTGAAAGAAAAGAGGCTGACTGCATGGATTTTAAGTAAGCACAGGGTGCTTTTTTTTACTTTAAACGTGACTGTACCATATTATTTGAAACTACTTACTGCATCTTGTATACTGTCTGCTATAGGTCCACTGTACAATGCATCAGCACCTTTATCTGCTATTTGTTGCAGTGTTTCTGCCAGAGCAGTATTGTTCATTTTATCCCCTTGCTAAGAATTTTAAGGAGAAACAGTTGGGGTTGAATTTCATATTATTTGAGCTCGTGGGAAGTCTTGCGAAAAGGAATAATAATAAATCACAACAAAAACAAAATGACTCAATAATCATGATGTACATTTTAATGTGCATGCGTGTACTTTCAAGTGGTACTTTTGTGATCAACATTAATTTTTATTAATGTCCCTTTTATGCCCAGGGGTGCCACATATATGAAAATAGCAATAATATAAACTTAAAAAGCCCATCTTATGAAAAAATTCTGAAAAACCAACAGGACATAGTTAAAGTAGTGCTCAACAGGTTTCAATAGAAAGGTCAGATGATAGGAACTCATCCTAAGAGAATATTAAAAAAAAAATTGTTAGAACACCAATAAAACATCTCCTGGACTAAGCAATGGTTATAGAAGCATTATCTTGCACTTAAAAAAAGCATTAACTTGTATTTTTGTATCCATAGCAGACACCCATTTTTCGTACAATGACCATTTTTAAGACACACACCTTCAATGTCCAAAAACATAGATCTCGTTGTATTATAAAGTTACCACCTTATCACGTGCTTTTTAAATTGATATAAATAAGGCAAATTATTTATAATTAATTTTATATGTTATGGATCAAAAGTACATGTAAATTCAGGTTAAAATTATTTAACCTAGGTTGATTCTCAATTTCCTTTGTGTCGTAGCCCTAATTATTCCACTTATGTTCAGAAATGCATGCAATGCCGAGAAAGATATAATTATCTTAGTGTATACCAATAGAACATTACCTTTAAAAAAACACCCTGTGGTGCAACAAGTTTTCCCAGCTGGGTGCTAGCTACATCTTCTATTTTTAGTGTTGTTAGACTTCTCTCTGCAAAGTCAACAGTTTCATTCATTTAGCATTAATTCCACCAGCCTTCATCTATCTCACCCTTAATTATCACAGACAGTTCCTTCTGTTTCTATCTTTACCAATTTTTTCTCTCTGGATTTGAGAGTTTTCAGGAACAGAGTCCATGTAAGGAGAGGTTTCAAAAACTACTCAATGTGTCAGAGCAAGCAAGCTAAGATAGGAGACAGTTTAACCCATTCGCTCCTGGAGATTTTGCCGAAAAACGCATTTTGAAGCTAGTCGAGTGGTTTTCTGGTCACTGTCGTTCTATAAAGAGCTAAAACTCACCACAAACCGGTATACAGGTCGTTCACTTGGCGGCCTTCTGATCCAGATGCAAAATATCAGCTTGCGAAGTTCGGGCATGCGCAGAAAGCAAAATTTCGAGATAGTTTTTGGGTTTAAAAGTGACACAGCAGTCTTGACTTTTACTTTTCGCTTTCTCTCCTCCCTTCTTTTTTTGCTTTTCTTGCCTCATTTTTTTTTTCTCTTGCTGGGCATTTAGTAGGCTTGATTTTGGTGGGAAGAGTTTTTAGGAAAGCTTTTAGGATCTTCAGATTAGGTGAAAGGAAAGGTAGGTGGGTAATGAAACAAGATTTTCATGGAGATTTTCAGGTCAATGTCACGTGGTTTTTTGCTTGTTTCTCCGGTGTCCTTGACTGAATTGTGCTCATTCTGGTATGGTTTGAAAGATCTCTTCATTCTGCACAAGTTAGCGAAGAAAGTTGTCCTTGACCGTTAAAACTGATGACGTCACAAAGGGTAGAAAGGACCTGGATCCGCACGGGCGGTTACGGGCAGTTTAGGGGCGAATGGGTTAAACTATTCTAATAGCAGACCCTCCATTACAATAGAAATTGGAAACCTATCAATGCAAGAAAATTTGGTTATAATGTCAGCGTATGAAGATTTTCACGAACGTACTATAAAATCTATATTACTAAGCATTCAAATCATAATCATGGCAGGTGTTACTTAAAAGAAAAGATCCATGAAAAAAATAATGGTACAAAAAAGCTCAACACTACTGAACCTTGTGGTTGTCTGTTATTGGACAAAGATTTTCAGCCTCACCTGTATGTTCAGTGACTCTAAATCCTTCTTTTGCAATCTTAATAGCAGGCTTGATCACATCTGACCACTTTAACCTACATGTACACATGTAATACAATCATGTATACAAAACTTATGTTTATCATGACATGAAAATCTTTCTCATTCACTGGAGAGCTTAAAATTTCTAATGTTGAGACTATAATCTAAGTTTACAATATGATGATGATGATGATGATGATGATGATGATGATTATCATTATTATTCATTAACATAGAGTGTGTTCTTGACATGGCTGGTCCTAGCAGCAATTGCAAGAGGTATCATGTATGTCACAATATAAAGGCCTTACTCTCCATTTAAGCCTCTCAATAGAAAAAGCATCTACCAGGTCTTTGGGAGGTATACATATAATAGCCGTCAAGAATTATTACACCTTTAATTAATAATTTACTACTGAGCATAAAATTAATCATAATCATCAATCAGCAAAACGTTATCAATGATGCTACATGTTTCTGAGAAAATGTGCAATCAATATTGGGGATAGGACATACAGCTTCAAGAAAAGTACATTAAAGGCACTGAGCTATGATTTCGCAAATTTGTTGATGTATCATGATCAAAATATCTCGATATCTCGTGGAAATATTGATTATCATCATAGTAAGAAATCTTGCCACCAATACATTGGTGCAGTATTGCAGTCCTGGCCTAACAGACACTCTTTTAGCACTGCCAGAAGTTGCCTTCTTGTGACACCAGCTTTGAGAGTGATTCTCAACTTACTTGCCATACTTCTTGTGTGCTGCTTCATATCCTCTAATTTCTCCAGGCACAGCCACTGCTAAGCCACCCTAGAATTATATCAAGAGAAGAATGAAGCACATGAAGTAGGTTTAATGGTACTTCTTTTTACAACTACAACAACAAAATATTTTTTCAATTTCATTGATACAGCCTCCCTTGTTTTGGAGTAAAAATAGCTCTAATGACTTATGATGACAACTTTTTCTAACCCAAGACACTCATGGAGGAGCACTGGCTGAACCTACAGAGCGTACAGTGTGTGGTGCCTGCTTTTAAAAGAGACGCTTACCGGTAGTTTTGTTACCTTTGGCTTTATAATAATTATGGTTCTAAGCTCTTTTAAAGGCAATCGTGAATATAGTTGATGGCAACAATAACATTCACCATTTTTTTCTTACCCAACTAGCAAGTGACTTATTTCCATGAAACATGTTCTTAGAAGCAGCCATTGGTGCAACCTCTCTGAAATCAACCACTGTTGCTACTTCTCTGTTTTGTTCAGGAACTACAATCAGCATAAAACCACCACTGCGAGTGATAAATTAATGCAGTTACAATATTTAGACAATATTGTAGTTACACACTGACAGAAAATACAATTAAACTATGTGAGTATACACAGTGTCACATCAATTGATGTCATTATATTCTAATGGTAGTCAAATAAGAAGGTCACGCTGGATGTATTCAAATAAAAAACAACACAGACATCACCATGCAGATAGCACGCTTATGTTGGGAAGCCTGTGTTCACACATTCATCACCCTATAGACCAAGATTTTTTACTTTTGCCAGTGTACAGTATGATTTTTTTTTTTGAGTATCAGGCTTTTTATAATGCTCAGATATGTACACGACAAGAACCCTCAATTAATTTATGCTAGTTAGGGATGTGCATACATCAGTTAATTGGCAATGTGGTCCACTTTCTTTTTTCTAAATTTTCATGTATGATATACTTGTTTATCATGATTAAATACTATACAGTGAAACCCCACATTACGGCCACTATTTTGGCCGTCCAACAAAACAGCCGTACATTTTCTTGTAAAAAAAACACTTATTAATACAGCCAAATGTTTTGGCCCATTGGCAACCGTATTAACGCAGTTCCATTGTACATAGAAAAGTTAACTGAGCACTACCTTTCATTGCATATTCAAATCGTGCTAAACACAAGTTTGATGGACATTGTGAGTAAGCAACAGCAAGAGTGAGTAGCAAGTATATGCGTCTGTATCTTTTTTAATGGATGTCGTGCATGTTGGTCATTGCATTTACATGTAAGACCTGGAAACCCCCAATGATTTTTTGTGTATTTAAACAGTGGGACCTGAGTCCAGAGATCAGCAACACGCAAGTTTTATGTTCTGATTGATTCTCATGAATCCAAAAGTCCAGAAGGTTTCAAAGTAAGGCAAAAACATACCCTCCCAATCCTGAGCTCTCTGGGTTCATGACACCAACACATAACATACTCCCAATAGCGGCATCAACTGCTGAGCCACCTTTCTTGATCAAGTCCAACCCAACATCAGCACATTCTTTTACATCTGATACAACAGCTGCATGACCTATAGAGAAAATAAAATGGTAGACCTGATTGCTGACTTAAAATCAAAGAATGATTGCAAGACAGAAGAAAATTTGGTCACCAGAAAATAAGGAAATTTTGTGAAAAATCAGATAAGTAAGTAGTCAAAATGGCCACTCAAATAATTTTATTGCAATTTGGTGACAAGGAAGAGGAAAAAAAGTTGAATTTTTAAGAAAACAGAGGATAAATAACACTTCATTCAAAAAAGACTAATAATATCTCACTTAAACTTTAAAGACACCATAAACACTAACCAATAAAAACCTAAAAAAAAAAAACAAAACAATAAAAACCCAAGATTTGGCATACGATAGTTAAAAAGAGCAATAAATAATTCCATTGCCTATACTCTTATGGACCATACAAATGGCATCAAAATGCTCCAATCAAACAAGGAAACTTTCAAAACAACATCATTAAGAAAGCACTGGGCACTTTTAAGATTTAACTTGAATTCATGATACCATACATGAAAGCTTGACCACGCATTTAAAGTAATATTGTGCAGTAAGATAACTCAGCTTTACTTTTGGCTTAAGAATAAAAGGGTTAGCCATTGTTTTTAGATACCTGTGTGATGACTTCCAGTGTAGATATCAATGATCAGAGCTGTTGTTATAGCAGTTGCAAATATCATGCAAGCCAGTATGATCATACGGACCTCTCGTGCTCTATTGCGCTTTCTGGTTACATGATGACCACTGCTGATTGGTGAAATCTGTAAACAAGAAGCCAAGCAATGTATCAGTCCATTCAGGGATGGATCCAGAAAATTAAGATGGGGATGGCTGGATTCTTGCCAACCATATATAGATACTATTTATCTATTTTTGGCTTGGAGATGAGTTCATTGCTCCTAAGTTGTCTGTACGTAACTTAGGAGTCATCATGGACAATTGTTTTTGCATGGAACAACATGTAAAAAAGATATGTAGTGAGGCAAATTATCATCTCAGGAATACATCAAAGATTTGCAAAAATCTCACCCAGGACTCTGCTCAAATTCTCATCCATGCTTTTATTAGTTCTAAGCTTGACTACTGTAACTCACTTCTTTATGGTATTCCAAAATACTTAGTTTGTAGATTACAGCTTGTTCAGAATACAGCAGCTCGCACTGACACATTAACATGGAAATATGATTTGATTACCCCAATAATGTTCAAGCTACACTGGCTCCCCATACATTCACGTATTATTTTTAAGCTCCTGATATTAGTCTATAAAGCACTCAATGCCAAAGCACCTTCTTATATTTCTAGTCTCCTGAGCCATCGTAGGTACTCTTGGTCTTTATGCTCCACTGGGAAAAGAACTGCTTACTGTGCCACTGGCTCAACTAAAGACTTATGGACATCGGGCGTTCAGCATTGCTGCGCCAAGGCAGTGAAATAACTTGCCTCTTAGCATTCGTAAATCTCCATCAATTGATATTTTTAAAAGACATTTAAGGAGTCTAGACTTATCTATTTAAAGAAGCCTATGATTTTTAACATCTATTTTTAACACACATTTTTTATTTCTTTCATTATTTGTAACTTTATCTTAGTATTTTTAGATTTTAGATTTTTAACTTTCATTTCTTGTAAAACGTATATATATTTTTAAGTTTTGTAACTAACTTATCTTGGTATTTTATTACACTTTTTAGCTTTTAGGTTCTACACTAACATAATCATTGTAAAGCGCTATGAAAGAGTCGCTGAATAGCACCATATAAATCATTATTATTTCTTTTTTTATTTTATTTATTTTACTGAGAATTCTTTAGAAATACTACTAAATTTCACAGAAAAAGGAGTGGCCCAGTCCAGTTGGCTGACCCTAGCCCTTAAATCCGCCCATGGCATTTATACAGGGCATCTGGTAAGTCACAGAAAAAAGTCAAATTTTACGGGATTTTCGCGGCAAATTGGCAGAAAAATCGGCCGATCTTGCAGGAAATTTCGGGGCAAACTTCGCCGAGAAACAATCAGTAAAAATCAGCCCCTTGCCTTGGAATTTTTTGGGCAAATTTTGCTAAAATCTATCAGTGTTGCATTGATCTGACCAGCATTGTTAACGTTTTTGACAGAGGTAATCATTTGCTCTTTCAACAATGCGCTTGAGAAATGAGCCAATGTATGAGTCATCAGTATGGCATTACTGTCCTTGAGGTGCACACATCTCTCCCGTAAAACATCCTTAGTGGCATGGAGGGAAGAGCAACAGCTGTATTTGCAGCCTAACAAGAGACCTCATGACATGTGGTTTAATTTTTGTAAAGGACAGTCTTGCGTGAGCTACCACTACATGTAGGTCTTTGCATTTTGGGTAGTCACTTACAGGAGGTTCAACTGCATTTTGAAAATGGCACAACGACCATTGAAAATCACATTCAACGATGTTTAGATATTTTTTTAGCTACATAATACATCTTACACCTGTCCTTTGTCAGTTAGAAGTGCTGAAAAGTTATTAAACATTACAGGGTGTATATATGAATGCAAAATTTGAAATAAATTTACTTTACAGAAAAAAGGGTGGCTAACTTTGGTAAAGCTATGTATCGGTCCCTAGAAAGGTCAACCAAGGACAACCGGGATGGATTTTTTTTGTTCAGTGCCCAGGCCTCATTTTCTTGGCCAAGCGTTGATCTGGCCCAGCTACTTCGGTGAGCATATTCTCGGCCTTTTGGATTACATCCTTCAAGTTTGTCAAAGTATGCGGGATTCGTTTTTCTGTCTGGGAAAGCTTCATTGGTTTCTATATCTGCTGTTATCCTATTACTACGATCCTGGCATGTTTATTTTCTGTTGGAGTTCAAATTTCGTGAAAAAAGTTGTGTTGAATGAGAGCATGGCGCTGAAGATGGCATCTCTTGTGTCCTACCTTGTATATTATAATTGTATATAGAGTGAATTTGAACAAATTATCACAAAACTTCGTTGGAGCAACAAGGACAACAACAATTGACTCCAGGGTAAGTTTCATTGACTTATATTTAGTATTTCCTACGAATTTTAGGATCGTATTTTTACCCCATACAAACAATGTAATTTTACTAGAACCGTACTCTGGTACTATCACAGAGCCTGGGTTACCTGTGCAGGCAAATAACTGCATAAATAACTACCAAAATTCCCTTTTCCTGGTTTCCTGAGTCATTCAGTATTCACTGGAGGCAAATCACTATGAAAATGATGTTGTGGCTATGTGTTTAGCTAATTTAAGCTCATTTACGTATAATTTATGTCAACCCTAAATGAAAACGAATCTAACCGTGCCGATTAGGATCAAGTTACAAAAATAGTAGACAATTTGTTTAAACAGGGGCACCCAACGGCAATTTTCGGGAAAATATCTGTTCGGAAGACGATTTGAGATCTAGAATTTTCGGAGCATTTGTTGTAAAATTTATTGCTTGCCTGCCTCTCCTAGGATTTTCGAACATATACAAAATGGTATAATTACCCATTTCTAACGTATTTTGACCCTAAAAAAGGCCACCTAGAATTTTCGGGAGCGTTTTCCTGGCTGAAATTTTCGAGAAGGTAAGTTTTTATCCCTATAATTTTCGGATCACTAGACTTTCAGCTAGGAAATCCGAACAGAGGAAAAGTTTTTAGGGGATAACAATATGCCTATATCTACCGTTTGAATACTAAAATACGTTCAACAATGCTATGTTAAGTAGTTTTGAACTACATCCTCGTTGGGTGCCCCTGTTTAAATACAGTGGTTGAATTAAAAGGAAAAGCTTAAAAGGAGCGTACGCGAATTAACTTTCGATTCGATAAGTCTGATGGCTACCGTTGGTCCTAACCTGTTGTTCCCAGCTGTGTTCCTCACTATGCTGAATAAGACGATCTGTATCGTTCGCAAAGTTGGTCATCTCTGCTTCGCCAGCCATTTCTCATATCTTGTTCCCGAATAAACGGTGATTAGAAGGAATTTATAGACGGAAAAATACAGCCGTTTCTAAAAATGGTCTCTTCTCTTCGGCATTAACAATATCGGTACCAGATCTCTCTCCTGCATAGTTCATTTGCACAGCATACCCAGATGAACGCGTATCAGGAGTCACCGGCTGGGTGTGCACTGGTCGCCGCTTACGAGAGCTTAGACCCGGTTCAGACGCTGGCTCCATTCATATGCCGAACCTAACTGGTGGATAAGTACGGCAAAAGAGGGGCGTCTGAATCAATTTGGTGCGGCAGTTTTAGTTTGTTGCGGCAAAAGCGTTATTACAGTCAAACCAGGTCAAGCGTTCCCGTCGCTAACGAACTAATGAATTCATTCACGGAAGAATGATTTCGTTTGTTGATTCAATAATCCATTCATAATATGAACAACCCAATAGTCATATTTAGCCTCGATTCCATAATCGAATGTTGATTCGATTACTGTTTTTTGAAAAATTACACTTTCCACAAGTTGACCTCAGAATTTTGTTTTTTCCTCTTTTTTTCTGAGAGTCGAGTGCTGGCGAGTTTTGAAGTTCAAACCCAAACAAACTGCACGCCAGTTTGCTGCCAGTAATCAGTGCAACAGACCTAGGCCTGACCTCTTAGAAAACACGACGGTCAAACTGAGGTCAGTGTATGTGCGGTGATTGGTGGATTTCGATCCTCGGCCTTTGTCAGTTTCTTTGCGTTTGCGGTCTGTCTATTCTAGCTGTTATTTTGATTAAAGGCAATGAAAAACGCAATCGTAAACAGCAGGAAAAGGGAAGCAAATACGATTGAACATAACAGACAAGAATAAAGAACAGGTAGATTTTGTTCATAAACCAAATCAACATTTGATTATTGAATCGAGGTACAATTTGACTGTTGGATCATTCATTTTATGAATGGATTATTGAATCAACAAACGAAATCATTTTGCCATTAATGAATTCATTAGTTTGTTAGCGACGGGAACGCTTGACCTGGTTTGATTGTAAAGTTCGACAGATAAAAAGAAATACTTATTACACGGATTTCGGGCGACATGACTATGTATTTCGGGCGACATAACTCTGGTTCCGGGCGATATGACTACGGGCGAGATGACTTTCGGGCGACTTGACCGGTTACCAGTCTGTTGAACATTTGTCGAACTTAACTGTCTACCCCCGTGATAGTTCGAGGCAGTGTTATTAATCGGTGGTCTTCATCCACCTAAAGGAGGTAGTTGGTTCTAAGTTAAGAGCATTGTATTCTTTTATGGAGGAAGAGAATGTTATTTCTGACGAATGAGCCCGCGAAGAAGGCAGAAATAAATATTTTGACGGCACGAGATACAACAGGGCCTGGGCACTAGGCCGGATGCACCATGGGTAGCCATATCGGGGGTATATATGGCTGCGTATATCACGTGTTCGTCATCTAGGCTTACGAACCAACCTCTCCTTAGTTTTTCTAAAATTTTTGTTTTATTTATTTTTAGGAGCAACATATTCTCGATTACATTGTAAAGACCCGTAGGAAGGGCTTTGAGCTTGAGCCTTGGTTCCTACCCAGATTTTCTGCCCAAATTTTTTCCCTTCGGGGTTTTTTTGGGCAGGTTTTTTCTGGCCTCCATCTGACCGCATTTACTTCAGTTTGTAAGCGGTAGCTCAGCTCTGCTAGTTTTCAGCCTTTTTCCCGTTTCTTATTTCATGTACTTGTACACTAGTTATCTCAGTTTGCACCTGCTCCTTTACTTGATATATTTAGTTTCCATGTATGCTTAGGTCAGCTGTCCCGGAACCGCTCTTTAGGAGGCGACGTAAGTCTCGTTTGACGCAGTTAGGTTGCAGGCAATGTTACAGACCTCTAGCCAGGGTCGTTATTCATTGTTTACCCTCAATGTCCCGCCCTAGCCTTTTATGGCAGCCTTACTGGTTATTGGGCTACGTGCCTTGTTGGGTACATTAGTGGAGATAATTCCCAGTTTTCCTGGCACTCAGCCTCTGTGCTCCTGAAGTGTTCCCGGTCCCAGTTATACGTTGATCACAGTTTTATTAAATTTCCCCAGCCTAACTGGCACTAAGCCTGCGTGCTTATTTGGGGGATTCAGGTCGAGATCGACCAGTTGTAGCAGTTTTTTTCTTTTTGCTTAGCCTCTGTGCTCCTACCGTGTTCCTCGTGCCAGTTATGAGTTGCCTGAGTTTTATTAATTAGTTTCCCCAGCCTAACTGGCAGCCTAACTGGCACTAAGCCTGTGTGCTTATTTGGGGGATTCAGGTCGAGATCGACCAGTTGTAGCAGTTTTTTTTTTCTTTTTGCTTAGCCTCTGTGCTCCTACCGCGTTCCTCGTGCCAGTTATGCGTTGTCTGAGTTTTATTAATTAGTTTCCCCAGCCTAACTGGCAGCCTAACTGGCACTAAGCCTGTGTGCTTATTTGGGGGATTCAGGTCGAGATCGACCAGTTGTAGCAGTTTTTTTTTCTTTTTGCTTAGCCTCTGTGCTCCTACCGTGTTCCTCGTGCCAGTTATGCGTTGTCTGAGTTTTATTAATTAGTTTCCCCAGCCTAACTGGCAGCCTAACTGGCACTAAGCCTGTGTGCTTATTTGGGGGATTCAGGTCGAGATCGACCAGTTGTGAGCAGTTTTTTCTTTTTGTTTAGCCTCTGTGCTACTACCGTGTTCCGTGTGCCAGTTATGCGTTGTCTGAGTTTTATTAATTAGTTTCCCCAGAATAACTGGCAGCCTAACTGGCACTAAGCCTGCCTGCTTAAATGGAAGATTCAGGTCAAGAGCGACCATTTGTCGCACGAGTGTTGTACTTTAGGTATTCACCAGTATTCACCTATTATTGTATTTACATAAATACTTTGTAGGGTTCGTTCTCGCCAAGCCGTCCCAAAATAAACTTATTTGCCATTACGTTTTGTCTGTTGATGTTGTGTAGTGGAGTCAAAATAGAATGTTCTCCTCATTGCTCCAGTTCTGGGTTTTGGTAAGCTGTATAATGGTCAGCGGTATGTGAGCTAAAAGTTTGTTTTGAAAATTAGAGGGTAATACGCTTGGGGACGGATTCTTTATCTAAAACAAACAAAGAAGCGTTGTCTGTGCTTGCTTTCCTGCTCTAAAGCAGTTAGGAAGCAGCTGGAGCTGCTGCCATTTACAAAAGCGCGATTTCAAAACAAAGACAAATTAAACAAACGCTTCGCATCAAGGTTGGCAATGAGCCTAAAAGTATTACTTAATGTCAGCAGAAAATAGGATATTCTCTTCAAATAAGCACTTTTAACCGTGAAAAATCTTAACAAGAATGACAGCAACGTTTTTTACAGGAAATGATGAAAAGAAAAGTAGATTCAAAGAACAGTTACCCTCCAGTAAAAAAATACTATAAACGGAAAGTTTTTGCCATAGAAATATCAATCATCGATCAGGCCATCCCCATAAAATGTTTCGTTTCCCATCGCCCTCCCTCTCGTGGAGGTGGGTCGGTCGGTCGGGCAAAAAAAAAAAGAATGAACACATGATTGCATATTAAATCTCACGTTTAGTCTGCAAGATATAGTCAGATGGTAAAAGATGTATATTAACAGGACTATCAAATGTCTAAAAAGGCTACAAAAACGAAGTATCGATGATAATTTAAGACAATTGGTGTTAATATTAAAGACAAGATCGTGTGCTTGTAAATTAAAGTGCTTGCTTCTTTCCAAAAAAATGGGTCGGTCGGGCGATGGGAAACGAAACATTTTATGGGGATGGCCTCAATCAACGTTAATATGGCCATAAGATGAACTCTGCTAATTATTTTGTACCCGCCTGTTTATTCGATCATCAAGACACATATCAGTTTCCAGAGATTATTATTTTCGCTTTTTATTTCTCATTGCCGAAAAAACAACGGAAAAATAAAATTCACTTATCGTCCCGTATTACTAAAATAAAGATATTTTAAGGTAAGAGCCAAATAACAAAAATATTTTTTTAGAGCAAAATTATGTGCGCCTGTCTAAATAAGAAAATAGAGCTGCGCTTTATTAGATTTTAGAGCTTGTTTACAAACGAATTTGAGAGCTGTCATGCTCCTCATGCAAATATTTTTTTTCTGCAAAACCTTTAAAAACAATGCAAGATTCTCAGAGAGAAACGATTTGAGGCTCCACAATATCGTCTAAAAATAGATAAAAGAGAGTTATGCCGAGTTGCGCGCGATCTCTCTGACGCACCGCTGAGGAAAAAAACAATAACAAAGCAAAAAAAAGCAATAACAACTCTAACCTCCATTTTCACGGGCTAAGCTGTTCAGCCATGTGTTTTATCTTGGAAGCAACACGCAGGCAGGTAAATGTAAAGTACACTGCGATGAAGATATCACACCAAACAATTCCTTGTCACTTTCTCACGGTTTACTCACGGTCTTATATGTTCACCCCTTAATAGGGCACATAATTTAACCATCATCGCTGAAACATTTACCCCTCATTTATTGTAAAATTAACCAGCGAATTCTTTAATTACATGAAAACATATAACTGACCAATAAGGTGTCGTCAACTAAAAAGTAACCCGCAAGTCCGCGCTTTTCCATTCACAGGCTTTTTTTTTCTGATATGAGGAACTCGAAAAGCGTCTGTGTAAGCAAATGTGAAAAATGCGCGAGCAAAAGGGAAAGAAGTGAGCAAACATGAGCCTCTCTATAGGTATCTGCCAATTCTCCACGCCATTTTAAATTATGCCTTTTAACCGATTTATAATAAGTGAATGAAATCAACAACATGCAAGTCATTTACTACATTTTTTGTGTGTTTTTTTCTTGTTGAGTCGCGTCGTAGTACTACAGTTAGCCGAAAGTTGACGAGCATTGCATTCTAGTAAATTCATCATCACACTGATGGCAAACGTTTTTCACATGATCAAAACTATAGCAGATCAGCCAGACAAAACTTACTGAAGTCTTTCTCAGTTCTAGTTTGTCAGATCACAATGATCGCTCGAGTGTACGTTATTTTCAGACCTCTACGGTCGCTATGATTGGCCCTAAATCAGTTAACAAGTGATATATGGAAATCAGCCTTGAAACAATCCCTGTCCTATAATCCGAACATGGCCTGCATAAATTAGTTTAGGTCGTAGTCAGTAGATACTCAGTCGCAGCCGCTGACCACGTCAGTATGGTATCAGTCAAGCCGTGGAGAAAAACCACGGATGGTGCAATCATTTAAAGCCTGTTACATGCGTACAGATAGTTGGCAGCGGCGGAAAGTAAAGAAATCAAAATGTTTTTCATTTTTTTGGCGCCCCTTTTTACCAAGCGCCGTTTCCAACTATCTGGAAGCCTTGAACAGGCTAGGAAATTAGAGGTGGGAGGGGAATAAGATACAATTTTCTACTATAAATGACATAAAACGTCTTTGCGTCTTAAAAAAGGCTTAGCTATAAAGACCTTAAATATCTTTATTAGTACAGCCAACAACACCTGTTCTTATAAAATGAGAAGCGTCAGCTGATCGAGGGTCTTTACAAGGGCGATGAAAACTTCATTTAAAAACTGGCAGCTGGTGGCCTTAAATTAACATGTGACAAGAAATCAATGTTACCATGAGGGACTCAAATAGACAATAAATTATTAAAAGTAGGCAAAGCACTCGACGCGTGAATATTTGGCCTGTAGCCGATGCATTTAAATCAAAGCAGTTTAACATTTTAGTCGATGGTGAGATATTAGCTTTCGGCGTTGCCTCAATGCGTTCGAGACTCGCTTGAAAAAGATGACTTCTGTTTTGTTATGTACCTGACCAATGCGGTTTTACACCATGTCGAGAAAACGGGCAATTCTTTTGTTATTATTTAGATGTTTATTTTATCTTCACTCTGTAATTGGGTTAAGCAACACTACTTTTTCAAGTTTGGCGATTTCAGTTAAAAACACAACAATGGAAAAATCGAATAACCCATTGAAAGTAAATAACGGCGGAAGACGCAACTACAGTCATTGGAAAAGCCGACATGTTGTCAAGCCGGTGAATGTAGGAAAACGTTCTAATTTTACCAGCATTTCCGCAGCTTTAAGAGCTAACAAGAGACCAAAGGATACCCTGGAGGATACTGTACTACGTTCAGCATTTCAAACCAGAAAGTTAAAGGAAGAACTTCAAAGGAGACAGGTAAGTTTGATTGTACTTGTTTCACATCATAGAGATGGGGCTGCTTGGAACGGTGGTATAACCTGAATGCAAGAGTAAGAGAAGTATCTATTCTATTGCTATAGGAAAGGGTTGGGGGAGGGGGGGAGGAAGATGAGCCTAACGCGTGAGCGCATGTTCCCCCGGGGGGAAATAAGGGATTAAGGCAATTTAGAATAGTTTGGAACTTGGATTATGGATTCCAATCTTTATTGGGATTCCGGATTCGTTGAGCTGTATTCTGGATTCCAAAGCCCAAGATTCCAGATTTTACAAGCAAAATTATCGATATGTCCCGGATTCCAAACCCAAAACTCGGTAATATCAGGTAAAATGAGGCGAATCAACAGCACTCTTAAGTGCTTCATGTCACGGAGACCTGGATAAGCTCCAACCTTATAAATATGTGGGTCTCTTTACCCGTGAAGGTAGGCTCAGACGTTTTATTTTTAGACCTAGACCGCTGAACTGTGTGCATGTATCTGCAGATGATAGCCCCAGGGTATTACCAAGCTGAGTGTTCCGAAAAGAAGCCCTGTAAAGAAGGAATGTACTGTAATGTACTGTATTGCGAGAAATGTCATAAACTCAACGTGGCCTGCAACGCTAATGAGCAGTGCTGTGAAGGAATGGTCTGCACTTTTGGGAGGTGCGAGAAAAAGTCCAAAGGAGATCCAGGTAGCGTAAATATTTAGCTTAAAGCCTTCAAAGGGGAATTCTTGTTACATAAGTTTGTCAACGATGACTGTCATGACTGGACCGGCAAACGATTACAGCTAGTACTGATCACCTGACCAAGGTTTTCCCTTTTCTGTTCACATAGAAAAACTAGTAGTTTCGTGTCAGTTGCATGAGAAATTATTTATAACAAGAACGCGCTTACAGCGGTGTCAGGCTTGCTTGCTTGGAGATTACATCGAGAAATGAGGAGGCGATTAATTCTACACGAAACAGGATTAACTCGCTAAAGGTTTTTTACTTCCTACTTTATCGACGTCGATACTTTTTACTTGTTTCTGAATTGATTTAGTGCGCGTGTTAGCGTCGCCATCGGAAATACGTCTACGGTCGCAGGCTGTACGCGTGTTTAAATACACGAAAATTCAAGGGCCTCGATTCCAGAGAAATTACATCATTGCCAGAGATCAAAAAAGTGATTTACATGGACGTAACAATTTCAACCATGGCCGAAAATAAATCGCATGCTCATCACAAGACTCATTTGCATACAATGAGAGTTTACAACAACATATTTTTTTCCCGACCACTCAGTAGTGTTCACTTGTTCCAAAGTAATCAACGCTTTCACGCGATAGAATTTGTGGACCGACACGTTTCGGAAAAGCTCTAAATTTAATCTTTCTTAAGCTTTCTTCGCAAAACCGTGCGTGGCTTCGATCACGCAACGATTCTTAGTCCCAATTTCCACGGTCTCCGCAAGGAACGCCTGGTACAATGATTCCCCATTTGTACATCAAAATACGACGAAAAACCCCGGGTGGATACTTCCAGAAAAATTGGGTGGGGGTGAACGGCATGCTTCCTGAAACCCTTACCCTATTTCAGACCGAAATCTGTGATTTTTCCTACCCTATTTCAGACCTGAAGTCCTGGAGCCCGGCTCGTGACCGAAGCGCGTGACAAGCTGTTACGGCAGGTACACGGTTGGCGTAAACATCCAAAGGGAAATGGTCTTATCGCCAAATGATGAAGAAATAGCTTAATCTAAAAAACATGCCCAATTCAAGACTAGAGTGCAAAAACCATACCCTATTTCAGACCAAAATGGTCGAAATTGATACCCTATTTCAGACCAAAACGGATAAAAAAACCATACCCTTTGGCGACGCAGATACCTATATAGCCCGTATAAGGGAGTAACGGCCCCTCCCCCCCTGGGCGAAAAACGTGTTGCTTACGCAAGCGAGACTAGTTATTTGAATCTGACGTTAGCCTTTTGTCGTTAACATCAGTGGAGTGATTCTAAATCTCTCTACTCACTCAGCAACAAAATAATTAAAAGTATTGGACTTAACTGAAAGAAAAAAAGGACAGATTCGTTTATTCAATTCTCGACTGTGACAGGACTTTTAAAAAGGGAGTCTACAACTTTTAAGCGGCAGTCTTTTTCTAATCTGTTCGTTCGAAGCCATTAAAGAGCGCCTAATATAATTAAACTCTGACAATCTCACTAGCTGCATAAAGCACTCATTTTTTACCCAACAAGCCAACATGTTTCAGTTGACCGACTCTCGATTCTCCTGGTTCTCGTGTAACGGAACCAGGTTTTATTATAAGCTGCCGCTGGTCGTTTTTCAGCCAATAAGATCGCCAGCTGATTAAGGGTCCAGCGATCTGATGTCTGATCTCCTTCGTCCAAGCTTAAATTAATGCGATCAAAAGATGTTAAGGAAATCACTGAATAATTGTCTAAAGTCAACTAACATTAAATTCAGGCTATTCACCTCAAGACGGACCGGACTTCTCACTTTAATAGGCTCCAAGAATCATAAAGAGCTGGTCTTGTGGATATTCAGTATTTTTCTTCGTTTCTTTTTCTTCTTCTTCTCTCTCTCTCTCTCTCTTGTTTTTTTCGCTGTTCGCTAAGGTGGTAGTCTAAGATTGACAATGAGTTGCAAACGAACCTTTAATTTGCGTTTGTGCGTACGTTTAAATATTTATTGTGTTTTGAAACTACTTATTTCAGGAACATTCTGTGAAAAGGATAGCGATTGTAATGATGCTTGTTGTGTGCTGGAGCCAACCATAAACTCTCATCTTCCAATATGTAAGCCAACATTGGGTGAATATCATCAATGTGCCGCCATTTTGTATCGAAAGATCTGGGTCGGAGACAAGCCAGACTGCGGACCGTGTAAGCCTGGCCTCGAATGCGTCCAGAAAGGGTCAGTAATTCAAAACAGTACTGCGGTAAAAACCCCCAAGTAAGAACCTGGCGGGTTTTTAAGAACCTCTTAGGCTAAAATTTGCTATTTACGGCCCCTCTACACAAGAACCTGTTAAGCTTTTTGAAACAGGTTCTTGTTTTCTAAAATCTATAAAAAAATTCTGTACACTTGGTCAAATAAGATAAGTCAACATTCAGGATCCTCTTTGCCGAGAATAAGCTGAATACCACTAAACACCCTTAGAAACAATGTATTTTTACTTCAGAGCATAAGAACCTATTTAAGGACCTAAATAGTTCAATTAAATTAAATTTGTGGTACTTACCATTTATGTAGGAACATGTGCGGGCTATTACTTGGGAAAATGCAGGAAAACTCGCGGGTTTTTACCAACGAGGTACCATACCATCGATGTTTCAAATTTACATAAAACGTTACACTGATAATAAAAAGACAGTTCTTACCTGGCTATAGCACTTTAGGCTAGATAGATAGATGGGTAGATTGATAGTTTTTTTAGGCTTTAAAAGCATATGGCAATTAATTTTTGATAAGTTTATTTTTGGACATTTGTGTGAGTGCGAAGCACCAGACAAAATACACGTACCATAAGGTTTTCCAGTGTGAAAGATGGCGGCCGGCTCTATTCAAAAACCTTCCAACTCCCTCTCCAGTGCCGGACACTAGGGGCGCTTTCCATTTACGAAAAAAACCCGGAAATTTCGGTGGTAGCAAAAGTGGAATTTCCGATCGGTAAAAAGTTGTTCCATTTGGTCGTAAACCCCGGTACGTGGCCGGGTGCCCGACCGTGGACCTGGAACTGGTACAAACTACAAGAAACGTCAATGGAAGACCATGGAACACGACATTCCGTTCGGAAATTCCAACCGGGAAAACGGGACCACCTTTTTAGATTTTCCGCTTTTTCTGGGAATTTTCCAGTGGGACGAACCGACGAAACGTGTTCCATTTACCGCCGAACCGGAAATTCCGGAAATTTTGACTAAATGGAAAGCGCCCTAGTACTCATGAGGAAGGTATCGGTCACACTCAGCTTTTTTAGAGCTTATTTTAATAACCACAAAAAACCTCAAGTCAGTATCCAACGCGTCCGTGACGAGAAAAATTCTACCTCAGGGCCCCTCGGCTTGAACCAAAGAGCGATCTTTTTAAAAAAAGGGTCTCAAGATTCCTTTCCCTCGACTAAGTCAGTGTGCTTTTAAAAGAATTCAATTCTGTGATTTATATTCTTTTTCACCAGCATTTTTGGCAGCCATGAAGTTTGTATCAAACCGGAGTGAAATAGACAAGTGCAATCAAGTTACAGGTCTTCAAATGATTTACAAGTTCCTCTTCCAAGAACTTCACATTATACGGCCGTGCCAGCGAGTTTCCAGAAGAAAAAATGTCAGCCTTAAATTGCTCTCATGCCCATTGCATTCAGATTGAGTTGTTAAACTTGTTACAGTAAATAAAAACTAAGTACATGGTCACATACCTGCTTCAATACCAGTTTACAATATGAACACTAAACGAAACGGTATGCTGTTAACGGCATGAGTCAAATCAAACGACAATAATGCTTGACAACAATTGGACTACAGTACTAAAGAAAGTCTGCATCATGCTTTGACAGTGTTGGGAACAGCATTTTAGGGTCAATAGACCTAGTTTAATTTAGCTGCACTTTGTAAATTAAAGGAACGGTAGAGGGCTTTATACCAGCAGCTTGCCGCAACTAGCCCGGAATAACAGTTTTTTCCGTTTCCAATGTTGCCATTGTAACAATACGCTCATCAGACAAAACTCAGTGGTAGCCTGTTCCGGACATTCAGATGGTGGGGACGGCGTAAAGAGTTTCTTTTTTTACCCTTTGGTGTGACCACCCCCGCCGCACTCCACTGTCTGAACAACGCCTGGAACACAGCACCACTTAGGCTACAAAACCGGTGGAAACACGCCATAAGCATCAAATCAAAAAGTGATCGTCATATCTTGACACACGTTCAGTAATGATTATTAAACGAACCTACAGCGATCTTACAAAGAAATATTGAACAAATCTCTAGTGATCTTATAGAAAAATAAAGACACTGAAGAAACAAAGGTTAAATTCAATGGTCCATGCCAGGGCAGATAATTAAGGTTGGGCGGTGAAACGAGCGCATCCAAGCAAAAAGGTGTGATGCAGTGGACTGGGACACTGCTTAGAAATGTCGCTTGTTTTCGACTTCGGTCGGGGCTTGCGAAGGGCTTGTGAAGGACTTGCGATGTGGTTTGTACATTAGACACTGCCGCTGTCACTGAATTATGGTGGCTTGATTTGTTTTCTTGCACCTCTTCCTCATTCCTTTGTGCTGGTACGCTGTCTCCGAGAGGCAAATGTTGCTATTTTTTGCGGGAGGTTTAGTTGGAGTAGACAAACATCTCTTTCAAAGGGTTTCTTTTATTACTTCCATGACTCTACCACTGAATTATATTTGCCTTCTGCTACTCACCAATGTCGATGTTATTCCAAAACAAAAACAACTAAGTACTGTCTAAAACACGAAGGAAAATCTCATCCATGTCATCCATAGCAAAACTAAAAGACAACAGATCGTGTTTCATAAAGCTTCATAACTAGATGACGTGTATTTTGTAAATGCGTGCAGCTCGTGCAAGGTGAAATTATGCTAATTTCAATCACCATCATCCTTCTTTTTAATTTTGAAAAAAACATCTCATACGTCTTTCTGTTTCTTCGAAACTTCAAAATTAGTTTCCCCTCAGTTTTTCCTGTTTACCTTGTTTTGTTTTAGAGAAAAAAACGGAGAAAAAACCTTACAACTAACCTCAATAAATTTTGTTTACATGCGGTTTCCGGATTTGCTACGCATTGAGCGAATCGCCATGGCGCGTTGCACCCGAGAAGCAAAGTTTGAAGAAGTACAACGCCACTATATCAATATATATCAATCTAATTTTTTGTTATTTTATATAAAATTTATCCCCCTTTAACATATGTAAAAATTGAGGTTAAGAAGTGTTAAGATTTTGCAAACGAAACGGCGAAAGACGATAAGGTGATATTTAGTGGAAGGAGGAGGTATTCAACACTTTCAAATTAAACTCAAATTTTGGCATTATACGACCAACAAGTTTGACTTATAGACGTACAGAAACTGAAACTGTTTATTGATATTGTTATGAAACGAATTTATCTATTTAACATTGTAGCCTGAAATTACAGAAAGAAAATAGGGTTTCCGGTTTGCAAAAAGGAAAATTTCGCGGAGCGCTGGTGCCAGTCCTACTCCGCATCACACATTAAATGAAGAGCGGAGCGCTCGTTTCACCGCCCAACCCAGGGGCGGATAAAGGAACACCGCGGCAAAACGTCTACGCATGCGCCAGATTGAGCATTTCCGGTCTCTTTTTCAGTCACACTTTCCAGTCAAAGTCTCCCGCGCGCTTCATTCTGTGTGCAGCTTGTGGTTCAGTTGTTCTGCTTTATGCTGCTCGTGTTTTTGACTATTTTGTAGTTATTGAAATTGCTTTTATGGATAACCAGGCACAGATCACTGAAACAATTAGTCGATTAGATTCAGAAAAGGTAAGATGATAATAACTCAGTGTGTAATTTTGGCTAGAGCGTCAGGTAAACTGATTTTCATTCACGAAAATAAAGTTTTTGACTGTTATTTTTCACTTAACCTGGCTGAAACTAAGACATACGAATTAAAACGTTATCATTGCAAGCTTGTGTATTGTAGTTCTAATTTTTAGTTCTTCAGTTTCTCAGTCTACATGTGTTAAAGCCGATTCAAACTTTATTTGGAAAACGATAACACACAATCGCTTTGTAGTTTTGTTTACCAGTGGGTTTTACCGTGTTTTAAAACGAAACTCTTCTGGGTTGATTGCCATGAAACATCAGCTTAATCATACTGTTGAGCCGGTTGGCAGCAAGTTGACAACTCTATTTATTTATTTTTCCATTCTCAGAATCAGAGAGCGAAAGCTGGTTCAGTGGCTTTTAGAAGTCGAACTTTTCATGCCATGTATTGAGCAGCTAGAAGTTTCGTGTTTGCATGAGATGCAGCCGAGCCGCACAGTCTGAAATTATTGAAGTCTTCAACAAAAAGACAACCATGTAAAAGAATTAAATAGGCATTTTCTTGAATGAAAGTCATTTATAGGCATGTTTAGTTTCCCGGTGACTGCAGTCATCAAAGTCAAAGTTGTTATTAAATCCCGCCCATCTTTTGTTTTGAGTTCTTGTTTTCTCTGATAATAAAACAAATTATTGAACGGACTAAAATTTTATTTCCTGGTTTTAGTGTGTTTTTATGATAATGATGATGTCTTTATTTTGGTTTCTTTCATAAGTATTGTTATTCTTTTCTTAGTTGTCGCCTTCTCCCAAATTAACTTATGCCAAACCAGTAGCATGCAAGAAAGCCAGTAAAAACAAATTCGTCTTGTCGAGCGCTCGCGACCTGCAAACTTCAAACATCATTTTCACCGTTGGTGCAAACAGATAACCATGTGGTGCAAAAGTTTGAGAATAGAAAAATATATAAGCTTTCGAATGAAGTGATTTTTTTGGCCCCCTTTTTTGTCTGTTTCGCCCTTTTTGCTTTTAAACTTGACGCGACGGCAAAGTTATGCTTACGCTATTGGTTTATATACTAGACCGGAAATAAAAAGCTGACCGGATATTAAATTTTGTGCTCATGCGCATTGCGTTTTGCCGCGGTGTTGGATAAAGGTTGGGCGGTGAAACGAGCGCGTCCGAGCAAAAAGGTGTGATGCAGTGGACTGGGACTCTGCTTAGAAATGTCGCTTGTTTTCGACTTCGGTCAGGGATTGCAATGTGGTTTGTCCATTGGACATTGCCGCTGTCACTGAATTATAGCCGCTTGATTTGTTTTCTTGCACTTCTTCCTCGTTCCTTTGTGCTGGTACGCTGTCTCCGAGAGGCAAATGTTGCTATTTTTTTGCGGGAGGTTTAGTTGGAGTAGACAAACATCTCTTTCAAAGGGTTTCTTTTATTACTTCCATGACTCTACCACTGAATTATATTTTCGTTCTGCTACTGAGTACTCACCAATGTCGATGTTATTCCAAAACAAAAACAACTAAGTACTGTCTAAAAGACGAAGGAAAATCTCATCCATGTCATCCATGGCAAAACTAAAAGAGAGCAGATCGTGTTTTATAACTAGATGACGTGTATTTTATAAATGCGTGCAGCTCGCGCAAGGTGAAATTATGCTAATTTCAGTCACCATCATCCTTCTTTTTTATTTTGAAAAAAAAAATCTCATACGTCTTTCTGTTTCTTCGAAACTTCAAAATTAGTTTCCCCTCAGTTTTTACTGTTTACCTTGTTTTGTTATAGAGAGAAAAGCGGAGAGAAAACCTTACAACTAACCTCAATAAAATTTGTTTACATGCGGTTGCTAGATTTGCAACGCATTACGCGTATCGCGATGGCGCGTTGCACCCGAGAAGCAAAGTTTGAAGAAGTACAACGCCACTATATCAATATATATCAATCTAATTTTTCGTTATGTTATATAAAATTTATCCCTCTTTAACATATGTAAAAATTGAGGTTAAGAAGTTTAAGGCTTTTACAAACGAAACGGCGAAAGACGATTAGGTGATATTTTGTGGAAGGAGGAGGTATTCAACACTTTCAAATTAAACTCATATATTGGCAAATTACGACCAACAAGTTTGACTTATAGACGTACAGACACAAACATATGAAACTGGTTATTGATATTGTTATGAAACGAATCTATCTATTTAACATTGTAGCCTGAAATTACAGAAAGAAAATAGGATTTCCGGTTTGCAAAAAGGAAAATTTCGCCTGCCTTCAAGCGCACCGGAAGCGCGGAAAGAGCGCTCGTGCCAGTCCTACTCCGCATCACACATTAAATGAAGAGCGGAGCGCTCTTTTCACCGCCCAACCTTTATCCGCCCTGGCCCAACCTTTTAATATCCGCCCTGGTCCATGCGCTTAACTACCAGGACAGTTCCCTCTCCGAAAGCCATTCTAACTTCCGTGACTATTAATTTCACTAACAGCTACTAACGCAGGGCTGTCAACCCCCCAAGTGTTCAAATATTAGGGAGCTTGATAATAATAATAATAATAATAATAATAATAGTAATGATGATGATGATGATGATGATGATGATGATGATGATGATGATGATGATGATGATGATGATGATGATGATGATGATGATAATAATAGTAGAATTAATTTCTACACGATTAAAAAGTACAGCGGAGCTGATGTGGTCGTATTAAAACTAAAAATATTATCAAAATCGTTAAAGTAATCAAAAACACTTAGTTTACAAAAAAATTCAAAGCCGAGAAATGGTTACTTAGAAACCGACATTTCAATTAATGTCCTTTGAAAAGAGTCAAAATAAAATATTTTGATATTTTCCTTGTGTGACTCTCTAGAGAGTTGCAGTTGCATTTTATTTAAGCCGCGGCTTATTTTCTCTCGTATAAACCTAAACGGCCTTAAGGTTGCATTGGTGCTTTGTAGCAGATATGGACTTGCGAAGTAGCTCTGTCTTGGGAAAAAGGTATTTCAAACGTAAGCTTTCTTCATAAATTATAACTGCGGTCGCACTTTTTAAAAAAATTTCTGGACAGTTTTGGGGGGAATTTGGTAAAAACATTTATGGGCTAGTAAGAATAATTTCAGATCATACATAGATTATTTGATAAAAACCAGTTCGCATGACAGGCTAGCTCCTTGTCGCTCGACGTGCACCAGTCTAAACCAAAAATAATTTTAGCAGCCCGAACAAGGATTTTTTCCAGCTCCTCAAAGAGAGTTTTTAAGCAACTACGAAGATGACGGCAACGGGAATGGCAAAAAGCAAATGCACGACTACGACGTGAAAATGCCTACTTTCACGATTTATGGCAACCTCGTTCCCAGGGTTCGCTCTGTAGGGCGGGTAGGAGAGAACACTGGGAACGAAGTTGGATTTATGGAGGACTAAATTTGGAGGACTTGAACGCAAGACAAGGATTTTCTTTTTTCTTTTAGTGAACTTAGAAACAGTCGCTTCAGAATTCCGACTCCTGAGAAAATACCCAACATTTGACAAATGAAATGCGATGAAATTTAAAACAGCGTGAATTCTTTTTTTTGGGTGACGTTTTCGCTGGCGTTGCCGTCGTCGTCGCTTAAGCTCCCTATTGAGGATGATAGATGACGTCATAACACACCGGACATGACGTCACTTGAGCAAAAAAATACTCGTTGACTCAGATTAGGACCTTTTATATAAAGCCGAGGAGAAAATAAGCCACGTCTTACTTTGGCTGCAGCTTACATAAGACACGAACATCCGTATAAATGGTGCAAATCTCCGTTCACGGCTTATACAACCCACGGCCATCCAGCTCAAGCCAGAGGCATATCGACGAGTTTTGGGCTGGGCCTATCCAAGCCGCGGCTTATCTTGGACATGGAAGTATTCGTATAAGTGTACTCAAACGTTGTCCGCGGCTTGCTGAAGCCAAGCTGTAGTAGCTTGTAGTAAAGCTGAAGCCGTGAACGTTTGCTACCCATGCTCATGCTCTGTTTTCAATTACATCCCAGACCTTCGCGCCTGAGAGACGCGCGCTGTAGTGGCGGGAAAATGACCTGGTACACAAGGGGGCCCAAATTTTTGTTTAAACCCGACCTCATCCATATGCATCCCTGGAACATCTCTTTCGAATCACTCGATTGATCGCTGACTAACTTTTTCCGCACAAGTTTCGCAACAACCCAAAGCAACCTCGTCCTCAGGGCGCTTTTCCCTGGCTTTCAGGGAAAAGCGCCCTGGGGACGAAATTGAACCCAACGCTAATCTTGATCGAAATGTTAATTTGAAACGAGAAAGATAATGTAAAATTTAGCTATTTTCCAGTCCAAGGCCAATCGTTTCGTTTTCGCAAATTATGCGAGGCACCAAAACAAACTACGTCATCCTTGGACTGGTCTGCAGCTGACCGCGAAGTAAGCCTCGAACCATTTATACCCGCAGTTCGCGCCTTTTGTAAGCCGTACTCTTATAACTGGTTCCTTTCGCGTCTTATGTAAGCCGGGGCTTTTTTTCTCTGGTATTAACGGCCCTATTGTCACGAATTTACGATGACACAAAACGCGCGAAAAAGATGTTTCTGGCCCTGATTGGTTTACTTCCTACCAATCACATTATCGCTTATATTACGATGGCACTGACCGAAGTTTTTGAAAATACCTTAAACAACGTAAATAATTTGAAATTTTATTGTCAGAACTGAGTCGAGTCTACTGAAGAAATGGCAACCTTCGGCGATTATCCGGGAGATTCCATACTCTCATAACAGGCCAGAGCCCCGATTTTAAGTACTAGGCGACTTTGAAAGACGCGTGCTTCACATATTTGTGGCGGATTAGAATGCCGGCTTGGTTAGAGGCCCTTTGTTTAAAACATGGCGGGATACTCGCAGCTTAAGGCAAGCATGTGCCTTGTAGCTGTCAACGTAATGCTTTTTAATTACATTCTGTCATAATTAACAAAACCCGATCCATGTTTGATTGAAAGTAATTGTACAAATCTGGTACCAGACAAACCGCTTTTAAAAAACAAAACAACAAAACTAGTTTATGGTTATTTCTCATTAATTTCACTTATCAAAACAAATATTTACTTTTATCAGTTTTCCCGTTTCTTTCAAAACGTTCTTCATTTCCGTGCGTTTCACTGTAGTCAATGAAAGACACGTTTTATCGGTCGTCTTTTACGCGGGAACATCAAAATTTCCATCTTTCAAAACGCGATGAACCAAAGCTTGCAGGGTACCAAAGCGCCAAAGACGCACGATGCAGTCCCGGTGTTTTGTGAGCACCCGTTAAGAATATTGAACGCCAAAACTATCAAGTTTTGGTACAGCGAGAGGCAGCTAGTTTCTGTATCCAAAGGTTAGTGCATGGACAGGCTATCGAAAGAAAATAAAAGGGATGCTTGCCCAATGGATAGTAGGCCTAACTACGCAAATAAATGTCTCATTGCATCCTTGTCTGCGAGGTTAGTACTAAATTTACACTATAGAATACATTACACAACTCAATCCGCAACACTTTGCAAGTAGAATTGGCGATCAGTGTGGGCAATTTATATTTCTAAGGGACGTCCGTCCGTCCCACAAAGGCTTAACGCGGGGGGGGGGGGGTTTAGTCAATGACTGACATAAGAGTTTCCTCACAATCAACCCAGTTAGAGTGCGATAATGTGCGCGTGAACTTTGCCTACAACTGGCAATAAGCTGAATAAACCGGAAGCTGAACACCATGAATAAGTTACTCATGTAAATTATATCGCTCAGGTTTTTTTTTCTTTTTTTTCAAGTAGCGGAGGGGTTTTTCGCGCATTCTGTTGCGCAGTTTGGCAGTGATATACCGAGCATCAGACAGGTAACGCGCCGAAGCCACCATTTTACTCTTCTTCTACCAAACAGTTTTCCTGCAATGGTGTTAGTACTGGTCCCGTTGCCGAAACCTTGCACGAGCAAGATACGGTAATCGAGAGTCGAGAATCGAGAATCAATATTGTACTCGGGACAAGAAAAGGTCGCCGTCCAAGGAACAACTGATGCAATGCAAGAGCTTCAAGCTGCTGAGAATCACCAATTCTGGATTACAAGCAGTGAAAAAACTCATGAGGAGCGTCCAAATTATAAAGGAACTTTGGAGGCCAGTCAGCCACGGTGATTGTCGCACCACGCAAAAACTAGAATAAATTTGTTAGCCTGGTCTTGTCTTTGCCACAAATCACGTAAAACTATAAAGAAGGTACCACTATGAACTCTGGAAAATGAAAATTCAATAATACTATGGTTGACGACTGACAGTTTAAAAGAGAGACATCCTTCACCTCAGAATCTTGGGCGCGCCGCCTGTAAGCTCTGAGGGAGAGGGAAGCCCCATAATTTGGCCTATTTAAAAAAAAAATGACACTACAAAAATAACCTGCAATTATAATTTCAAAAGGGAGACTACCATCACCTCAGAATCTTGGGCGCGCCGCCTGTAAGCTCTGAGGGAGAGGGTAGCCCCATAATTAATTTGGCCTATTTCAAAAATAAATGACACTACAAAAATTACCTACAATAATAATTTGGATAAACGACCGACATTTTAAAAGAGAGACTACCATCACCTCAGAATCTTGGGCGCGCCGCCTGTAAGCTCTGAGGGAGAGGATAGCCCCATAATTTGGCCTATTTCGAAACAAATGACAGTACAAAGATGACCTACAATAATAATTTGGATAATGACCGACATTTCAAAAGAGAGACTACCTTCACCTCAGAATCTTGGGCGCGCCGCCTGTAAGCTCTGAGGGAGAGGGTAGCCCATAATTAATTTGGCCTATCTCAAAAATAAATGACACTACAAAAATTACCTACAATAATAATTTGCATAAATGACCGACATTTTAAAAGAGAGACTACCATCACCTCAGAATCTTGGGCGCGCCGCCTGTAAGCTCTGAGGGAGAGGGTAGCCCCATAATTTGGCCTATTTCAGAAAAAAAATGACACTACAAAAATCACCTACAAAAATTATTTGGATTATGACCGACATTTCAAAAGAGAGACTACCTTCACCTCAGAATCTTGGGCGCGCCGCCTGTAAGCTCTGAGGGAGAGGGTAGCCCCATAATTAATTTGGCCTATTTCAAAAATAAATGACACTACAAAAATTACCTACAATAATAATTTGGATAAATGACCGACATTTTAAAAGAGCGACTACCATCACCTCAGAATCTTGGGCGCGCCGCCTGTTAACTCTGAGGGAGAGGGTAGCCCCATAATTTGGCCTATTTCGAAACAAATGACAGTACAAAGATGACCTACAATAATAATTTGGATAATGACCGACATTTCAAAAGAGAGACTACCATCACCTCAGAATCTTGGGCGCGCCGCCTGTAAGCTCTGAGGGAGAGGGTAGCCCCATAATTAATTTGGCCTATTTCAAAAATAAATGACACTACAAAAATTACCTACAATAATAATTTGGATAAATGACCGACATTTTAAAAGAGCGACTACCATCACCTCAGAATCTTGGGCGCGCCGCCAGTAAGCTCTGAGGGAGAGGGTAGCCCCATAATTTGGCCTATTTCGAAACAAATGACAGTACAAAGATGACCTACAATAATAATTTGGATAATGACCGACATTTCAAAGGAGAGACTATCATCACCTCAGAATCTTGGGCGCGCCGCCTGTAAGCTCTGAGGGAGAGGGTAGCCCCATAATTTGGCCTATTTCAGAAAAAAATGACACTACAAAAATCACCTACAAAAATTATTTGGATTATGACCGACATTTCAAAAGAGAGACTACCTTCACCTCAGAATCTTGGGCGCGCCGCCTGTAAGCTCTGAGGGAGAGGGTAGCCCTATAATTTGGCCTATTAAGTAAAAAACAAGTAACAATACAAAGGTGACCTGTAATAATAATTTTTGGATTATGATTGACATTTCAAGGAGGCTAAAATGACTGATATAGAAACCATACTGTATCTGTGACGTTGATTATACAGATCGCCCAAGCGAACACGAAGATGTTGAAGTGGAAGCTAGAATATCTGGAGTAATCCAGCGTCTTGGGCTCCTGCCAGCGAATAAGATTTTGGCGGGATTTCGACAGTGCTTGGCGGGCTTTTTGGAGAGTGATTTGTCACTGGAGGCACATCGACGCTTACATCGTCTTAAGCCAGAGAAAAAAGACTTGAATCCTTCGCCGTTTGATAAAAAAGGTCGTCCATTGAATCAGATAATCGGTCTTGCTGTTCCTCAAGGAGATGTGAAGTAGAGCTCGAGCTCTCGCATTCGTTTACACCGGCGGCTATAAAATGTGCATTGTTGACGGCTTTTCTCAAACGTTCAAATAGAGAAGATTTAAAAATTTCTTTGGTCAGGGTCTTTTCCACGCAGAGTTCCTTCCAAACCGGAGAAAGATGTGCCAGCAGAGAGTGTATTCCTACTTGTGGCTCCACAGTAAAAACTTGATACGCCGACTCGCCGTTTTCGCTTCGAAGGTCACCAATGTTGACACGGCATACTACTCTTGAAAGAAATTAAATAAGCCATGGGAGCACTATTTTCTTAAAAGAGAGCACTTGAAAAGCCACTGAAAGCGTATCAAGCCTATTTGAATACAAATGCGGCGAGAAAACTGTAGTTATCAATTGCGAAGCCAGCCGCGAAGATCGACTTCGACCGTGAAATGAATTTATAATACCCAAATAGTCTGATCAAATTTCGCGTTTCCTTGAGATGTCTGGTTCGTTTAATCAGAAGTACAAAGTTCCTTGACAGGCAATGTGTCCGGCGCTCTCCAAAGGTGTCTGGAGGAATGCTTAAAACTAATTACGAAAGTAACGCTTGTCTGTTATTGGAAACCGATCTGCGGTGGTTGCTGTGGAGATTAGGCCTCCTCCTGCGCGCACTAAAATCGGGGCTCTGGCCTGTTATGATCTAGAGACTGCGGGAGAAACGGTCCAAAAACTGGAGTCTCCCGGATTATCCAGGAGAGGTGACGGCACTGTTAGTGGCACAAGCAGTAGCACAAACATTTTTATTAAGGTCAAGGTGCATCTGAAGTGAAGGCAAGTATGCGCACAAGGCAGAACACAGGGCATTTGAAATTGTTCCTTGACTTCTAATACGCATGCGTGTGCTTATGTATGTGCGTACTTAAGCTCTGTCACTACAAGGCTCTTGAGCTTGTGCTTACGTGACCCTTGCGTCGCTCGTTGAGACCAGGATTTTTTCAATAGGACGCTTTAGCCATTGATTTCTCTTGTATTTTTATCCTTCATACCGATAACCTGAGATCAGGCTCTATTTTCGTTTCGCTTAGAAAATTACATTCCGGTGGGCAAGGCGAAACGAAAATTTCAGCTGTAACCGTTAGAGAGAATGTATGAGAACCGCTCAAATTGGGTCTGATCTCAGGTTATCATTCCGATTGCTTTTTTATAGTTTTGCTTCCCTCCGTCACGCAACGTAACGCTCGGACTGTGCGTGACAAAGTTAGGCCAACTGAGGTCTGGGTACGAGGTTGAGTGAGCGCGAGCGGTAAACGGCGAAAAAGTTGGCATCGTTAATAATGAATGCTCGGCGCTTTGCAGTTTATCTGGGAGTGAGCCTTGCTGTTTGTTTTGCATCTATAGCACTCTATGTGCTTGCAACAGAACGGTTCCGCCGAAAGAAGGTACTTGGCTATGACTTGTAGTAGATAGAAATTACATGGTGCCCATTTGTTCATAATGAACAAGATGAGGTCAAAGTGAAACTGATCTTTAGCTTTTAATAGATATCACTTGAAGAAATGAGTGATTCTTACCGGTGTACCGCTAAGTCTGCATAGTTACAGTAAACTTACTTACAAAATGATTTTTTACCAAATATGTAGCCATTGAATGATTCTTTCTAGTACTGAACTGTGTAAAACAAATTGCCTGTTACCCAGCTGTACCGCTCCAGTTTATTTCATACTTCACTTCCGGGTTTACTTGTAATCGATAGCATTGAGTTTCATGTAGGCTTTACAGATTGTTGCCACTGTCACTGCTATTAAAAAGAATTTATCGTAAACTAGAAATACTTCAATCGCAGGACCTCTCGCAGTACTTGAAAGAGAAATTATGACAAGAAGTAGGTTCAGAAAGGGAAAGAAGGTATTACAGGGAAAAGAACATAAGAAACAAAACAAAGCTACAATAATTTAAAGAAAAGAAAAGAAAAGGAAAGATTATTAAAGGAAGAAACCAAAAAAAAAAAAAAGAAAAATAAGCCGTTTCCAGGATCGAACTTAGGACAACCTGTTTGCCAGGCCAATTCGAAACCACTATGCAACGTGGGAATGCATGACTAAAGTGTTGATGGTATTTCATTTAAAGCCTTACTTCCGCCAGCACACACCATTTAAAGCCGATTGAGCCGTACTAAAGGCGGGAACTGGGATATGCTCCCTTTTATTTTGAACTTACATGTAGGGGTGTGTTGTTAAACACTGGGTATGGTTTTTTGAGTCTTACAGCACTGTTCTTAGAGGAATTAGGCGATTTAGCAAAGTTGACAGTAACGTTAGCATGTACATGTAAAATCTGACTTGACCAATACAGTATGTTGCCCAGTATCCGGACACTTCAGTTTAAGATTGCAATAACTTTCCTTTGTTACTCATAAGAGCTCTGAAATTTGGCCCAGAGAAAATCTATCTAGTCCTTAATATGACGAAAGACAGTTTAACTTTTTTGCCTTTGTTTCCATCGCGAAATTAATATTTTTGCACAGCTCCTATGTTGCCCAGTATCCGGACAGCTGGCCCAGTATCCGGACACAACAATAACAACGTAACTATACATAAATTTCGACAGGCAAGCGACTTAAAAGCTTCTTTTGCACTTGCAAAGTAGTCTGGCAATCGATTCCAGAAATATAACCTAGCATCGTGAAATAAAACATAGCAAAAAACTGGGGTATGTGGGGAACGCGAGCGGCTGTTTTAAAAATGGTATATTATTCTTACTTACTTGTCTAGGAACGTTTTCTCTGATTTAAGGAAGGCATCCGTGGAGATGCCGAAGCCGCAGTTTGCAAGCTCAATTAGCCAATCTGCAAACGACTTTCTTCCTTCATTTTTTATTTTTAAAAAAGCTTGGGGAAGGGACCTCAACCTGACGGTCAAAGGTCACTCTCCTATTTAGTCTGACCTGCAGTGTTGATTTCTCCATGCTCAGTCCCTACAATAAGCCTGCTTTTCTAGCACTAATTCCTCCTTCTTTCACATCTCTCAATCCTTTTGTGACATTTTTCAGACCGTTGCAACCCCATTCTAGCAGTCACAACAGGGGAAAGTATGAGAATTCCAGGTTCAACTCACATGCTTTCAGTTATATATAGAAAATGCAGTCACGCGAAACAAGCCGTGCACACGAAATCAAGTCCCCTCTGAATGAGTGAAGAAAATTTCCATACGGAGTTGAGTAGAATTACATTTTACGACTATATCATATATCCTAAGCTTTAATTATAGTTACTGATATGAAATAAATCTTATCCGGATAATGTACACAGCTAATTCATCGATTCTGTACAGCAAAGAAAAAACTGTCCGGATACTGGGCACATGACATCAAAACTTAGTGAATGTTTCTAGCCTCCGTTATTGCAAACAAATCGAATTTCAAGAAGAATTAATAAACTTTCTGAAAACCTGACTTCCTTAAGTATCTTCACCTTAAAGATAAAACAGTTTCTTTGAAAATATCACATATTACCCTCCCTTTTCTGAGCAGCACTAATTTTACTGCGCTGTAAACAGCGTAAATATTAGCCATGAAAAGTTTACTCACCTGAACAGAACGGCGTCTTCCTCGACTATTTCGCAAGCTTTCAAATCGCCAAAACTTTGATCTTAAAGCTGAAATGTTCAGCTTTCATTCGAAATACTTCCTTTACCGAGAACTGAAAAGGGTGCCTGAAGAATTGAGTTTTTGTTTCAAGTGTCCGGATACTGGTACCGTCCGGATACTGGGCAACATACTGTAGCAGAGTGGCAGCAAAGTTATTATTTAATTACTGAAGTTGTGCTCAGCCCTTTGTGTGTGCCTTCATGTTGTAATTTGCTGTTGCATTGTTTTTCTATCAAACCAGCCTAATAAGAACCCCAGAGGACTGCTATGTTTGTACATGTGTTTGTACACGTTAACTATCCTTAACCTGCTGTACAACTTATTATTAAAGACACTAAAAATTTGTCAAAAACTGATTTTTTCAGAGTAAAGACAACAAGGAAAGTTTGGTTGCACTGAACTTCCCATTTTTGACAGATGCTCACTGCATTGAATTTGTGATGAACTCCAAAGTTATGTTTATAATGCGAGGATTACCTGGTAGTGGAAAATCAGTAGTTGCCCATCAGATTAAACAAGTGTATGGTGATAAGGCTGTGATATGTTCAGCCGATGATTTCAGAGTGACTGATCAAGGAGATTATGTTTGGAAAGCTGAGGAATATGAGATGACACACATGATATGCCAAGAGAAAGCAAACCAGGCCTGTCGAAATGCAACACCAGTTGTTATTATTGGTAAGAAATAATACTCAAGTTGAAATGATAATAAATTATTATATTTGTAAATCTTGTTGTGTTGTTAATAACTGCACTTCCAATCGTCCATTATCCTGTGATTTTCTTATTTACTCACCAAAATGAGGTTTACCATTGTATTACGTTTACCTTTTCTTATAGTGTTTAAATTGTATAAATACATGAGCTATATACACCGATATTATGTCCAGTCCTGGAGCTTTTACCAATTGTATGGAAAACCTGGAAATTCCGTGCAGAATTCAAAGGGAATGGTGCTTCCCGGTGGGAATTTTGAAAGAGGCTGGTGCACTCATTAGAATTCCTAATTTGACCAGGCTGGGCATTTATTTGATCTTGCCAAAATTGTTTATTAATTTTTTTAAATGTTCTCCAACAGATAACACCAACATCAAGAAATTTTTGCTGTTCCAATATGTTTCCATTGCACATGATACTGGCTACTGTGTGGTTATAGTTGAACCTAAGACGAGTTGGAAACTTAGCATATCTGAGTTGACCCAACGGAATCATCACAATGTTACAGAGGAGAGACTGAGAGAGCTTTTATCTGAGTTTGATAAAGTATTTGCTCTATATTATGGGTGGTTTCTTTCAGGGGATAGTTCCCAGACTCTGAAAGACAGGATGTTAAAAGTCTTGAGAGACTGTTGTGAAAATATCCCATCATTTCAAGATAGCTTTGTAAGAGACAGTTCCCAGGAACAAGATGAACCTGCAAGTAAATAAATAATATAGTTCCTGTGGTTATTGTTATCATTATGTAGGATCAATTATAGAGCATAATGGGATAGAGGGGTAATCTTAGGGCACTGGCCAGGATGTGTGAATTTTCTTTAAGTTATTTTTAGAGGTTGTAATTGAATGGAAGTCTAATTCCTGAGACATCCAGACATTTTTATTGATTGTTTGAAACATCGTCAAGTCCATGGATGGGTGACTGCCTCAAAGCAAACAATGCAGAATAATTGTAATGGCGACTGTTGTATTCTCTCTTGACAACACTGAACAAAAGTTTGCGGACCTTGCCAGAAATCATCCTCTGCTTAATTACAAGGGTTTATTTGGTCTAAAAGTAAATTCACATATCTCAAGGGCTAGAGTGGGCATTTTCCTCTCAGTCTTATTATTCTCTGTAGGTAGGAAGATTGAAATCTTGTTAGATTCAAATTTTATTTCATGCCTGAGTGCTAAGTGAGACATTGAGAGACAGTTAAGTTTATTCTATGAATGTCAGAAAGGGCGTGGCCTATTCCAAGATAAAAATGCTGATACACAGAAAATTTGCTATTAACAAGTTTAATTTTGATAGTCTCTGTATATGATAGCATTTTTTAATGTAGTTTGAAATTTTTCTAGAGGAAATTATTCCAAGAGTAAATTCCATTTTCCTTATTCTGTGATTAAATACCAATTGTCAATGCACCCTTAGAACCTTTAGCCTCTTAAAATAGTGTGTTAGTCTTGGAACATTGTTCTTGGACCAGATGCTGGATGGTAGCTCTATGTTGGCAGCCTTTTAATTGGAGTAGTGCAGTGGCTTGGGGTGTCTTAAGTTTGGCTGATGTGTAATATTTTTTGTAGGCTGCTCCTCGGAAACAGACTTTCCATCGTTGCCTTGCCTAGAACATCCGCGTAGCCATCTCCACATAACTACATTTTTTTACAAGAGAGGACAAACCCAAAGAGCTCGTGAGTATGTCTGTATGGTTGAAGATGCCTTTGGATCAGTGGCTACTCTGTCAGTAGTTGCCTGGACAATTACACCAAGAACAGTGACAGCAAGAGTTAAACTTACTTCACAACAACTCAACCTCTGGGGGGGCATGCTCAGTTCAATGGATTCCACAGGACAGGGAAGTGGTGACAGCAATACAGTACTCAGTCTTAATGTAAGTGACTATTCAGCAGATTCTAGGGACTAGAATCTACCTGAGAGTCGCTGATAAAGAAATGAGAGATACACCCTGTATAACACTCTGCAAAATTCATTCACTTGGAAAAAAAATTAGCCCATTTTTCGCACTACAAGTTACAAAGCCACGTTCTTTTCACGTACACGCGAAAATCAAGACATAAGAAATCATAAATGACGCTTCACGCTTCACAAGACAAAAAAAAAACTCCAGTCACTTTCCAAATGAAATTAAGGAAAAAAAAAGAAAAAGGAAAAAACATAGTACCCTGTGCGAAGGTATGTTTTAAGGTACAGTAAAACAGGCGACATAAAACGTGCAACTTGTTTTGCGACTTTACTGCAAAACGAGTTGAATAACGATGTTGCGCGTTTTACCACCCACGAAAAAAAACCTTCCAACCTTATTTGTTGCAAGACAGGTTCAAACGTGAGTGGTAAAACGTGCGACATGGCTCGTTATTCAACTCATTTTGCAGTAATGTTGCAAAACAAGTTTCACGTTTTTTGTAATGCTCAATCTACTGAAGCTTTATAAACCACTTATACTGATGGGAGATCATTTCCCGTTAAAGCGGTTGATCTGCCAGTTGCTAACGCTTTCTGTTTCCCCGCCAGTAAGTCGGCTTGCAGGATCTTCAACCAACCGGTTTTTTTTTTGTTTTAGGAATCATCGAGTTGTGCACTTCAAACAACAAATTCCTCCTTCATTCCTGCCTCGTATAAAGATTTGGTTATCAAGCCAACAGTTGGTGATGGAGATACTGCGCATGTCACGCTGTCCTGCAGAAGTGACATTACACCAGTTCACGGACGCTTTGACTTACGTGACCTCATTACACTTGAATTAACCAATCACAGTTATGAAGAGTACAAAGTGACAGACGGGATTGTGCGCAGTTATGGTGATGGTCAGTGGGGGGTCTACTTGAATGAACCCATCTACGTTGATGGACTTTTTACTGGGTTTTATGGATCTTGAGAACATTTCATATATCTTTAACGTTCTAGTGTTAGCCTGCGGCGCCCCGGAGAGCTTGCTCGCAGGCTATTCTAGTCTAAGAGCTTTAGCCTTTTGGTTACAAGTCCAGATGCTCTACCACTGAGCTACTGGAGACTCGTGGGGTTCAGGCCACTAAACTAGGACAAAGCCTAGGTTCACGTGAAAAAAAAAGCTGCATATTGCTAGGAGTGGAATGTCGATATTTGCTTTTGCTCAATAACAGAAATTCGACGGTGAATTGAAAAGCCTAGTGAATAAATAAGAAAGATGAGTTTTCAGTCAGTGACCCAGGTAGCTCGAAAGGAAAAAATCCGAGTACTCTCAATAGGAGTCGAACGTTACCAGTCCAGATGCTGTACCACCTAACCTACAGGAGACTGGTGGGAGCTAAGGCCACTAAACTACAATTGTAGCTTCATGTGACAAACATCCTGTATACTGCTAGGACAAGAATGTCGATATGTGCTTATGCGCCGAAATGTGATGGTATTAGTTGTAAATTAAAGACCTAAAGTTAATTGAGGTACAGAAAGTTCCTTCTTTGTGTGCTGGCTCGTGCTCTTGCACATCTTACTTTCTTACTTAAAACTTTCAGTTTCACTCTAATATAACAGGGTGGCCAAGGGGAAGTGCCTATCACGCATCACGGAAAAATAAAATAAAATGTTAACTACATTAACAAGTATCCTATTATCATTTGATCTGACTGGGAAATCAGAGGTCGAGAGACGAGAAAAAAGGGCAGGAAGTTGGTGTCATAACTATCTATTTTTAATGTCTCTGCTTCTAGTTTCAAATCATATTAAGCATCACGGAAATTTCAAAGGGAAATCACGCGTCACGCGTTATGAAAATAACGGAAAACTACTTTGCCACCCCGATATAAAAGTATGAAAAGTTAAATGAAATATTAAGAGTTCAGTAAAGCATTATTATTATTAAACGTTGTCTTTTTACATTTATTTGTGGTTAAGTTTCTGATTATATTATTATTCTTATTATGATTATATTGTGACAGTTTGACACGTCTGGATGATGCCCAGTATTAGTAAAAAACACAGAAGTTGGGCGTCTGACCGAAGTCTTTCTTATGTAAAAAATATTGAAATATTAAGAATATCATAGCCGGCTCTTGTGGTAATATTAAAACGTTAAAAAAAATTATATCAAAAGAGAAATAAAAATGTTTCCTTTTGTACTAAAATTTTGTCCACCATTCTGCTCAGCTTCAGCTCAATGGCAAAATCATACTAAAAGTTTTGAAAAAAATTCAATATAATTCAATATACAATCATTTTTCCTAAAAAAAAACAGTTAAGCAACAATCCTCTTTGTTTAAGCAATAATTTTAAAACTGCGCGCAATGTTTAGTGTACTTGATATGATAGATCTCGGCATTCTTTCGGCTTCCTCTTAACTTTCCTCTTTCCTCTTTCCGCTTTCCGCTTTCCTTTTTCCTCTTTCCTCTTTCCTCTTTCCGCTTTCCGCTTTCCGCTTTCCGCTTTCCACTTTCCTCTTTCCTCTTTCCTCTTTCCTTTTCCAGGAGAGATTTCCTCTTTCCCGCTTTCCGACTTTCCAGGGTTTCCTGACTTATTTAGTGTTTTGAGAACTCTGACCGGCAGTCGGACTCTGAAAAGGGTTGACTGCCGGTCATTTAACATTTGAGGTTTCTTGATCGGCAGGCAGCGTAAACCAAACGCTAAACTTGAGATCTATAAAGTGTTTCAGGGTCATCGCTTGACTTTTCTTAATCGTCATATAATAATTTGGATAGGTTGGGATTCTTAGATAAGTCAAATTTATTGAAAATACCGGACTGCCGGTCATTTAGTGTTTTGAAAACCTTGACCGGTTACCAGCCATATATAGCCACGGCGTTTTCAATCACTGTTTTCAAATACTATGCCTTATTAAGACTTTGTTCACACTATATATATTCACACATTATATGAACGGTGATTTGAGGGTCTCAATGGGGTGTTGGCTTTTACGGTTATCGGCTAAAATTTTGGCTCATTTACGGCTATCGGTTAATTTTTTTCAGTTACGGTTAACAAAAAAGTTAAAAATTAATTTCTTTCTGAGTTAAATATTAATTAACCTGTATTTTTTGTATCTTTTTAAAAAGCAAAATAAAGGGTTTAGGATCACCTCGGGATGAAATAAGCTATCCTTTTGAAAAATTTTAACATTTGATAGATAATACGTTTTATAAAATATTCCACTTCTAATATTATTTTGCGCATAGAAATGTCAATAGTCAATTTAAAAATAATCTTCTTGAAAAAGCAAAACCAGACACGCGAACGCCCAACTCGAGGCCGGGGCGCGACATTCATGGGCGTTTCACACTAGAGACGGATTATCCGTGTGAGACGGGTTATCCGTTTGATAATTCGCGTCAAATAGGTAATACCACTCAATTTGAAAATGGAATGGTTTTAGTTTTGAATGAACAATCCGCCTGACTTTATCCATCAATTTTAACGGAAAGTTTGAAGATGGACTATCCATTTCAGATAGTCTGTTTACAACTGCCCCCTCCCTCAAAAAAAATCGGAGAAGGGGTGTCTGTGGGGGAGGGGGCGACTGTACACGGGCTAGTCTCAGAAGGATAATCTATTTCTAGCTCTAGTGTGAAAACGGCCGATAACAAAATTCCTGTGTCCAGTGTTTTTAACGATACTCGTAGGACTGTACAGAACGTCTGCCGTTGCCTTGTTCGAAGGCCTCATTATTCCACGCGGCTAATGCGTTTCGGGTCACGAGGTCCGAGCGAGTTTTTTTCTCAGATACGCCACCGAAATGCCTTGACCGAGATGGCTTGGGACGCCGAACAGGGACTAGGCATGGCAATGTCTAACGTGGCGTCAGACAAAACAGACAATTGTTGTTAATCGGCAACGTGTTTTACAAACGGTGACATCTCTGCGTGTTGTTTCACTAGTATTTCGAGGGCACGACCTCCTGAAAATCGCAAATATTAATCCTCCTCTCTAAATGATGAACTAAGAACTTCTCCGACCCTTAAAAAATTTGTAACACGCATCAGAAAGATCACCTTTGACGGATGTAACTGCTCTTTATGTAACTGTTAGACTATCGTTAATATTGTACCTTTTAGAATCATTATCTGTAAACAATATCGCATTATGATGTAAATTGTTTAAATTCAGTTCATTTCTTCTTTGTTTGTTTTTAACCTCGACTCATTAGCTAAATAAGCTCCAGACCCTCGAGTATAAATAAAGTTTTCAGTTTCAGTTTTCAGTTTCAGCAAGATGGCAGATTTTTGCTATGGAAAAAAATTAGTTCCCCGAGAGAGCGCCGGAAATGGAGCCGCGAAATAAAAAAACGTAACCATAAGTGAGTTTAGCACCTCCCTTAAAATTAACAAATCTAGGGAACAACTTCTTTTACGGTTAACTCTTTTTTTACCTCATTTACGGCTAACGGTTAAAATTTTTCAATTTTTACGGCTATCGGCTAAATTTTTGGCCGTTTTACGCCTATCGGTTAACCCCATTGAGACCCTCTGATTTCGGCGCGATTTCTGCAACAACACGAGGCTCAGTAGAATTGACTCTTACTTTTTCCATCGACGGTAAATTTCTTCACGAAGTCCAATCATTTCCGTACTCAGGATTTAGTCTGCATAACACCCGTTATTTATTTATTTATTTTTTTTGGCGTTTTTCAGGAGAGCGAGGGCAAGCGAGGAGCGCCAGGGGGGAGGAGGGTGGGGGAGCGCAGAAAAAGTAATTGCGCCTGCCCCTTTCCCGTCGCACGTGTCTGGCGCTCCTCGTCTCGCTTCGGGCCTGAAAACCGTGAAAAAAACAAAACAAACCGCTTAGTATGCGGGCCACTAAGAATCCTACGTGCGTGGGAGGACAACATTGATTACAGATGCGTCATAAAATAAACAGTAAATTACACATGTCTTTGAGCGCATGAAGTCCTTCCAAACAAAAAACGCTAAGGTTACGTTCTGTTTTTTAAAGTGAAAAAGGCTATTCTTCCCCCTTCCGACTATGGTGATCATTATATGGGAGATCGGGGAAACACTATTCTTACGGACGAGCTAAAAATACGACACAACATGACAACACAACACAACACAATACAAAACAACAATATTAATTTCAATCTTTGCATGACTCATTTTAGATCACCCCCGCACTCTTCTGGCTCAAACTCGGACTCTCTTGCATAACAGCGAGGCTCCGCTGGAGGTTCAAAAAATTATAGCTCTGAAGGGGAGTACCGCACCGAGGCCTGATCATCAGTTCTTACCACTTTTAGTTTTTTTTTAAAATCGGTAGTCTTTCGCACTGAACCGGGGGTGGTGCAGAAGAGATAGACGACTTTTCAGACATTTCAGACTATTCACAGAACTGAGGTAAAGGGTCTGTGGCTGTTTAAATGGGACCTAGTATTTTTCACAACCCATGTCTTATTTAACATATTTTTTACACTTTTTACACAGCTATCGGGAAAAAATTGTGTTTCCCGCCCTTATCGTTGCGTTGATAGGCTACTGCCGAGAATTTCCGACTATTATACGAACAGGTGCCGATAACAGCTGGCCGACTGCGAACAGCCCGTAAGTAAACAGACAGCAAACAAGATGGCGGGTTACGGTCCACCGCCAGGACGTTACATAGGCTTTCAGCCTGGAGTTCAACCTATAGGATTTGAAATGCATAATCAAGGTTATCCACCTCCTGATAATTATAACAGTCCTGGTTATCCTCCTCCTCCACCACTAGACATTTATCACCCGACCAGGAATGACAACTTTGCAAGCCCTGCTACCCCAGCCGCACCTTCGTACCACAACCACGGAGGAGAAAATGACGATAATCTACCTCCGGTCGGCTTTGAAGGAATCACAAAACCGAAGGATCAGGATACAGCTACGACTTCAGGAGTAAAACTGCATGAAAGGGATAGTCCTGTACCGCAAACTGAATCATATTCTCCGAAGCACCGCGAATCGCACCAAGTGAATGTCAAACCAGTTTCACCTGAGGTCTGTATTCCCAACAACTTTATTTTATTCTTAAGAGTTGTTTGTTGTACTTATGTAGGTTTAGGGTAGGTGCTCTCTTTAAAAATTCTGCTTTGGCCACAGTTCCCTGACTCGAAAAGTAGTTACGAGGAGGACACGTGAAATATCGCACAGTTGTTATATCAAAGTTTCATCTGTGATCACAATGAACCGCTATAAATATCCGCACGGGATGACTTGTTGAACTTGTGTATTTAATGTTCAGCTGTTTCACTCTTACTCTGTTTACTATTGAACACTGAGCCTCTAAAATGATTTTATAAACCCTTCTTTAATGTAAATTATCAACACACTGTATGGCTGACATTTTCCCCCTTTATGAACATCAAGCTGCATCGTCACTTTGACAACTTTTAAAATACACAACCGTAACGCATGAGTGCCATGATAGAATCCTATCCCAGCTGCCAAGTAAAAGTGAGTAAAATGGTAAAAGAGCAGAATATTGAGGTAGTCTGGCACTCCGGCCTGTAAGCTTTGCTTTGCGGTAACACGTGCAGTTCTGCTAAAGACGTCTTTCTGCTTCTGCGTTTCGTAAATCAGAAAGAAACTGAAAAATATTTGAGATCTAAACTCCTTTTCTTAAGAAATCATCTTTGACAGTAATACGATATTGTATCATAAATTGATCGAGGCTTAAATAGGTTGTAAAATATTCCTCAGGAGGCAACCGTTATTAAGGGGGCAATTTATGCCCCACACCAAAAATGTTATTATTGAGGTATAATAATTACAGGAATATTCACAGTCCTTTTTTGGCAAAGAAAATGATAACTATTTGAAAGCTCCTTTTGTATCTCCAGTAGGTTTTTTAAGTAGATGTTTCTAGCAGATAATCTGCTAGACATATAATCTGAATGGCATATAATTGATTTTTATGTCATTCATACCTTTTTTAGGTTTCATAAATAGGATGTTCATTGCTACAACCAGCTGCAAAAGTTGTGAAGACACTAATTTTGCCAAAATCAACTTTGGAAAAGAAAAGCTTATTAAAAGTAGTAAAAATGGTCACCATTGGCACATAGTTTGATCTTTGTCAAATTTCTCAACTAAGTCTTAAAAGAAAATGTATGAGATCAGTCAGGACAATTTGTATACATGCACTTATACCTGTCGGTACTTGGGGATTAAACGGTTAAACTGTCCTACCATGGTTTATATTCAAATTTTAAAATCTTTTGACAGGTGATGAAAAAAGATTAATATTATCCTGAATAAGTTTGCTGCAATTTTGGTTACTGATGATTTTGATTAATAAATTGCCCTTGACCTGTCATCAATAGCTGCATCTTATCAATAGTAATTTTCTTTGTCAAAAAACACACCTCAAATGACATTTTTAAATTGAGAAAGTATCTTTTGCTGAGAGAAGATCAAAGCAACTTTGGGGGCAGATATTCAGCAGGTGTTTTGTTTTAAATGTCAAAAAGGTAGTTTTAGGATGTTTTACCATGCTGTACATACTGTGTGGTAAAGCCAATCCAGTTATAAAATGGATTGGAGACATGCAGGATCAATTTACTGAAAGGGCTGCTTGTTATTCATGAGATATTTTTCCATCACTGACATTTTAGCCCTGTATGAAATTAATTTTTTTGTAATTGGTTGCTTTTAGTGCAGATTGTTGAATAATTTATTGATCTGTTCAACCATCTGGATATTCACAATAATAGTTTTCCTTTTTTCTTTCTTTCCTAAAAACATTAACTTTTAGTCGCCACCAAACTGCATGTGTTGTAAATCTGCTCCAACAGTGCATGACAGCCTGTATGCATAATCATTCTGGGCAACAAAGTTTTTTTTTCAATTTTTGTGGTGGTTTGAAATAGAAGTCGACAACTATACTTCATGATTGACAAAATAATGAGGAAGAAAAAGACTCTTCATATAGCACGAATTGTAAGATGAAATCCACAAGGAGCACTGTCCTTCTTCTTCTTTTTGAGTGAGGTTAACTTTGGAGATGGAGATATTTTTTCTTCTCTGCAGTATTTTGTTATTATGTTCAAAGTTTTAAATAGAAGTTGAAGAACTTTAATTCATTGTTTTATACAGAGTTTAACACAGGTTAATATCACCTCGTGTTTTTTAATTTTCTGGTATACAGGGTGTATAATATTTTAGGTTTTACATTTTGTAAAGAATCACTAAATCTGTTAAAATACCCAGTTGCAAAAACTATTCCCCTCTGCAACTACATGCGAGTAAAAAAGTTATATGCCTGCATACTGTACATGTGTATGAACTTACTTTACCATATAAACACCAATGAAATACTGGGCGAGCTTTCACGTGTTATTTTCACGTGTTATTTTCACATGTGAAAGTATCACCGTTGCTATGCTCACTTGTGAAATATTCTTCAACACGAGAAGAGAAATTTCGTATCTCCAAGTGGCCATGTAATATCCTCTATGTATCCATTTACATCAATGAATTATTTCAAAATGCACTATATTCATGTACACTGTAATATTAATTTCTGTTTTATTTCAGCTAAGACATGACTCTGAGTCTAACACACTTTTCTTTAAAGATGGCAAAAGAAGAATTGGTTAGTGGTCCATCTACTTTATTTTACTTTATTCTTGTTTGCAAACATGCACCTGCACTATTGTCTATACATGTAGCCAAGGGTTTCAATGCAAATTGAAGTAGCTAGCAGGTTTGAATAGATTATCCGACAGCTTAACAAGAGGCGTGGCCTCCTCTTCTAAGGGGTTTAGGTGCTCTCTCAGTAAATTTTTATTTGTCACTATCTGTTGCAAAGTCATTTTCTTGCCGTTACCATATGACTATAATATCCAAAAATGATTTTGGAGCAGTTTAGGTGTACGACCATGTCAATCCAATCAGTTGCAATGTATTTCCGATCAGAATGGATACTAAAAACACAGTAAGGCTCAATTGTTTTATAAAATTGGGGTAGAAAGTACGTTCAAGTCCATCAAATTGAATTTTGTGTAAAGTTTTGACAAAGTCAAAGAACAACATCCGAAAACAACGACAAGTAGCCATTAACTTCTCTGAGCAAAGTAGCCAGACTTCTACTGGCTGTTGGCATGACATTGTCAAGAGGTTGACGTGTATTAAAGTCTTTCTTTTTTTACAGATTACATCCTAGCTTATGAAGTTGACAATGACAAAGATGCGGAGTGGCAACAAAAAAGAGAAGAAAAACGAAGGGAGTTTGAAGCAAACCTGGAAAAAGCTAATCTTGAACTTGAAGCTGAAGGGATTGAGGTACGTGTACATGTAACTTGTACATTGTACAATAATCCGTATATACTGTAAATTTGCTGGTCACATGTTCAGATTGTTTTCATGAAAACCTAAAGGAATTCAGAACACATTCATGAAATCATTACAGTTGAACCTCCATGAGCTACCACCTCTTGTAAGCGACCACTTTCCAATGATAAATGACCTCCAATCCAAAACACGAAAATTTTCCCAGACAAAGCCTTACAGTTGGAATCTCTAGTAAAGGACCCCCTTCTGTAAGCGACCACAACCACTTTTTGAGCCTGATGGTTAATGATTTTCCATTGTTTTTACCTCTTGTAAGCGACCACTTGACACATTCTCTGATCTCTACACATGTATGTTCGCTGTGTGCACTATGCTACTTGGAATAATTATATGAAGAACTTAAGTGACAACATGGAACTACACATGTCGTAACTTAGACATTGCATGTAATAAATTATCTTCCATAAAGTAGGTGTGCCTGGACCTCTTCCCAGAAAAGGTGCCTTGTGGTTTGATTCTTGTAAACAACCACCTCCCGCAAGCAGCCAATGAGTCTTTGCATTTTGGGTGGTCGCTTATGGGAAGTTTGACTGTATTGAATTTTTTTTCATGTGGGATTTTTTAAAACTTCAAGTTTTGTTGTGTGGCAATACTACATTTTGGAAATGTGTTACATGTGCATTAGGTGCTCTATGTGTGTGCCTTCTTGTAGGGAAACCGGAGTAATCCTGGCCACCATAATTATTGCTTATAAATTTATTCCAATGCAAAAACTGTGTCTCTTTGACTTATCTTGGTCATGTTGGAAGGAATTTGCATAAGAGTGAAGACAGTTTAACTCAATTCAGTTTCAAAATACAATCACTTCAAGGGCATTGAAACTGGACAGTTGTCATTGATGTCTTGAAACCTATTTTTGTCCTTATTTTTGAGTTGGCTATTTTGTCATTATAATACATAATGTAGCATGTGAAGTCATTCTACCATTTTCTTCAGCTCTACAGTGAAAAAACAGCTGAGCTACTTTGCAGCTTCATTGCGGCATGACATTAGTGCCCCTTTTCTGACAGTACCAATATGATTGATGTCAATGATATTTTAGATATTGGGAAGCATCTACTTTATTTGTTTAACACTTGCTACATGTAGTTATGAAGAATAAGCCATGAAATTAGCCAATTGGGAGCAGGGAAATATTTGAATGAATGAATGATAATACTGTATACAGTTGATATTACTGCTGCTGCTTGAAATATTTGTTTTAGACTTCTAGCAATGGAAAGACAGCTTACATCAAGGTCCATGCTCCTTGGAAAGTCCTCATAAAAGGTGCCGAGGAAATGTTAATGAAGATGCCTATTAAGGTATTAATAATGACATGAAAACAGTCTTTAATTTGCTCTCCCCTGTTAGTGTCCAGCTCTGTTCTCTAGATGCATAGTTACAAGTAGTACAAATTATGTACATGTACATAATTTGTACTACTTGTCACTATTTTCAAATCCAAACAAAAAAAAAACAACCCCTTTCTTATGAAAAATTGTCACAAAATTAATATGCTTTTTAAACTTTTAAATTATTGTTCAGTCCACTTTTTCTTTCATTTATTTTACCTGTAATTAAAGTTAAGTTTAGCTGACAATTTATGGCTGTATTTTTTCCTGCAGGAGAATGACTTGGATACAAGAGATTGGACTGAACGATGCTTTGATACCATTGGTATTCGTAATCCATTTGAACTCAGAGTTGGTGAGCTTCCAGACGAACCAAACTATTTCACCTGTGCCTTTAGAAGAGACAAGATGGATAAGTAAGAGATTGCCATGAAACAATCGTGAATTCATATATCTTAAAGAAGGGGTAGAAATGCTTGTCATTTTGTTCAGGGATTTGATTTGCAGATTATTTTTGATATCACCTAGGCTGTTCAGGACAGAGTCCTTATACAGTGTATTTTCATAGCCATTAGATGGCTTATTGTTTTGGAAATGATATCTTTTAAAGTGATGGTGTAGCTAATTGGTGTTCTTCAGGGGCTTAACAATCCCCATTTTCTGATAAGCATTCTATTTCCCTTAATAAAATTCAAGTCATACCCACATGTACCTATAACAATAGGCTTTTATGTTAGAATATGCTTTGTTTTTTGTGGCGTTAACTTAAGAGGGTAGCACTTGCATAGCGAATAAGCTCATGTCATGGTTTGTTTGAGTGACATTGAACAGGACTGGTGGTTTCATGTGTGTGACTTTGCTGCACTAAACACTACCTCGAGGGCTGGCTTTAATACTAGACAAGTGTACTTACAATGATCCTGTGACTTGTTTCAATTCATTGAACAATTGACTTGTACTGTAGTCTATGAGAAAGAATTTTTACCTTAGTTAATATTTTGTCAGGGAAATTTGCTTTGAGCTACATTGTATGTCTGGTGGTGCATTTTGTGCAAACACTCCTGACGTGTTTTTCACTGTAGTCGCCAGACTTGAATTTATTAAGTGAGTACAGTTTTAAATGAACAAAGGTAACCTTGCAATTCTTTCTGTGTTTTATTGCCAGATTTTTAATCCCAGACAACCGTGATGATTTCTTTACAAGCGCTCAAAGGAGCAAAATAGTAAGTTTTATTTTCCAATGTAGTTTGAGGTCTTGATAAACAACCCCTGTTGCCTTTTCCATGTAGATGTCAGTCTAATAGTTAAATTCATTTTTTTACTTTCTTCCATTTTGTGTCAATGAGGCCCTGTACTACATGTATGTAACCGTAACATTCTAAAAAGCAACATGGCCTTGAAACAGCAACACAAGACAGATGATGTGGTGACAAAACAACATGGAGATTGGTTGAAACTGTGACAGGGACTTGAAAATCACAAATCATACAGTAATAAAATTTGCCGACAGGAACATGGCCCCCTCTGTCCCACAATACTCAGAACAACAGGCTTTGAAATGAGGACAAAGGGACATACATGCACATGACCCCTTATAAAGAAGGCCTCACAACTTCAATGTACATTGAATCATACTAAGCATTTAACACAAATATGCCAACGTTTCATTTTAGGTTCATCGAATTTTGAATAAAACTCAGTATGGAGAAAGAAGAAACCAGATTGGTATGTCTCATACATCTGTGTAACTAATATAAAAGAAAGTAAAGCTCCTATTAAATAGTTTACTTGAAACTGCATATCTTTTGTTCTCTGTAATACAACCATGTTCATTGTACTGTACATAAGAATGTACTAGTGCTCCAATTAACAGCTCATTGTGAGCTGCAATATCTTTTGTTTGACATTTGTTTGTTTGTTTGTAATTTTGTTACAAAAAACTTAAACTTTTTCTAAACTAGGTATTGGTCGTTTGATTGGTAATGGATCATATAGTGCGGCTTACCCCCTACATGAGGTTGGTATCTAATATTGCTTGGCCCAGTTGTTCAAAGGTCGATTAGTGCTAATCTGAGGTTAAATTTGATCCGGGTTTCTTTTTCTTTTATTCAAAAGCATTTTCTGGGATAACTTATTGTCTCTATTCTTTTAAGATCATCCAATCATCATATTGTAAAATACAAATAAAAATTTACTGTCCCTTTGCTTCTAGAGCCATTTGGAAGCCATTTTATTGATGGTAAAGATTTTGAGTTGTACTAACAATAACAGTCTGCAAATAAGGAAAATTTTAGAAAAAATTTACTGTCCCTTTGCTTCTAGAGTCATTTGGAAGCCATTTTGTCGATGTTAAAGATTTTGAGTTGTACTAACAATAAGATACAAGGGAAGGCTGGCGAGTCTGAAGCTGACCATCCCAGCTCAATAACTTGCCCTTCCCAGGTTTCATCACAACTGCTCACCAAGCGCTTCATTTAAAACTTTTTCCAACAGATTTTTCTTTCTCGTGATTCGTATGATTGGGCAACTGGACATGACCTAATCATATGTCAAGGCGACAGTTTGCTTCCGTCGGGGAGCGGGCACGGTGTATTGCGAGTAGCACAGTGGGATGGTCCCTTGGTCCATTTGACCATGATCACAACAAAGTGTGTCAGAAAATCGAGCACCCGGCTGTTTACACAACTCAACTCAAATTGCAGACATCGATCGATAGATCCCCTGTGCTATGATGCTTTACATGTAGCTTATTAATTTTTTTGTATGTTGCCTTATATGTAGGAATTTTTAGATTGATTAATTTGTCTAAACTGTCTTTCAGGGTACTTACGAATTGGATATGTCATTTGATCCTCCAAAGCCTCAAAATCATAGACAGGTATTTCTAATAGACTACCGCAAATAATACCATAATAATCTCAAGTTACAATTTTCAGAATATTGTGGTATTTTTTGCAGCAGCCTTTATATTATAACTTTGTGTCTTGGTTTCCCGAAACCTGCTATCAGGGGCCTTTTGTTTTGAAGACAGGAAGTAAATAAGTTAGTGCCTGATACATTATTCTCACAAACTGCCAAAGGCGTGAGGTTCAGTTTTGTTGACTTGTTACAGTATGAGCTGTGAACCTTATTGGACAACAATTGTGAACCAGATTTCTTTGCAATATGTCATATGCATGTGTTACCAAATAGTTTTTTTTTACTTGGGGAAAGCAAACTACATTGTACAACTGTACAGTCTGTGCCTATATTGTTAGATGCCAGTTTGAGAATTACACTCAAATACTTTTGACATAATCTGAACCTTGAGAAACCGCCAAAATGTGTTCACACAAACTAATATTAAAGCATCAATAGCATTCTGCTCATTATTGACTACAACTGAAAGTTATAATGGAACTGTATCATAATAGTGTATTGGTTCTGAACCAATAAAAAAGAACTCCAGTCTTAGGTTGGGAACAAGCTTTCTATGGAGTAGGGATGTTTTGTGGGAGAGACATCTGCCAGAATGACATAATGCTATTCTGATGACGTTAGATCTGTCCAGAATCTGGTCAGAAGGATCTGATTGGTCAACCTAGTAACAATTATTCTTTTAAGCAATTTTTAGTAAATGGCAGAAAAGGGACAAATGATGTATTGTAATGAATCTAGTACAAAACAGACATTATTCGTGAAATGAGTCTTCTTCAGAAACGCTGCTATTCATTTGCAGAAGGGTATTTCTACTGTCATTCCGGTGAACACATGTCTTCCATGAAACATCCCTAGCAGTGAGGAGCAAGGAGAGAGGGCTCTATAGAGAGGAGAAGTCGTTCCATCACGTTGCCATGGTAGCAAAATTTTTGGATGACAACAAACCGATAAAGTCACTTAAAAGTCTATTCATACTAATTCAAACTTCACCGATCTTATTCAGTTTCATTTAATTTGGCAAATCTTGGCGAAATTTTCTTTGGGACCATATCTATCGTTAACTAAGTTTAGAAAAAGAAAGTGACAATTTTTGTGTTGTGTTCACCTACTCCATAAAGCGGGCTCGTGAAATTAGGAAGTTTCATGTCGTAGTGGTGCAAACACAGCAAAAAAAATGTAGTAAATAGCATGGTGCACGTGCAAAGTTGTTGTTTGTTAAAATAAACATATTATTTTTTGCCGTTCTCTTTGCTGTTCTCCTTGCCGTCGCCATCGTTGTTGGTTTTGTTGCCATCCAGAAATAGTGCCACCATGGTAATGTGACGTCACACTTCTCCTCTCTATTGGCAGACTAGTTGCAACTTTTGTTAAATATGATCTATAAACGTGTCTCTCCTTCCATTAAGAAACACAATTTTGATCTTGGTTATCAGTTAAGTTTTGATTTTCAAGTTAATGAGTGGACTTTAATAGGCTCTAACAATCAGGTTTAATTTTAGCACTATTTGCATCATCTCCACCACATGTCAAACGATGCATGCATCATCTTGTGAATGATGACCTAAACTTTTAATAATTATTATATATTTTTGTTAGTTATTGTATCATACATGGGTGAAAGCAAGTCGCTGGTACAAAATGCAGCCACTGGATAACATCAGGTAATACGCAACTTTATCTCTGAAACGTCTCTATTGACCTATGTATGCACTTCATTTGTACTTGTTTGCTTCGTATCTGTGCCTAACAATAACAGAGCTTAAGACGACCAACTGAGAGCAAGAGTAAAGATTGAAAATCTTCAAAAATTATCCTGTCGTGATTATTTTTTATGATAGTGATTTTGACAGTGATGAAGAAATTTCCATATTCTATAAGTGAAGTGCTTATTATGTTCATGTTCCTTTGTATCCACTGTTTTTCAGGGATTACTTTGGAGAAAAGATTGGAATTTATTTTGCTTGGCTTGGTAAGTCCATTTGCTGTCAAATGGAAAAGCATGTTCATTTAACTTTATACTTTATGGCTGAAGATTTTTGGCGATAAGTGTGTCACATTCCAATTTTATATTTACAGGATTCTACACAGCTATGCTGGTGCCAGCAGCCATCATGGGTATTATTTGTGTCATATATGGACTTGTCAAGCTGGGTTCTTATATCCCTGTGTAAGTGATCCATGTGGACTGTGAAGGGTAGAAATTTCCAGTGATTTTGCGTCCTACGTCCCTTACACATAAAAATCCCCAAAGATGCAAAATAATTCAATGCATGCGTCCCGTACAACATAAAGAAAAATTGATTGATCTGAAAATGTTTTTGTAGAAAATCTTGTTCGTGTGACATCTGTGGCTGTTAATGTGGTTGTTGTTTAATGATCCATATTTATTTTAGTCCCCTCATTTTTGTTGTTTAAATAGAAGAACTGTATTTTAATTTCAGTAAATTGTGATTAAGAGTTTTGGAGTCTGTCTTCAGATTCAGTAACTGCCTGTTTACGTAGAACTCCTTATTTTTTGAACTGGGACTCAATGGTTCTGGACTGGGACTCACGATTTTTCACAATATCAGTCCCAGATAGACTATTCACAGTCTCCTATTTTTCCGTAAGACCGTCAAGATCGAGTGCTTTGCGTTACTGGCGGCCATCTTGGTTTCATATGTCCCGAGGGGGCGGGCGTCAGAGTTTGTAGGGGGTAGGTGTGGTATAGATGTAGGGTAAGCATTACAGGGCCTCAGCGACAGCACACCTGTACATCCCCACCCCAAAATTCCTTCGGTACCCCACCGGGTCTTAAACCCATGTTATTAAAAACACTAGGTATAACTAAGAATATGAGTATGGAAGTTTTGATTATCTTGGGAAAAAATCTCGACAATTCTCACAAGAAAGAGTACTGCATACAGTTTATAGTGGGTAGTTTTGATGCAGTTTAATCTGGTATAGGGTATAGAAATAGAGAGTTGTTTGGGTCTAGAATAGGTTATCATTTTCTTGGAAGCCAATAGGGATAGGGCATTGAAATCAGAGACAAAGCCTTGCTTCATTATGAGCTTTTTATTCGTGTTGCTAACTTTTTAAGTGGGGTGCCTTTTTTTCATCATCAAGTAAACACGTTTTTCACAAATTAGAAAACAGGGAAAAAGGCAAAAACCACAAACATCAAAAAAGGGTTACTTATTGCAGCCAGAGATTTCATGAATGATACTGCGAATACTTAGCAATTTACTTCCTTTAGGAATGACATTTGTGACGAGAATAAGAAAAAAGATTATCCAATGTGCCCTCGCTGTGATAAAGGCTGCCCTTACTGGCCTTTATATGATACTTGCATTTATTCCAAGGTAGGTCTGAGTCATGCAGTCATTAATCTTAGTGTTGTGAAGTACAAATAACTCGTTAACAAGTTAGCTCAGGAATTCAGTCCTGGTTGTCGTTGTTACACTTCTAGCAAAACATCAGTGATGAGTCACACGAACACTTTGCTCTTTCTTCTTCGTCGTAGTTAATCTCTTCGTAATTTTTACGGGCGTACGCACATAAATTTTACGCGCTTAAATTACTGTAATGGGGGCGATGTATGGAATGTCGCGCGTGAATATAAAAGTTAAACCTCGCTGACGCTCAACTATTACTTTTACGCCCTGCCTTTTTTTTATACTTTGGCTCTATTTTATAAACGCAACAGTGGAAACCCACCCTTTTTCTCTCACCCCTTCTCTTTCTTTGACGTGTCCTCTGAATGATGTTTTTCGGCATGTAAGCATTATGGCAAGTTACAGTATCTTGTCGTAACAGTTTACGAATAATTTTAACTGTTTACATGAGCTTATATTAATCGATGCTATTCAGAGCTCACTTTGAACCACATACAGCTATGAATGTATTTTTATATTACTGTTTCAGGTGGCGTACGTATTTGATAATGAATTTACTGTGGTTTTTGCCATTTTCATGTCACTCTGGGGTAAGTTTGGCACTTGCTCGCGTCCTGTAATGGCTGCCAGGTCTTTCTGCGAGTCTTAAGCCTGGTCAGTGACAGTCTATTAAATTAAATACACTGTACATGCAAATCAAAGTCAGTAAGCGCCTTTTTTCATTGAGCGCTTTCTATCATTCTTTTTTTGTATGGTGACAGTCGAGGATTTTCTGTGGTTGTTCTGTATTTTCTTTATTTGTCATGCGTTTTATACATGAGCCTCCCGCTCGGATACTTGGGGCAACCCTATCCCACGCTATGACACTAAAAAATTGATTAATCAATTGATTGAGTAACGTCCTAACTTTCCAACATATAAACTTGCCAAAGAAGTTCTTAAGTCAACTCAATCCAGCCCAGTTACGCGATTGAATTCAGATTGATTAGATTTAGTTCAGGCAATAGTGTAACGTTAGATTTGGCTGGATTAGTAACTGGAGCATCCCTACAGTCGTCACTGGGCTTCAGCAAGTTCAAGTGTTCGAGTTGCAACTTTGTTTGTGTGTTATATTTTCCATAAATTTGAACGATGATCTTTTCCACAGCGACCATGTTTCTGGAATTCTGGAAGAGACGGCAAGCAGAGATTGCATATGAATGGGATCTGTTGGGGTTCGAGGATGAAGAGGTGTGTAGCTAGTGAAACGATATCAAACTATGTTCACACTATCGATACCCAGGGCTCGTACAGTGTCTTGAATTGTTGAAAAAGTCTTGAAATTTGCCCAGCAATTTTCCAGACATGGAAAATAGAGGGAAAGTCTTGAAAAAAATATAATGGTAAAAGTCAGTACTTCACAAGTGAAATTTTTTTAGTGTTTGTCAAATCTTATTCAATCTCGTCTGCATGTCATGGAAAAAGCTTTTTTCTTGCGTTTTTTGTAAGGTCTCTGTTGATAACCTATTTGATAAACTCATGTTTTTTGTAAAAAAGTCTGGATGAAGTCTTGAGTTTTGGATCGAAATCTGTACGAACCCTGTATGCCGGATACCGACACGAAAAGGTATCTGGTTCCGTTTCTAGGGATCGGCGCGGCGCGGGGCAGCTTTGCTTCGTTACAGAAATCGTCCCGAAATCACCGTTCTTATCTGTGAACAGAAGCCCCTATCCGATAGACTATGGTTTTGGTGCCGGCGCAAAAGCTACCTGTTATATTGAAAACATAGCATAAAACAACTGATTGTCGCGTTTATCACAAAGATTTGTTGCTCGATCTCTTTTGAAACTTCTGTAGCATTGGCTAACAGTGAAACCAACTTCAAAAGTTGTAGATGTTAATGCCATTTCAATTATTTGAAACAAAAGACTGGTCACATATACTTTTATATTTTCATTAATTTGGACTCACGCATTGTCACATGGTTTTTGCTCTACTCAGGAACAACCTCGTCCTGAATACGAGGCAATAGCCACAGATACACGCTTGAATCCCATCACCAAGATAGAGGAACCATTCATTTCAGTTGGCAGAAAAGTACCAAGATTTGTGTGTAGCTTTGGCTTCATCCTTTTCATGGTAAGGTTGTGGTAAGGATTACAAACAGAACGCAATTTACGGGACACCCACTTCGTCGGAACCTATCCAGGTTTTCTTTATCACTAAGGCAAGCGAATCTTGATAAACTGTATTTTGCTTGTGTTATATTGTGGGATTAGACCTATTACATCCTTTATAGCTGCAAAAAGTCTTTGGCGATCGCTCAGTGTCCTACTAAATTTAGCCTATCTTCGGCAAAATCTTAACAATGGTGAGATGATTTTCTCACTGTAAATCGGTGAGATCTGTTTTAGCCCTAAAAATGGCGCTATTTCGATGAGTAAAATACAGTCCTATTTTTGGGTCTGATTTGGCTCCCTTTATCAGGGCCAATACAGTCCAGTGACTTAGGGCTGATTTGGACTCAAGGGCTGATGAGTCCCAGCTTACGCTGGAACAGCCTTTTAAGGGCCGGCTCTTTTGGCTTAAACTGTGCTCATCTGGCTCCAGGAGAGGCAGAATCAGACTTCAGTACCCGCAAAGTTGATAACAAAGCCTCTCGTTTAGCAAATGAATAAAATTTACCTTGAGTACATGCAAATTGTATAACCAACGAAATAAGATCATTGCAGCCAATGTGGGTGATGAATGATCAGTCTACCAGTGAATTCCGGGTCTACCATTCTATTGCATCCTTCATTGAGTTCCACCACAATCCAATGTCCTTTCGAGAGCGAAAAAATAATTTAACAGTTCTAGCTTTTTCATTATGAAGCTTAAGCAACGACGACAGTAGTGAAAACGTCGCTTAAAAAAATGAATTTGTGTCCTTTTAAACTTATCCTGTCTACTTGGACCCGCTCAATTTGTCAGATGTAGACGATTTCTCCCAATTCCGAATTATTATGGGCCTTTATCCAGTTTTAAAAAAAATTCGTCGTCGTATATTCATGTCCTCCATAAAACGTCGCATTAAGAGGTTTCATGTCGTAGTCGTGCAGTGGACGTCAAAGAAATGTACTAAAAAGCATGATGCACTTGCAGAGCTGTTGTTTTGCTTGTAAAATCAATTGTTTTTGGACGTTGTCGTTGTTGTCGTTGTCATGGTTGTTTAAGTTCCCTAATATCTCAATGTAGAAGGACAAATCAAACAGCGAATGGAAGGCGTGAGCAGGGAGTACGAAAGTTTCCTCTTCGCGCATGCTCATCACTCGACCTCACATCCTGCTTCCTACTCTCGTTAATCGCTCTTCATGTATCTATTTTACAACCGGCTTTAAACTTAGTGTTGGTCACTTGGAGGCTGGAAGAGTATCATCGGTTACGTCTAAGCGTGGACACGAGACAATAAAAAAAAAATATGTTGTAATAGGGTTCCAGGCATGACGTGTTTTGCCGCCAAACATTTAAAGTTTGACAAACTTCGAATATTTGTCGGCAAAACATGTCATGTTTGCACCCAATTAGAATATGTTTTTTTGTCACGTGTACACGCTTAGATGCAACCGATGGTAAATGTTGAATGTCATATACCGTAATTCTGTTTCAGCTGCTGCTTGTTCTTGCGGCGGTGTTTGCCGTTGTTGTATACCGTGCTGCCGTTTACGCTGTATTAGCTGCTCAACATGACTATAACATGGGTCTTGTTAGCGTCGCTACGTCTGGCACCGCTGCTCTTCTCAACCTCATCATTATTATGCTTCTTAATAAGGTAACAATAGTTCAACCTACCTTACACCTACTCTCGTTAACGATCGACTTGGAAAAAAAATCCTAGTGACCCTCAAATTTAGCGATATAACATACATTCTGACCTTTAAATAACCTAAATGTAGTTTTCACCATTTCACGAACTGAATCTATGGGGAATTTATTCAAAAAATAGTCGTGACAATAATAGACCCTAACACTGAAGATTGTTAATGCATGGCAACCTTTAACTCACTTGTGTTGTCATATAAGCAAAATCTTGCAAACATCTGAAACTTAAGTTTGAGGTAAACAAAAAATAAACTGCAATGCAGTGCTGTCACAACGTATATATCGACATAAGTGGGCTTGGCCACCCAACATTGAAAGGTGAATCCTCTTCCTTTTTATCTTCTTGAATTTTTTTTTTTTTCGCTGTAGCGAGGGTGTATCCCAATAAATCGGCATAGTTTTGCTCCTCAAATGTGTGCCTAACTCTTGAGTTTCTTTTCTTTTTTTCTCCTTTTTTTTGAAGGCAGTTTAGTGAAAACCAAATCGCTGACTAAAAACAGCTTTGTTTAATTGCAGTTTTATGAGAAACTAGCTGAAACTCTAACAAGATGGGGTAGGTATTTGTAAAATGTTTTGCAGTAGATGGTGTACTGACTTACTCTGCAATGATAAATTACTGAATCGCCACAAACCATATTTACCTTGAAACTCAAGGCTCTTTGCCCGTTGAGAGTTTCTTGGTATTTTCGACAAAATAAGTTGCCATGTGATCCGTAAATATATCATGAAAAACGCCTCGACTTGTTAATCACTTTCTGGGGACTGTTTAGACTCGCTCTTGTTGTCTGTTCGTGCTCGTGTTACTTATGTATGGTTACCGCCTCCCAGATATCCTGTGCCTGCCCGGCGCTGAAGCAATAGTCCACCATGTAAGAAAAAGGAATTGTAACCCCTGGGGTTATAAATGGTAGTGGTGGGCGGGGAGGGGGCAAGGGGATGTTATTTGGGAAAAAATTGAACCATACATTAAAGTTTGATAAATGGGGCTTTAACTTCCCTCCAGAGACTCTTAATGCAGAGATCCTCGGATTCAGTGTACCCTCCTTTATTATATGCAAAACGAACCTGTATTAAGCTAAGACAATGTAGAGACTTCGCGTAATACAAGTTTATCGCCATAGAAACGCATGTTTGAGAGTAGTTTTCTTATTATTCTAAACAGAGATGCCTCGTACTCAAACTCAGATGGAAGACATCTTTTCGTTCAAGATGTATCTCTTCCAGTTCGTAAATTATTACTCGTCGTTGTTTTACATTGCCTTTTTCAAGCTCAGGTAAGCGAATCCTTATCTTCTCGACAATCCGTTTCCAACTTATGTACACCCAAATAACAGACAGTTGTTTTAGTCTCTCATAACTCGTGTGCGGTGACAAAGAATAGTAAAATGTACTATCGTACAATTAACGATTAATGTTTTGTTTTCAGCCCTGGTAGACCCGCAGGCTACAACAGAATTTTTGGGAGATACAGACAGGAAGAGGTAAGAACTTCCCACATGCATCTCTTGTGTAATACAAAACAATCACGTGCAAGCTTTCACTTCTTGATGTAGCTCCCATTCTTGAAGTGGCTAAACTCACCAGTCGACAAAAATTCCCAATTTCTTGGTGTAAACTGCTGAAAAACAAATGTTACTATGTGAAAGTACCGCCGAATAGGTTCCCTTTGAATGGTCACACCACAAGATATCGTTTACAGGCTCAAAAATTAGAACAACCCATCAAGACTCCATCAGTCTCAGTCAGAGGTTGCAATTAAATAAGAAGGGTGAAATGAATCCAGGGATACAAGAACGTCATTGATAAGTTGTAAGTCAGCTGTCGGACATTTTAATACAACCGTGATGTGATGTCCCTCACTTCTGAAAAGAATTGTTCTCTATGAAAAGCCGTGCGAGTGATTAAACACCGGGCTCGAATGAACCAAATAAACGGGTTCAAACGAACGCAAGGGCGAATCTGCTATGGTGGCGCGTATGAAGATTCCTTAAAATTACTTCAGTTTTATAGTGTACGCATTACCTTAGTAGCCTGTCCACAGGCGTTTTTCTTTCTTTCTTTTATTTTCGACAGTTCGACTGCGCTCACGATCGATAAATCTCCCGCGTGCTCAAAGATCTCGTTAGAGAAAATAAGAGGATCTCTCTATTGCCGTAGCGTCTTCGTGAATCCGTTTTGAAGTTTCTTTTGTGTTCTTTTCTTTAAGTGTAACCCGGCTGGGTGTTTGTTTGAGTTACTAATGCAACTGTCAGTCATCATGGTTGGAAAGCAGATCTTTAACAACACCATTGAAATCATCTTACCGTAAGTACCTATCTAACAGAAACTTTAACGTGCCAATCACACTACCAGTCATATCTTGGTTCTTTTTTTTTTTTCAACTTTTAACACTTCTCTTGCCATGCGCATAATAAGGACAGCATCTGGGCAAAATATCGGAAAACGAGTATCTGCTCAGCCGTTTTCATTCGAATGATAAATTTTTGGTTTGCTTGTCCACGGAGTGCGTGATAAATGTGGTGTATTAGTAATTGGAGCATTCCCCATAATCTGTCTAAACCAAGCAAAGCAGGTACAGCAATAAGGATGTAAAGGAAGATGAGGTGTGAATCATCTTTGGGATTTATTTTTTACAGAAAGTTGCAGAACTGGTGGAGGAGACGACAAAACATTGAAGTACCTGACCTTTCAGGGTACACTCGCTGGGAATTGGACTACGACTTGACGCAGTACCCTGTTCATGGACTGTTTTACGAATACTTGGAAATGGGTCAGAATATGCTCTTGTAGTAACTTACAAAATACCCCACTTGAAAAACTCTGGGAAGAATGGGTACAAACTTTGGGCGCAGTGACTTGTGGGATCGTTTGGTGCGGACAAGCGCTAGTTATGATTGGCCGATGCTATTCAAGGGAACATTAACCAATCATAGGTAACACTTGTCCACCCAAACGATCCCAGGGATCGTTAATGTAATGGAGAATACCCCTGAAAGACTGTGTCCTGCAATAATTAGTTGCGCCATTTAAAGCTATCATCAGTTGCCATCAACCTAAAGCTTTCATCTTCTACTTTCAAAGTATCACAGCGCGTTACTGGGACTTTCAGTCCATTTTCAGATTGATATTTTCTCGAATTTCACTGCATTCGCAAACGTGCGCAAGGGGTTTCTTTGTAGTTACCTACATTCTGCAGACTAGTTCATCTCTATTTGATCTCGCTTAATACTCTGATGGGGTCTCTGATTAGCTGAGTGATGAATCTTAAAGTAGCCTGAAAATCTATCCCGCTGAGATCCATAGTCAATTGCGTAAGAACTATGGTCAAACTTGATTCTGGCGTTGAAGGAAAGATTGTGACTAGACAGTGTGTGTTAACTTTGATGTTCTACGTCCAAATATATGCAGCTGGCCCAAGGTCTGAAATGTCCAAGACTCACACCCACGCTCACTAACCCGCTTTTCTCTTGTGACCCTGCAGGAGTGTACAAAATCAGTTGTGTTTTTACTTAAAACTGGTGACTCACAGAAGCGTGATTGTTGATCTAATTAATTTAATTCTCTTTCAGTGATCCAGTATGGTTTTGTTACCCTTTTTGTGGCGGCTTTCCCTCTGGGTCCTTTTTTCGCGCTCATTAACAACTTGCTGGAAATCCGTCTTGATGCTTACAAATTCATTGTGGTATTTCAGCGACCAATGGCCGCTCGAGCTCAGGATATCGGTAAATAATAACTTGCGTCTTAAAGCAAATTTCTTAGTGTTTATATGAACTAACATGCTTTACTTTATTTTCGTCAAGGAATCTGGTACAACATTCTCAAAGGCGTCACCAAAATCTCTGTTGTCGTTAACGTAAGTTAATTTGTCTCATCACTTACTGATTTGCTGTAAGGGATTGCCGGTAATTTTATAAGCTCACTTGAAGAAAATTTGTATTACAGAAGCAGTGATAAACGTAGCGTAACAGCTTCCACAATTTTAAGGTTGATAATTTATTCCAAGACTTGTCGATTGTTTTGTTGCTTGACACTAAAGCTTTGGAGAGGGTGAAGGCTCGGGAATGAAAAGAAAGATTCTTAGATACTTCTTCATACAAGTCCCCACCTGCACTCTTGTATTGACTCCCATATCTTTTTGTTTAGGGATTCGTGATTGCGTTTGTGTCCGAATTCGTCCCCAGACTGTACTACACGTTGGGTAAAGGCAATGATAGCTTGGAAGGATTCGTTAACAACACTTTGTCTTGTTTTGTGGTAACTGAATTTTCTGCTGATGAGAGACCAAGTGGAACAGACGCGGATGTGCTTTGGAAAGACTTCAATAACAACAGCTGTGGATTTAAGCAGCCCACTTGCAGGTAATGTATATCCAACGCACATTAAGTCACGTTAGACTGAAGCGTGCGGCACGCTGTACGTTAAGCCACTGACGGGCGTATTTTCTCGTCCACGCGGAAACATTTTTATACAAGGGAATTTTTGCCGTGGGGGTTTTCCCGTACAAAAATGACGGGGCACTCGTTTTGTGGGCGAATTGACCAGTGAATGTGTGACTCTTCCCCCGACAAAGGAGTGCAACGCAGATCGGCTGAGATGCGTCCCGTGTTGGTCTCTTGAGGTCTCTATTTCCTTGATAAATTCCATCGACACATCTTGGTCCGATGGACCCGGTCTTTCTCTTCAGCGTGATCTACTCTATACCTCTAGAAGTATTTTCGTCGTATGCGAGGTTGGAATACCCTTCGTAGACAGAAATTTGGGATGCGCGATTAGAGATGCCCAGAGCTGCAAATAACCGTTGGTCATCGGACAATGTCCAACTAAAATTGTCTTTTTTTCTGACAAAATCCTACTTCTTGTGGTCAGACATTATGAATGGAGAGATCAAATACTAAAGTGAAAGGTGTAAAAATTAGTATAATTTGCGTCCTACAAAACCTTCCTGGTTTTTCCGTAATGTTGTCGGACATAATGGTTTGCGAATAGGCCTTGTTTTGTGTGAAGGGCCAAGTCCTGTTCGTATATTATCTTAACTTCTTAACTTAAGGCGCTTATTTTATACATTTCAGATTCCGTGGTTATTACGAGCCTCCTTTTATAACGATATCCAACCAAAGCTTTCCAAATCCTGACAGATATCAGTTTTCCACAGCCTACTGGCACATTCTGGCAGCTAAACTCTTCTTTGTGGTTGCTTTCCTGGTAAGAACACTGTACTTATTTTGCATGTCTTTCCTCGTTTGCATCATTGGGTTGTTGTTGTTGATGATGTCGTTTTTTTTAAAGTTTATCAAAACGGTGCTATACATATACAGTCAAATTTCTCTTAAAGGACACCTTGCTATTATAGACGGTCTCCCAATAAGGCGGACATTTCTCGAAGACGGACGCATAGCACATAACATATCATAAAATTTATTGTACTTCGAATTTACATAGTAGCTCTATTGTGTCCGTCTTAAGGTTGATTTCCACTGACGCGTTTTTGGCTACGTACGTTAACGCACGTAAATTGTAATCACGTAAATAAAACAGAGGCAAGATATAAAGTGTTGAGATTAAACGTGAAGTTGAGCGTGGTGCTACTTTTACGCTTACGTGCTACCTTTCATACACTGCTTCTATTTTATTTGAGAACGTAAATTTTACGCACGTACGCACGTAAAAATTACGCGACAGTGGACATCATCCCTTAGAGAGAGTTGATTGTAGTTACATGTGAATGCCTTTCATCTCGACGCAATTTTTTTTTTCCTGGAAAGAGCATAAGATACATAGTGAACTGAAAGTAGACAAAAACAAACACAGAATTTAATTTATTCAGGTGTTAATTTAAGCTAGTTAAGAACTTGCCTGGGTCTTGGGGGTTGTGATGTGGGGTTGACTGTGGCACCTACGGCAAACGCTAAGACAGGGCTAACGCGCGAGGCTCAAGGAGCACGAGAGAGCCTGTCTCCCTTTTCGCCCATATCTCTCCCAAGCGCCTGTCATGGTGTCTAAAATACTCGCTTAGCAGACTTCTCACTAGTCGTTGTGGGGGGTACTAATGATGCTGTGAGGCACCAAAATTCAGCAATAAAACACGCTACCCTGGTCAATACTGTACTCATGCTTGCAACTAAAACACTCGAACAGTTACTGCCGTGGACAGCTCCGTGTATCGCTCTTCAGATTAGTGATTTCCTTGTTTTTCTTTTTTAACCAAAATAATGCAGACCTTACCATTAGTTTAACCTTTATCTTTTCACAGCACATTGTGTTTGGCATGACAGCAATCCTAGCCTGGATTATCCCGGATGTTCCCGAAGAAGTTGATAATCAAATCAAGCGAGAGAATTTCCTTGCCCGCGAGGCCCTGCGGTCGTCAGAGCAGCACGAAGCTGGGTCCCCTGAGCCTCCTGAAGACATGTTGTAGAGTTTGTCGCAGTACATTTTCAACGGTCCATTACCTGGAGCGAGTAACTAATTCCTATGCCAAATTTATGTTGCGGCGGTCTGAAAGAATAGCTAATTTTTTAACGCATTTTCTCGCGGTACCGGAAACGTTTGCATACTTTGTGTGATATACTTATTTTTGTTTTCCTTATTTTTCTTATTTTTTATTTTTGGACCTGTTAAATAGTCTAAACAGCAGCAAACTCTATCCAAAAACAATTTGGTTAGTGAGAAAAGACGCGCTGAGAATATACACGGTAGTTGCTTGTCTCATATTAGTGAATATACTGAATTTATTTAAAGTTTTGTTAAGACTGCTTTTAAGGCGTCGTCTAACTTGAGGTCTTTATGGATTGTTAATATTAGCTTACAAATACCAGAAAGCAGCCAATTTGGAGAGACCTATTTCTTGTTAAGTATTTGAACCGTAATTGCAAGTGAACAAGTAAACAGTAGTGTACCTTATTTTTTGGAATAAGCGCTCGACCTCGAATTAGCGCCCCCCTAGAATAAGCGCCCATCCTAAGGGCAGAAAAAATTAATACGCGCTAAGCCTCGAATATGCCCCCGACGCATAATATAATTTCTACATAAACGAACATTTAAATAATTTGGAACGCGACAGAAAGTAGAATTAAAGGAATTATACTCTACCCAGTACGAAAACCCGGAATAAAAAACCCATTGGGACAACAACAACAAAAAAAACCGGGAACGTACTCCTCGATCGAATGCAGTGTATCGAGCTCCGAGGATGAGAGCTTTGTGAGGGAGGGAGAATCCAGAGTTCATTGAAGCTCGTGAGGTGCATTAAATTGATTATTGGTTTGGCAGGTCAAAAATGCCTGTCACCGGTTACAAGTACAGGTTAGATTACAAGTCACTGTGCTTTGGTAAAAAAAAAACATACCTAAGTTTCTCCTAGCCTTAATCACAAAGCGAAATAGAATTTTAGCTTAAAAGAAAACTGCCCATCTCAGTTATTTATCAATGGACCAGTGGCCTGCACTTGTGACCTGTGACCTGAAGGTATGACACATACACGTCTTTGTCCACGATCGCATTCAATCTGCTTTCACACCGCCACCCTGAAGAAGAGGCGAGAAAAGGACTCGGTGAAGATGGGACGGGAGGAAAGAAATTCCGCGTTTATCCTTCCTACCGTGTCGGCGTTCTTTTTCTTTGTTTCTTCGTTATTGAATATTACCAGTGAGAGCCTCTGGGAAGGAAAGAGGAGCGCCGCGAGACCCAGGCAATCACTGACCAAAAAAAAAACCATAATAACAGCTTAGTTAGTTTGTGACACGAAAGTAAGATAAATACAGTTTAGAATTCTAGGTGTAGTTTTACAGGAGCGTATTATTTACTCCTTCAAAAACATTTTGCCAGCTATGTAGAATGCGTTTTGTAATAAATAATTTGAGACTCATGCATTAAGCAGTGCGTTTTGGAACGAACGTAAATAAAGAGAATTCTGCAAACTGAATTGTCTGGTATGCGCTTTAATCGCGGGACATTTTTTACTGTAGGGACAATAGTAGATCTCAAGGGATTTCGATATTTTTCTTTTTAATAATAAACTATGCGTACAACAAATCGGGCCATCGGATTTTCACAAGAAAGCAATTTGTCGTCTCTAATACCAGTTTGCGATTGGCAGGCATAACTATGAAAAAACTTACATGAAAGAAGATCATCGTAGTTATAGACGCAACTTTTGCAGTTGCTCTTGTACGGGGATTCGAACCCTTGACCTCTGCGATACCGGGGGAGCGCTCTACCAATTGAGCTAACAAGCCAACTGGGAGCAGGTCGTTGAATTGGTTGGTTATAAACAAGTGAAAGTTATAAACTGCAAAAGTTGCGTCAATAACTGCGATGATCGTCTTTCATATAGTTCTTCACGCCGCAGTTTTTATATATGATTTTCATATATTCATGACTTCATCATCATCTTTCTCAGGTCTATAAGGAACCCAATCAGGCAATGACCTGCTCCCGGTTGGCTCGTAGCTCAGTTGTTAGAGCGCTGCACCGGTATCGCAGATAGGCCTTGGCGGATTGTGCTCCTAAAAGTGGCATATTATGCTACTAGCAGTGCTCGAAATTTTGCCACATTATGCCAATTATTCCGGAATTCTCAAATAATGCTCCTGATTTCCGAAATAATGCTCACAAAATGACGTAGATTCTGTACATATAGACGCGCAATAACAACACCAAATTATGATGTTTTTCAAATAAACTGTTGTTGTAAATTTATTTGTGTTTTATGGCAGTTTGTCTCGGCCCTCAGCTGTCCAAATTAGCTGCTCGCATCTCTGAACCGTTTGTAAAATGCCTTCAACGACTTAACGATCACACTTGTATATACTGACCGAACCAAAAGAATATAGTACTCTCTTGATTTAAACTAACTAAAACTATAGCGAACTATAACGTTGAAAGTACCAAGCCACGAAGTAAATCAACTTGTCTTGACAGTTCTGAGTTCTTTCAGCACCAATAATTGCTTGAATAAACATGGATAAGAATAGTAAACACAAGTCAACATCAGCGCTTATTGTACTGCAACATTACGCTGGCGTGGAGATAGTCTGCCAGAGCGCTGTCCTGTTGATCGCTAAATGCCGCTGAGAGTAGAGAGAAGGCTCGCTCAGCTGCAGCAGAGGAAGGCTGCACCAATAGAACCTGCTTCACTGCGGCTGAGTTAAGGTAATTCCCTTGTTTTGCACCGCGCATAACATTGCCACGTCCAAGATGGCGATAGTTTTTCCCACTTACGCGAAAAGAACAAACAAGGGCCGCTTTTGCAGGGCTAGAGCTTTTAATCGCAATAATAATGCCGCAGCTTCCTGGTTTGCTATCGAAAAACAAGAAAATGAAAGAAATGTGCGTGATCCCGAAGTCTGCAGTGGTTTTTCACTTCGCGGCCGTCGAGTTGTGGAATTATTAAAATTTCCTGGCTGAGGCCGTTAGATTACGGGGGCTGTGAAGCCTGTGGGACAGCTCTACGGCTCTCCAACTGCATTAACGGCAAAACCAAATACCTCACGGCAAAAGCAAATATCCACGGCAAAACCAAAGCTATTTTGCTTTTGCTGTGAAGTATTTGGTTTTGCCGTGAGATATTTTGTTTTTGCCGTGAGGTTTTTGGTTTTGCCGTGATGTTTTTGTTTTTGCCGTGATGTTTTTGCCGTGATGTTTTTGTTTTTGCCGTGAGGTTTTTGGTTTTGCTGTGACAGTTATGGGCCACCAGATTTTGGACTTAGTGGTGAACAACTTTCAAATATTTAAAAAACTTGGCCCTGTCACCATTTGTGATCAAAAACCAAAGGCACGGTCAGGAAGCTCCCAACTGAACTGTGTTGAAATGTTGTTCAGGTTTTGTTTGAAGTAGCCTCTCGCGCGTTCTCGCGAGACTCGTTTCACTCGCCCAAATAGGAGAGCTTGCTCGCAGGCTATGTTTGAAGTTTAACACAGCCGACTTTCAATAACCTGAGTCTCATCAACTAGAAAAGTTAAGAGACGAAAACAACAACAATAAAAAGGAGATTGTGCGAGGGAAAAATCTAAAACCACCATAACATCTCTGCCTATACATTTTTAACAGCTTCTAAGAAGGGATATTGGGAATGGGCTCTTCTAATACTGATCAAATACAAGATTATTCTCAATGCAATTTGATCGAGTTAACCTCCCCCCTCCTGGCTCCCTGCCAATAACACACCTTCTATTTCTCCCGCCGAAAAACGAGTGTTGCGTGACGAACGCTCGTCAGGGACCAATGATCATGTACAGTATTACAATGCAACAAAATAATATATTCAAAAATCGCGAAGGAGCAAGGCGGTCGCAGGTTGCCTTGTTTACGTGCATGTTCGGCTCCTATTGAGGTTTTGATTTTTGTTTAACTTATATCCATCGATTATGGAACATGTACCTCTTCAAAAGGACTCCGAGAGCCCACCTCTAAGCCCAGTGATGAAAAAAAGCAGCACCTCCAAGATTGTGAACAAGCGAACTATTATAATTGCTGCAATTGTGATAGTGGTTTTGGTGATTTTGGTGATCGTGCTTGGAGCTCTCCTCGCTGCGGAACGGGCAAAGTCCAGAGGTAGGCAATTTTAATTTCCCAGCTGATAGTTCCTTTTTTTAAAATTCGGCGAGTAATTTCGATCAAAGCACTGGCTTATAAACACAATAGATTTTTGTTATTCAAAGAGATCCTTATAAGATTTCTTGAAGCCAGAGCAGTCTAGCGTGGTATAAGTGGTTTGAGTTTCAGCCTCGTGGTAGACGGCAGTTTACTGATTAGTTACAGAGTAGTCACTTTGCACATCAAATAAAGAGGATCGTTTATTCTGATTTTTGTGTTTTACACTAGCTACCGACTGAATCTTCCACAGAATTTCGGTTTTGTTTGAAAATTCAAATAACTATTTATGACATTTATAAACGTCGTATGTCGAAAGTGTTCGCCTGTGTTTCAGCACTGTTTGCAAACTCCAAAACAAAACCATTGACGCATGCGTGTCCTGCGCTCACCCAATAAATTTTTCTTCGCGATCAGATCGAGGGGAAGTTCAGGTTCTTTAGTAAGATCTTGTGAAAATTAGAAAACTCAGAATTGTACTGTAGATCTCTTGTAATGATTCTCATTTACATCCAACCTATTGAGATTACTACATCATGACCATTTCACTGACATACTATGGCGTGCCGTTTGTTGACGTGATGTTTAATGTCGCGTAAAATGTCCCATAAAATGTTCCTGTACTAGAATCTACCAACCATTGTTATTTTTCTACCTTTATACTAGCGTGATGGAACATTTTCGACCTTGATATCATTTTACTGCCGTGATGGAACATTTTCTACCTTGATATCATTTTACTGCCGTGATGTAACATTTTCTTCCTTGATATCATTCGTGATATGGCTTTTTCTACTTTGATATCATTTGACTACCTTGTTGGAGCATTTTCTTCCTTGATATCATTTTACTACCGTGATGGAACATTTTCTACCTTGATATCATTTTACTGCCGTGATGTAACATTTTCTTCCTTGATATCATTCGTGATATGGCTTTTTCTACTTTGATATCATTTGACTACCGTGATGGAACATTTTCTTCCTTGATATCATTTTACTACCGTGATGGAACATTTTCTACACCTTGATATCATTTTACTGCCATGATGAAAAATATCTTTTTCAATCCCGACATGAGAAATGCGAAGTACGTGATGAACAGGAAAGGCGTTAAATGCGTGAGCCCCAAGATTAAACATTGCACATAGACCAGATTAAATCATAGACACTCACGTTGCTTCGTACTGCTCACTGGATTTTTTTTTTGGAAAAATACTGTGAAAAGTATTTAGAACAAAAATGTCAATATATAAATAAACTTATTTCAACTTGGAAAATGATACGTCACCCCAACTAGATAAAATGAGATGTCACAACACGGTACTAATGTAAACGATAACTCTGACTTTTAAGCCCAAACTTTTTTTATGAGATCCGGATTCTAGCTGATTCTGTTTTCCTCCATCCAGTTTACTTGCACATTGTCTGCAAACAAGCATTTTTTCACTTTTTAACATCCATCAACAGGCCCTTGGACACCTTATGACGTTTACAAATGGTGTTAATTTTCTTAGACAGTGAAAATAGTGATTAGGGTTAGTACTGAAAAGAAACGGTTAGCTTCTTTTTACAGTTAGGTTTGTCGCTATATTCTGACTCCAATTAAACATCCCTTCATCAGTTAAGTAGTGGTCTAGGTGATGGACTGTGGACACTACGCTCCGGGTTCGAGTCCTTCTTATGC